AACCCGACCGGAAAATCAGTTTGCCATAGATGTGGGATGGGGAACCATTGGGCTAAGAATTATCGGACTCCCAAGTATTTTATTGACCTCTATCAAGAGAGTGTAAAAGGGAAGAATCCGGAAGCTCATTTGGTGCATTATGATAATAAGGATGATTTTGATCATACCAAGGATGATCTCATGGAGACTTCCGATTGCCTTGAATAAACCAAGTGTTTCGACATCAACCTTTGTTAAGCTTTATAATTCTCTATAATAATTTGAATGTATTCTCAATAATTACTATGGATCTATCTCTATGGAATAATTTTATAAAAGTGTTTAAGATATAGTTTGTGGTGGATAATAGGGCAAGCCACACGATCTTACACTTAAAAATGCCAATAATTACCATAGCGGGTATGGCTAATTTAATTGAAGGCTACGGCCATATATTATTTCCCATGGGTATGCTTTTAGAGATTTCTAATGCATTATATTCACCTAGCTCAAAGAGGAGCCTATTATCTCTCAAAGATATTATAATGAATGGTTTTCATATTGAAACCAAGGGCAAAGGAAACAGAGAGTTCCTTATGATTTATGAAATTGCCCAAGGCCATAAGAAAGTCCTAGAGACTATACCCGCTATATCATCAGGCATTTACTGTGCTAAGGCAAGTAAGATATATTCTAATGCCACGGTAAACAAAAGGTTTACCGAGAGATTCACTTTATGGCACGACCGGCTTGGCCATCCGGGTCGAGTATGATGCGAAAAATAATCATGAATATATAAGGGCACACACCGAAAGAAATAAGAGTTATCCCATAGAATCTCACGTGTGTAGCATGTTCACAAGGGAAACTCATTATAAGGCCATCACCAGTCAAAGTGATTAAGACTATATGTCTAAATAATGCTGGTGAATTCACGTCCCAAGCTTTTAATGCTTAGTGTATGTTCATGGGGGGTAAGAGTAAAACATTTTGTGGCACATGGACATACACAAAACGGTCTGGCTGAATCATTTATAAAATGAATACAGCTAATTGCCAGACCATTGCTAATGAGATCAAATTCCCGATCTCAGCTTGAGGACATGCTGTCTTACATGCAGCTGAATAATTCGCATCAGGCCATCTAGTGAACATACATATTCCCAAAACAATTATTAACGGGTCATGAGCCAGACATATCCCATCTTAAGATATTCGGATGTGCCGTTCATATATTAGTTGCTCCACCACAAAGAACTAAGATGGGTCCTCAGAGGAGGATGGGGATATATGTTGGATATGAATCTCCCATAATAAATAAGTAGCTTGAGCCGACCACGGTTGATTTATTCAAGGCCAAGTACACGGATTGTCATTTTGACGAATCCACTTACCCACCACTAGGGGGAGATCATAATAATCATAAGCTGGTAAAAGAAATTATACGGAATCAATCATCCATATAATGGCAAAGATCCTCGGATTATGAAATATGAATTAGACGTCCAAAAGCTAGCTAATTGCCAGATTCCTTTGACCCAAATATATAGTGACTCAATCACATATACCAGCTATGAATGCACCTATAAGAATTGATGTTCATGAAGGACGCAATCAAGTTGCTACAGAGTCTAAGGCCCGTATGAAACGAGGCAGACCAATAAGTTCAAAAGATTAAAACCCTCGGAAACAAAGAAAGGTGTTACGAATAATTCCGAGGTTACCGTGGTGGGTACCCGTGACATAACCGAACCTCAGTTACCAAATAATGAGACTTGGGACGCCAAGGTTCAAGGTACTGATGATGTTCATAATAATAATGTGATCGCGATCATTGATGTTATGTCCGGGATAAAATGGAACTGAAAAGATGTCGACGTCGACAATATATTTGCATACAAGGTAGCACTTGAAATAAAATTGATAAGCGAGGATATATAACCCACGTCCATAATATAATGCACTCAATGCACAGATTGGATTAAATATGTGGAGATAACCCACGACCATAATAAGAATGCACTCAATGCACAGATTGGATTAAATATGTGGAGAAGAGGAATGTATAAGGCCACCTCTCGTATAAAGCCAGTTGGACATAAATGGGTCTTTGTGAGGAAAAGAAATAAATATGGTGATATCGTGAGATATAAAGCACGGCATATTGCACAAGGATCCTCACATAGACCATGAATATATTATGAGGAGATATGCTCCCATGTGGTGGATGCTAAGTCTTGCTATATAAATGAAAAGACTTCATTTGCGGCTAATGGATGTAATGTCTGCATATTTATATAAGTCCACTGGATAATATAAGAGATTACCAGAGAGTATTGAGCTCAAATATAAGAAAGGTTCTCGAGAACATCACTGCGCATAAGGCTGGACAAATCCTTTCATGGACTTAGAATAAATGGGCGTATGTAAGATTATAAACGATCCCATCAGTTCATGAATACTCATAAAGAGGTTTGCAAACAAAGGATTTGTAATCATAAGCAGTGTATATGAACCTCTGGGTAATCGACCAAACAGTTGAAAGACCTAGGCAATAAATAAGTCCTGTTTGGAATTACACCTTGAGTACATAAATAATGAAATCCTTGTGTATCAAATGGCATACAATAAAGGGTACTCAAAGGAAATTTATAAGGACTAGGCCCGCCCATTGACCAGGCCCAATGGTGGTGAGAAGTCTAAGATTGGATATTGATTCATTCAGTCCGTAAATGTCATACCTCAGTGTCATAAGAGCTTTAATGTATCTGCCGAGCCACACTAGGCCATATATATGTTTTGCCGTGAATCTATTATCTAGATTTAGCTCATTGTCCAACCCAAAGGCACTGGGACGAGATTACAACATATTCTTCGTTATCTACAAGGTACGAAAGATTTGGGTTTATTTTACACTAACCATCCCAAGGAGGGATTTGTTGGTTTTGCTGATGCAGGTTATCTCTCGGATCCGCACAATGGTCGATCACAAACTGGCTATGTTTTCACGTACGGTGGAACGGCAATATCTTGGCGATCTCAAAAGCAAACGATCGCAGCAACATCGTCCAACCATTATGAAATCTTGGCGATGCATGAGGCCAGCCGTGAATGCGTTTGGTTGAGGTCCGTGACCCAACATATTATGATCGATTGTGGGATGACCGAAGGGAAGGCAGCACCAACAATAATGTATGAGGACAATGCTGCCTGCATAGCTCAGCTCAAAGATGGATACATCAAAGGAGATAGGACGAAGCACATCTTGCCAAACTTCTTCTTCACTCATGAATTACAGAAAGCCGGAGAAGTTCAAGTCGAACGAGTTCAATCATGTGACAACTGGCGGATCTATTCACCAAGTCGCTTCCAACTTCAACGCTCAAGAAGCTTATCAAGCAGATTGGAATGCGACGGCTTAAAGATCTTCAGTGAGCTTCAAATGAGGGGGAGTAATACGTGTTGTACTCTTTTTCCTTCACCACGGTTTTATCCCAATGGGTTTTCCTGGTAAGGTTTTAATGAGGCAACATCCCCGAGCGTATTACTAGCTCACGAAGGTTATGACATCCAAAGGGGAGTGTTATGAATCATAGTGGATTGTCATAACAAGCCCATTAAGGCCCGGCCCATGTCAAGCCCGGTCCGGCCCAATGTTATGGAGGTGTAACTAGTATTAGGGTTTACTTGTAACCTCCTTGTATGAACCTATATATATGGCTTTAACCTAATGAATAAAGTATCCCAGTTCCCTCTCTATTCTCTCTAGTCTATAACAAGAAATTATTTAAGAATGAGCCTTCATTTTTTTCTTTTTTTGCTGTGTCATTTAAGTAAGACATTTCTTTATGATTAAAAAACACGTTTTCCTTGTGTTTATAACCAAAAAAAAAAAAGGAATTGGCAATTTTAGTGACAGCATAAATGAAATCTAGTGATAATGCTTAGTTTGGCTGTTAATAATACAATAACTAGATAATTCTTGATTCCCATATTTCTTACTGGTAGTATATTATTTTCATGCTGGTAAATATATACAGAGTACTGTTTTCAAGATCCAGTTTTTTAAAGTTTATCGTATTTGATAATTTAAAAAGAAGAGTAATTAAAATACTGATACGATAGGGTTTTCTGTTACAACCATATCGAATTTGATTGCCATAATACACATTTACCTAATAATGTATCTTACCAAATTAGAGTAACGCGTACGTGCAGTGGCAAAATGTGACAGGACCAATCACTTTCTTCTAGTAAGACTGACCGTGAAGCTTTCGGTACGCTAGGGACATCGTCTCACTTGGACTTTCCCACGCCGTATATGCCACTCCTAACCTCTAATGATGAATTTTGTTTGGCATAGATAGGCTTTAAACATATTGTATTAGGCTTCTTCATGAACACGTACTGTGTCTCCATTCTTTTGCAGTTTCATTCGTCCTCCATTAGTGAAATTTTTATGATGGTTGAGATCAACCTAGCTATCCGATTTTGGCATGCTAATTACTATCTCTATCTTGTGTTTGCTTCTTTATCATATTTCAAGTTATAGGAATCTATAGAAATCACAAAACAACTAGCTCTCCATCAAGAAGGCTTGATGATGGTTATTAATCCCTTGTATATTATTTTATTTTTATAATTTTTGAGTGGAAACCACGTAGACGGACCGGTTTGGCCAATTCAGTTTGATTTTTGAGTGGAAACCATAAGAAGAGACTGGATACTGAAAACGCATCAGTATCTCCCAGGAAAAATTTGCGTTGGGAAGACATATCACTTGGAAATTGCTCAGCCGGTCCTTAAGCGCAAGGATCCACCCGCTTACATTTGCAAATCAAATCCTTTTTTTTTTTTTTTTTGACAATTTTATTGATAATGCATGATAAAAAATAAAAAAAGATTTGTTAAGCGCCTTTCTGTGATTGGCAGTTCAACATTCCTATTTTGTTAGTTATAATATGTAAATTAATTAAATTATGGATTCGGAAAAGCCATCGCGTTCGTTTATAAAACGTTTCAATTCAGCAACCTCCTTTGTAAATTCTCTGTTCTGTAGAGATTACTTAAGTGTGGTGTGGTGTGTGCTTTTTAGCTATAGCTTCCGTCTGGTTTGTGCCTCGATATCAGATCTCAGATTTATTATGTATATGTTTGCGTTGATGATATTGCCCTAATTTTGGTATGTTGTTGATTTACCGATTTAATTGTTTTTAAGGTTTCAACTTTTGTTATGAAATTGTAGATATTTTTGGATTGAGAACTCTTTCGCCGGAATAATAATGATCTTGACTTGGCTAACCGGGAAGCCCAGGAATGCGATGTCTATGCTTCAAAAACCAATAGACGACCTAAACAAGGTATATATCATATACGTTTTGCTGTCAAATTAAATCCTTTTTTGATTTGATGATCAGTATCATCATCAATCTAACAAATTTTGGCTTTATTCTTCATACTAATTCTCACCTCAAGACCCTCGAGACTCTTAAACAGAAGGAGAAAGTCTACCTCGAGAAGGCTGCCATAAAGGTTGAGGAAGCAGAAGAACATCGCCGGGAAAATAGCAAACACCGTACGACCAAATTCTTTTGCTTTTTATAACCACATGCATAGATTGATATATACAATTACAACACGTACCCGTTATATATATATATATATATGTGTTGCATGCCTTGTCTTTTTTTACCTTTGCGTTGTCTTATATGTGTGTTTTCGACTTGTCGTCATGCAGGGGTCGTACACTGTTTGAAAATCAAGGTGATGTACGAGGGTTTAGCTCAAAATTTTCGGAATTTACAGCTGATGGTACATGACGAAGTGAGATTTCTTAATGTGTTTTTTTTTTCCCTATATAGATCATTTTAGATAACAGGGAATAGTATACTTTTAAGCCACAGTTGACTGAATCTATTATCACCCTTTTGTTTAACAGTTGATTTTGATGGAACGTATGAAAAAGGAAATGATTGAAGCGTTGCAGGCTAAAGATCTCACAACCAAGAACAAGACTACTTCTGATCATGTCTTTATTTATATTTCTTTCCTCGTTTTAGTATTAACATACTATATTGTATCCCTTTATCTAGCTAGGTAGCTCATATTATTGGTCTCTACTCTCTAACTACACTTCGAATTGTGATATGGGAAAGTACAAATTCCAATTTTGAGTTATCCCACCAATATGCTTAACTTATGTTCTTCTGTTCATCTATAGATTGAGACGATTTTGTCATGTGTTTTGTTTAGTTGTCGAGACAAGAACATTTTTTTTTGTGTGTGTCTCTATCTCTCATATAAAGGGGAATATGAGTCTTGGAATTTCTGATGATACGCTTCCATCAAACCACTGAAACAAAGTTTTATCTTCCATCAAACATTATTTTTACGAAATTTCATTTTAACAAATTAGTAATATTATAACCGGATCTAGCGGAGATCAAATCAGGGCCATGCAACGTATCAGGTAGGGTTCGGCCCAAAACACTTACTCCAATATTTTAATTATATGGATTCGGAAAAGCAATATATTCCATCACACTCATAAGGGTTCAATTCCCTTTGTTGTCCAATATTCCTCGCCGATCTGTAGAGATAGTGATCGTATGCCTTTATAGCTTCCGTCTGGCTTAGTCTATGCTCCGATCTCTCAGGACTCAGATCACAGCTTAATTTTCTCGAGCTTTAAAAGCAAGTTGACAAAACGCAAAAAGTATACCCAGTTTATTGTCTAAACTTTCCCTAGATTAGCGTAGATCGTTTTTAGACTAGGAATCCACGTATATATATTTGTGTACATCCCGAGTTGCGTCATCCAGACCTAATTTTAAGGTTTTTGAAAAATTGTTAGGAGATTTTGATTGTTTGGGTTAATTTTTGCAGAGGATATCGGCCGGAGTGTACGGTTTCTCTGTCGCCGGTATGATGATGGTGACTTGGCTAGCCGGTAAACCCTGCAAATCGCTTTCTGAGCTCCATAAGTCAATAGTCGTGACAAAGAAGGTATGTTTTTGATGTTTTTTGCTTTACTTTTTTGGACCTTAATTAAGACCTGTGCATGATTGTTTCATCGAGAGCCCTTTTGTTTGATAATTAAGGGCCATACCCTTTTTAATTAGCCTTCAAACCAAAGTGTCATCTTGGTCATGTGCTCACCTTTTTAAAAACAAATTTTTGATGTCAGTTAAGTTGAATTATTATTTTTCAGTATAAATCTAATATAAGTTGGTTTTATTAACGTGCTCTCTCTGTCTCTCCCTCAAGCACCTTGAGTCCCTTGAACAATGGGAGAAAGATTGCCTTGAGAAGGCTGCCATAAATCTTGAGAAAGCAAGAGAACATTGCCGGAAATATGACAGAGATGGTACAACGACGACCAAATCTTTTGCTTTATAGTAGCTAATTATTACCATCCATATTTAAGGATCCATCTAGAACATGTGTGTTTGCCGTGCGTTGTCTTGCAGATGCTTTATACTGTTTGAAATTGAAGAGGCTACACGAGCGAACAGCTCAAACATCTAGGAATTTACAGCTTCCTGTCCGTATACAAGTGAGATATTCTCTAGTGCATGTTTTGTTTTTTGTACATCATTTTTATATATTTACCGATACATATAGTTGAATTTTATTATTATTATTATTAACATCAAGTTTTCTTTTAAAACAGTTGGTTTCGATGGAACGTGTGAAAGATAAATTGACTGAAGCGATGCGAGATAAAGATCACACAACCAAGAAGACTATCCAAGTCTTTATTTATTTTTCTTTGCTCCTCTTAATATTAGCCTACTTTGTATAATCTTAATACACTCGTGGTCTCCAATAACAGATAATTAGGAAACGGAAATTATAAATTGAATCTTCTCTGTGTTGACAGTAATGTTCTTATCTTTTAATTTAAATTGCTTAAGAGAAATCAACGAAAAAACACATTGAAGATGATGAATTCTATCGTTGATGCATTCATCAAAGACATAACGCAATTTAGGTATGAAGCCGTAATATACGTTTTGTCGCAAAGAATAAACATTGAATACACTACGTATGATGGAAATCAGAACCAATTTATGGCTAATATGCAGTGTATGGCATTGAATACACTAAAAAGTATACATACTGTATATGGTCTCGTTTTTGGCATTTTTTTCATTTTTAAAAATAGTCCAAAAATAAAAGAGTAAGCGGCCCATATAAATAAAAAGAGTATTGTTTTATCATGTGGTTTGGGCCTAAGCGACCCATTTAAAGTTTACTCAAGTATCGGTTTCGGACCTTAGATCGAGAGTTGGGTAACATGGATACCGACGAGACCTTGCCACTGAGCCAGCGGTCGGAGTGGTCAGATGTGGTTCCGTTGACTCAGGACGATGGTCCGAATCCGGTGGTGCCGATCGCCTACAAGGATGAGTTCCGCGAGACTATGGATTACTTCCGTGCGATCTACTCCTCCGACGAGCGATCTCCTCGTGCACTTCGACTCACTGAAGAGACGCTCCGCCTAAACTCCGGCAACTACACAGTAATCATTATTTTTTCAGTTTTTTTTTTTAAATTTCTTTTATGCTTTGTATGGTGCTTCTGATCCCTAATACTACTGATCTGAAGTTGGAATTTGATTGGAGCATTAGTATCTGAACTCTTATGGTTTTAATAATTTGATGGATTTCAGCCTTTTATTAGTTCTTGTTGCATCAAAATTCTAATTCTTAACAATCTTGTTCTCCCTAAAGATAATTTTTTCCCTTTGAAGGTGTGGCATTTCAGGCGCCTAGTACTTGAGGCGCTTAATCACGACTTGTATCAAGAACTCGAGTTCATCGAAAGCATTGCTGAGGATAACTCTAAGAACTACCAATTGTGGTAAAGTTCATAGCTTTTTGTCTCTCTTTTTTTGTTTATACTGTGAAGTTGACTGATGGAACAATCTTGAACCAAGAGCTGTATATGTTTGCTTTGTAAGACATAGACTGGAGAATGTTTTTAGTCTATAAATAAGTTTTTACTGATGGAGGGGGGGGGGGGGGGGGGGGGGGGATTCATCAAAATTGGGAGGCTGCTTTGTATATGCCGGGTCAGCTATTTTCTTATTCTCCATCGTGCGTGTTCTTTATATTTTTGATCAAAGTTCGTTCTTTTACACATTGTTAAGTTCATAGTGCCACATGTCTGCTGCTTAAGAAAAGTTAACCCTTTGTTGTGTGTGCTTTGAGTGTGATGACTGATGATCCATGGTTCCGCTCTAATTTTTACTTTTCTCTAGGCATCATCGGCGATGGGTTGCTGAGAAACTGGGTCCTGATGTTGCAGGGAGAGAACTTGAATTTACCCGGAGAGTACTTTCACTTGATGCCAAACATTATCATGCTTGGTCACATAGGCAGGTTTGTAATCTCAAACCTTGTTAAAGCATTCACTTGTGGTATTACATATAGTTTTGCTTGATGTTTGGAAACAATTTACAGTGGGCACTACGGGCATTAGGAGGATGGGAAGATGAGCTTGATTACTGCCACGAGCTCCTTGAAGCTGACGTCTTTAACAACTCTGCTTGGAATCAGGTAATGTGATTGTTGATACACACACCAGTTTCTGTTTCTCGAATCTATCAATTGCCAATTTAGCCACCCTTTTGAATTATTCATTCCCATAATCTGGCAGAGGTATTATGTCATTACTCGATCTCCTTCATCGGGAGGCGTAGAAGCCATGAGGGAATCTGAAGTAAGCTACACAATCAAAGCCATTTTAACTAATCCTGCAAATGAGAGCTCATGGCTATACCTGAAAGCTCTTTACAAAGACAACAAAGAATTGTGGATTAGTGATCCAAGTGTTTCATCAGTCTGTTTGAATGTTCTCTCCCGCACGGATTGCTTCCATGGGTTCGCTCTGAGCACCCTTTTGGATCTTCTATGTGAGGGACTGAGCCCAACCAATGAGCATATAGACTCAGTGAGAGCTTTAGCTACTGAAGAACCAGATACTAACTTGGCCAATTTGGTTTGTACCATTCTTGGTCGTGTAGATCCTATAAGAGCCAACTATTGGGCATGGAGGAAGAGCAAGATTACAGTGGCAGCAATGTGACGACCCAAAATCACACTTGAAAAAAAAATGATTTTAATCTTTTCGTATGTACTGCTTCTTTATGAATCACATGAACATGTTTTCATATATCAAAACAATGTCGAGGTCTCTTTCTCCCTTCTAATTATATCGAAAGAAACTTTGTCAACATTGTCTTTGCAGAACCAACAATAGAAGAAGACTCAACCCATTGCTTTTTCGATAACCGGAACCAAAACCAAAACCGGGTTTTTGGCTCGCGGATTCCCTAATTCAACGACAGCATTTAATTTGATCCGAACCAAAATAATAAAAAAAAACAAGAAAACAAAAGGGGAAAAACATCGAAGGCTTGGGAAGTTAAAGTGCTCGAAGTCGGAAGCGTAATTTGGTCGAAAGATTCGTTCTTTTCTCCGACAAGAATGTCCAAATCTGGGTTTAGTCTGTTCATCGCTCTTCTTCTATATCTCATGGGTTTCTTACTTCCGTCGAGAGTTTCTGCAATTAGGTGATTAATTTTTGGGTAATAGCATTGTTCCTATGTTTTGCGTATCCCTCCCTGTTTTGTCTCCCTTGATTAATTTCCTTTAGATTTCAATTGGATTTGCAGGAAGGATATCGGATTTTTAGAAGAGCGGAGTTGCAGAACAACTGTCCAAGGAAGATACTTGATCTCCGATGATGAAGGTCAGTCATTGCATATCCAATTCACTCTTCAAAGATCCACCTTTACTACATTTCATCTCTGTCGACATAGACTTGGTCAAAAATAATTTTTTTTTTTTTTTTTTACCATGACTGGGTGTTGTTGCTATTTGCAGGCAATGTGTGTGATGCTCTGTCATTGGAATCTCGAACCCGTTGTTGTCCATGGAAAGGAGAAAGATTCTCTTGTCAGTGAGTCATTTTTAAGAGGATCATAGCTTTTAATCAAGGAATTATGTTATTTATTAGACGAATGTGTTCTTAATCAGACTTCTTTGTTTTTATGGTTTGGCTTGAAGTGGATGCAACCTCCTTTCACAATGCTGCAACTCTTATGAATTCTGCGTTTCTTGCTGCTTGAATCCGTCTCGGGTATCCTATTTCTGTGGAACCTTTGGTTTTGTCTCTCTCTTCTTGCTTCATCTTCTTTCTTTTTTAACGCTCATTAAGTATCTTCTGCAGACGATTCTTAAGCAGGTGGTTAAAATAAAAGTTGCAAAGCCCGCTACAGCAGGTAAAATTGTCATTTTAAGGAAGCTTAAATGTATTTGGATTCGCAAGATGGTAATTATCATTTGAATTTGCCTATGAAAATTTCAGTTTAACGTCAATTTATTCATTAGCAGGGACTTACAAGACTTTATTTGATTTTTGTTCCGGGAGGTGCCGCCATAATTCTGAGAGTGTGGTAAGTGATTGAGTGTTTTTTTTTCTGTAGTTTCTTGAGATTATGTCATGAAGTTATTAGTGTTGAAGAGAAGTTCTATTTGAGACTGATGGAATGTTCACGAGAGTATAATGAACCTGAATAATTATACCATATAGCAATTATGAGCGAGACTTCATGTAGCTTCTTTTATTCTTGAAACTTCCAGGTTCATGAAAATGCTTACCATAGCGAGTTTCACCATTGTTTTTCTCTGAAATCAAATGCTTCAGGTGAGCGTCGATACCCTACTTCTCCTTTCAACTACCTTATCACATTCATCAAATAACATTAACTCAAAACAGGAGCTAATCTCACACAAGTTGAAACCAGACTACTTGGCATTGACGTTATCGTGGGAAGGTAAAAAACACCCTTCACCTTTTTACCTGGGTGGATTGTATACGCTTTTGTGGAGACCATATTCTTTGACTCTTATTGGATTGGTTTCACAGTCAAGGAGATTCATGCGATGCAGTTTGCAAGTTACGTGGACAATTGTGTGTGATGAATAAACTCTCACTTCTAAATCAATGTGACGTGTAAGTCTCTTCTTAAGCAACTCTTTTACCAGCGTCAGAGTCTCTTAAACCAACCATCAAGTCATGTTTCGGAAATTTTTATATAGGTTGAAAACTCGTTATTTGGTATTCACATGATTCTTTCTCTTCTTCTTTGTTTGCGTAGTATGAAAAGATACATGACCTGCAAAGGGTCGTGTATAGGAAGTGCCGGGGCTGACCAACCTGCTGAAGTTGTCGAAGGTGCCCCCAGAGATTTGGTATTTCATCATTTATTCCTTCATGGATCCTCAGTGAAATATTTCATTTCATTTACATCGCTTCTCAAGTTCTCCTCACTCAACTTGTGAATCTTGATCATAAACTGAGTAATTCCATATGTGTGTTTATTTTCTTGGGTTGCAGTATCCAGGCGCGTGTTTGTATACCAGGACAGAATCAATGCTTTCCTGTGACGGTTCTCACCAACACACCAGACGACTCTGCCCATGTGCCTAGAAACTAGTCAGTACTAAGAATTATACCAAAGCTTTTTCCGCCTCTTGTAGCTGTTTTAGAATGCTAGTTGAAAACGCTGATCATGTAATTTTCTCATGGTGAAAGAAAACATATTCTTGATATATACATATACATACATGAAGATTGACTAAAACGTTTACTTCATTGAAAACCACAGAATGAGAGAAAAAGCATCTGTCGACATCAAGTGTAACGTGTGTGGCCTACATTGGGAATTAACTACAAGGCTACAGAAGCAGCAACGTATTCGTCAGATCTTTGTCACACATTGATCATTATATGAGGTGCAGCTGTCTCGAACAGAGCCAAAATCTCAACTTTGTATTCGTCCATAATCTCTCTTCACTAAACCAGCAACAACATAAAAGAAGGCCTGAGAGTTCGAAGTTGATTCAGATTTGATCTGTCTACGAATAACTACATTTGTTTGATGAGCTTAAGATATGCAGAACTTGTCAAATTTCACATTGATCAACAAAGAAAGACTTTTGTTTTTTTATTCATCAACTAATGACTTGACTGTGTTCATACACCCATGATCACAATGAAATTGCCGCCATAGAAGAGAAACCCAATTTAATTGATGATATGATTACAGAGATTCGTTTATACTTTCACAATATCAGCAAATCAATAAAATAAAATAAAAAGGAGAAAGACATTAGAAGGTGTAGTTTGTTTTAAACACTCTTTTGTCTGCTTCGACTGCTGTCTGTTCCTTAGCCACGGCGACACCTCTGTTAAGCTCGTCTTCTGTTTCTCCACTGTTATCATCAGTTGCTGCCGCAAAAGCGGGATGGCTTAAAACGCATTTGAGAAGCTGCGTTCCTCGCAAGGCGTTAGTGAGGGGTAAGTGTCCTAAAGGCGTATCATCATTAAGCTCCCACTTGAATTCGTCAGGAAAGGCTCTGTAGCCGTATTGAACAACCTCTGTATCAAGAAGCTTCATCCATTCAACTTTAACGAAGAATCTTGTGAAATCTTTCTTCACTTTTAACCAGATTTTGCGCTGCACGCTGTATCCGAATCTGCCATCGCTGTGTTTAGTCCATAGATTGTCGATAGCTTGAAGATCTTCGGTCGAGATTGATTTCACCTCGGAGAAGAAAACGTAGCCGCGTTTCACGGCTGCTTCTCCTGCTATCTGAATGAGTAATCTCCGTGTCTCCTCGTCGGCTTGTCGGAAGTTTTGACTGACGAGATGGTTCTCCAAAACGTCGAATATGGTCGCGGTTTCAGCGGTCGCAGCGGAGGCGTTGGTGGTCGAAACAGCGGAGACGGCCGCGGAGGAGGAAGAAGCAGAGCAGATAAGTGAGAATGTTGCGGCGGAAGTGGGCTGTTTGAGGGAGAGAGAAGTAGGTGCGAACTGAGATTGGAGATTGTGGCGGTGGGGTGTGTAAGGAGAGGAGTGGTGGTGGTGGTGGAGAGAGTTTGTGGTCGCCATTGATGGGAGGAGGAGAGAGAGAAGTCACGTCAGGAAGAAGATAGAGAGAGTGAAGTTGGAGAGTTTAAAGAAGAAGAAGAGAGAAAGAGAGATAAGGTGTGGAAAATCAGGAAGTACTAAGCGGGGTCGATTCTGATTGGTCACTTTTGGGTCAGGTTTGATTCTCTTTTTTTCCTCTTTACTTTCATTTACCAAAAGTTAAATAATAAAAAATCTAGTAATTCTTTTCACTAATTTCTGAAAAAAAATACTAATTGTTATCATAATAATAGATTTGATTTGATGGTTACGTCATTTATGATTTTATCTCGTTATCGTTATTGAATGAAGAGTCTTATAACCTTTATAAATATAAGATTTTAAAAACATACTTTTTTATTTTTTTAAGAAACTATTAAAAATGGAGAAAAATTGTCAATATATAGAAATTGGTCAAATACTTGCAAAATAAAAAAAGCCAATAATGGTCAGAAATCTGTTATTTCCACGTCACGTTTGTAAAATCACAATGGATCTATATACAATGGGCCTGTAATGGGTTTTTTAAGGTTCATGGGCGCATTATCCTTTGATATGAATGCGACACCGTTTTGTGCTGGACAGGAAGGATCGACATAGAACTTTGATGGCGCCATCTTTGAAGAGCGCAGTCGACGCTAATGAGCCTTTTATACAAACAATTCCTTTTTGATATTTCTGTCAGTCACCGGCGCAGTTGTTTCCTTTTTCTATTTTGAAATTCGTAAATCGAGATTTTGCTTGGCGGGAATTGTGAGAGAGACGAAGACGAGGTTTTATTTCCGGAGATTTGTTTTTTTGGTGTTGCTGATTCCGACGATCGGAGTGGAAGGTGTTTGACTTGATTAGGGCGTGTTTTTGGGGCTGAGGAATAATGGGTCGCAGTTCGAAGAAAAAGAAGAAACGAGGAGGTAGCGGGAGAAGGGGTCAGCTCAAGGACCATGGATCTAATGCTGATGAAGATAATGAACTTCTATCTGAGGAAATCACTGCTCTGTACGTTTGACCCTTTAATTTGTGCGGTTTTTATGAAACAAGTTATCCACGGCCATCTGAGATTTAGGGTTTTTCGAGATTTGTGTGTTTTTAAGTTTTGATTTGGAAGGCCTTGATAGTAGTTGCCATGATTGGAAATTGTGTGAGAATAAACAGCTGACAAACGATACCTGATTTTTGAACTATGGGATTTGAATCATTTGATTGTTCAGGTGTTACAGGGGAATACAATAGCAATTTAATTTGTAAATGTTGTTAAAGATGAGCAGTTTTACTTAACACCTGCTTAGAAATGGACAAGAACTCTATATGAATTTTATTAGTAAGAAGGACCGGTTTTTGTTTTCATGTTTTCAGTTCTGCAATATTTCAAGAAGACTGCAAAATTGTTTCAGGTTCGCCATCGCCTCCTCAAATAGTTATTAAACTCAGGTTTTCTTCTTATCGATGTGTTCTTCATTCAAGTTTATTCTTTCTGGTTTATGCATGAAATGCGTCTGATCCACCAAGCTCTTGTTATCGAGCAGGCCTTACTCGAAAGATATGGGATATGAGGACATTGACATCTCTGCTATGCTTTTAGTGAGGTGAGTATATTCACTCTAAATCTATGACACTGTAAATATGCCGATCTTTTCAATATCTCCTTCTAACCAATTTGTCCTTCTAGATGCTTACCAGGATATCCTTACAAATGCCCAAAGCTGCAGATTACTCCAGAACAAGGGTTAACAACAGCTGATGCTGAGAAGCTTTTATCTCTTCTCGAGGACCAGGTAGGTGATAGGAATAATTTTTATATTAATATTCGTAAGTGCTCTGTACTGACAAAAAGTAATTGTATATTATGCAGGCAAATTCCAATGCTCGTGAAGGTCGGGTTATGATATTCAACTTGGTGGAGGCTGCTCAAGAGTTTTTATCAGAAATACTTCCGGAAAGTCATGATAAGGAAACTGTAAGTATATTCACCCAAATGACTGTTTATGCCATGGTAATGTATCCAATCTATCAACAGCATCCTTGTATATTGTCAACTGTTGGTAAAATTGCATCTCTCTTAAGTTTTCATTTGTTGTTCGTTCTGTAAATACAGTGTTATTATCTCTTTCTGAAGGTTTCATGCTTGTCTGCACATCGAAGCGCTCAGTTCATTGAGCAACCTATGCTATCAAATAAAGCAAAATCGTGTTCTGGTGGACCTTTTGTGTATGGTTTTATAGACCTATTTAGTGGCTTGGAAGATGCTAGGGATTGGAGTCTAACTCCAGATGAGAACAGGGGAATCACATCTCCAGTACAATCCCACCCACTAGACACCTCAAGAATTTTGCATGAGAAGGACAAGAACCTGAAGCGATTGGAAGACCATGCTAAAGAAGAAGCTGTACTGCCTGCTCCCATTGCCAAACTAAATACAGTTCAAGAGGATTACGTTAATGATACAAGCATCTCTTCTTTTGAGTCAAGTAAATCTATTGACGATGTGGAATCTGGATTTATCCAAAATGAGAAGAAGGTGAGAGGAGGTCTATCTGTTTTATCTCAATCCCTCTTTTTAAAAATATTGGGCCTCTGCATAGTTCTGTCTCTGTATGGTGGCTGATGAATGAACACAACAAATCAGTTATTGGTCCTTTACATATGAGATACTCTCCACAAAAAATCTAACTAGAATTTATGTGAATTGGGAGGTCTACACGTTTTCTGTTGGTTAGATAGTCTTCATAAATACAGTTGAAGATAACTCGCGTATATTGACCAACAAAGCCAGAATTAAGTAATTAGAGTCCTTTACCTCCTGTCACGTATGCATCTACTTTTGGTTGCTTAATTTTGTTGTTACTTGCCTATGCTTGTTTCTCTTAGCAGGAATCAAATCTTCAAGATGATACAGCTGAAGATGACAGCAGTAACTCTGAAAGTGAGTCGCTGGGTTCATGGTCCTCTGATTCCTTAGCTCAAGATCAAGTGCCTCAAATTAGCAAGAAAGATCTGTTGATGGTCCATTTACTTAGAGTAGCTTGCACTTCCAGAGGACCTTTGGCTGATGCATTTCCTCAGATAACTGATGAACTGCATCAGCTTGGTGTAAGTCTTTTGGATAACTTAAATTTTCAATATTTTTTCTCTATTAATGGAAGCTTATTCATTTTCCCCCCAAAACCCTGCTAAATAGTAGTCTTTTTTTACAAACCATTACAGCTATTGTCTGAAGAAGTGTTGGATTTAGCTTCCAAATCATCTCCAGACTTTGATAGAACCTTTGAACATGTATTCAATCAAAACATGGTATGTATCCCTTATCACACTTCATCAGTATTATTTCTTTATTTGAGTTTATCTGATTAATGTTATCTTTTAAGGCCTCAACCAGAGTTCCTCAGTTTTGGGAGCCACCTTCTGATTTTGGCGAGCCAAATGCCTCACTCCCAAGCTCACGGTATCTCAATGATTTCGAAGAGTTGAAACCCCTTGGTATATTCTCGATTATGCTTTTCTTTCTATTTCTAGTTTTAAATGTAGATATATGTATGAAAAATATGATGTTAACTCCCTCTGTGAACTTGATCAAGTTCAGCAGTGTCTTTGCTCAACGGTTTACAAGATGTTATTCATTAGTTTTTTAGATGCGTCTGAACTTCTGCAGAATTTTTTACGCTTTCTTAACATATTGTTCTGCAGTTTTGTATAGTGTAAGTAGTTTTCCTTCTCTCTGTTGAAACTCTTTGTTGGCAGGCCAAGGTGGATTCGGCCGCGTTGTCTTGTGCAAAAATAAACTGGATGGAAGACAATATGCAATGAAGAAAATTCGACTGAAGGACAAAGAGATACCTGTCAACAACCGGATACAGCGGTAATTGAGAAGACTGTTTAAATAATAATTTTTATTTATATCTATTGGTTTAGAATATGATGCTAAAATTGTTTCTACATGTGCTCTTAATGAGGTATTCAGAGAAGTGGCAACACTTTCACGTTTGCAGCATCAGCATGTTGTACGTTACTATCAGGTAAAGGTCCCTTCTGCTCATCTGAATTTTGTACTGATTAAGGACTATATTCAGTGAGATGTATTGATATTGAATACCACCTCGTGTCATCTTGTTGTCATAGAATTTCCGCTGCTTAGTGCTATTCTTTTTGCCTATGTTATGTTTGTTAACGTTATTAATTTTCATGAGATAGGCCTGGTTCGAAACAGGAGTTGCTGATCCTTATGCTGGTGCGAATTGGGGATCAAAAACTGCAGGGAGTTCAATGTTCAGTTACTCGGGTGCAGTGTCAACTGAAATTCCTGAGCAGGACAGTAAGCTTGAGTCAACTTATCTATATATTCAAATGGAATATTGTCCCAGGTAAAGAGTTTATAATCCCAATCTAAACTCTTATAATTTCCACCCATATCCTGAGCTTTTGAAACCCAGATAAATCATTGGTTTTACTTAATTTACATTGATTTTTGACATTGTGAGCTATGAGTCATTGCTAAGTTCCTCAGATTCTGACGCTTAATCACATATATTAGTGGTCGAACAAATATATATGCAAAGTAAAATGATTGAAATGTCCTATATTTCCATAAATTTGCGGATCAATATCATCTTGATCTTTATATCCCTTTTTTTTGGGTAGTCTAGCTTTGGTTGCTTTCTTGTTTCTCTTCTTACCTTTTCTGTTCATATAATGTTCAAGGACTCTCCGCCAGGTTTTTGAATCATATAATCACTTCGACAAAGATTTTGCGTGGCATTTAAGTCGCCAAATTGTAGAAGGCTTAGCTCATATCCATGGACAAGGAATAATTCATCGTGATTTTACACCAAACAATATATTCTTTGACGCCCGGAATGATATCAAAATTGGGGATTTTGGTCTTGGTATGCTTCCCTACCTAATGTTATTCGTTGCTTTAATTTCTTGGTATATCTGTTGTCCGCATGCTTCTCTGTATTAGACTTAAAGCTCTCTAATAATGTAACAAAAGTTTACTATGTTGTTCAAGTCTTTGAATAAAAGAATCAACCTAGCCGTCTCATTATTCAACTGTGGTGTGGAAACAAAAAACAAAATTACATGCATTTTCTTACCTTATCAGCAAAGTTCTTGAAGCTGGAACAGTTGGATCAAGATGGGGGTTTCTCTACGGATGTGGCTGGAAGTGGGGTTGATAGTACTGGTCAAGCTGGTACGTACTTTTACACAGCACCTGAAATTGAGCAAGGTTGGCCTAAGATTGATGAAAAGGTTAGTATCTGTTGGTGCCTGCGCTGAGTTTTATCCAGAAATTTCTTGTATCTATTTCGTCTTATGTCTGTGTTTCTAAATGATGTTTCATTGTTTTGAATTGTAGGCCGACATGTATAGCTTAGGGGTTGTGTTCTTCGAGCTTTGGCACCCTTTTGGAACCGCCATGGAGAGACACATTACTTTAACTAATCTGAAGCTGAAAGGAGAACTACCTCTCAAATGGGTAAATGAATTTCCCGAACAGGCTTCTCTACTGCGGCGTTTAATGTCTCCAAGTCCATCTGATCGTCCCTCTGCCACAGAACTTCTTCAGCATGAATTTCCCCCCAGAATGGAATCTGAGTTACTAGATAGTGAGTTCTTTGCAGTCCTCGATTTAAGTCAACATAAAACGAACATTCTTTGCTGGTTGGGGTTTTCATCTGATCTGTGATGTTTTTCTACTATGGCTAACAATCCATCGTCTTGTGTTGTTTCCATTTCCAATTGGTTCACTGACTGTTTACATTTGCCATTAATTCGGATATTTGTCTGTTTAGGTCATTCGCTCGTAAAGCATACAAATTAGTCGAGTTGCTGTCCTCTTTTCCTAATGTTTTTCATATGGCATCAAGTAACCCCTTTCTTTTCTGGATTTCAGATATTTTAAGAATAATGCAAACTTCTGAAGATTCAAGTGTTTATGATAGAGTAGTAAATGTGATATTTGATGAAGAAGTACTAGAGACGAAATTCCATCAGTCTAGTAGAGCAACACTATGTGCAGATGATAGTTATGTTCAATACACAGAGATGGATACAGAGCTTCGTGATTACGTTGTTGAAATCACAAAGGAAGTCTTTAGGCAGCATTGTGCGAAACATCTAGAGGTCAACCCAATGCGTTTACTTGGTGATTGTCCCCAATTTAGCAGGTATTCTTGTTTACTTCTTGCTCTCCGTTATCTCTCATTCAAACTAGATTTTGATCTAACTTTTATCTTCCCTGTAAAGGAAAACTGTAAAACTTTTGACCAATGGAGGAGATATTCTTGAACTATGCTATGAGCTACGACTGCCTTTTGTGCATTGGATTAACATAAATCAGGTCCGGTTTATATTGTTCTTCTGTTTCTTGCTCATATAATTGGTACGACTTTGTATTTGAGATCTTCTCTGTTGAGTTTAGAGTCAGTTGGTGATTAGGTTTAGAGGAACAGATCCAGGATGTTGAATTAAGAATACTTTTAATTTTTTGAAGAGACTTATAGCGTACTGTTACCTCACTTAAAAACAATTGAAACGATTTGAATTTGGAGCAAGTCATAGTTTCCTTAACATGAAATATTTGGTTTTTCATTTTTGGTTTATTTAGCTAATTTTGGCGCACTGCAATTTTGCAATGCAGAAATCCTCATTCAAGCGATATGAAATATCTCATGTCTACAGGAGAGCAATTGGCCATTCCCCACCAAATCCATGTCTTCAGGTATTGTGCTCACACACTCTGCTAAGATAAATGCTGGCTGTCCATTTTACCATTTATTTTTCTCTGTGATTAAGGGCATGTGCTTATAAATGTTTTGATTGCCAATAGGCGGACTTTGACATTGTTGGAGGCACACCATCCCTGACGGAGGCAGAAGTTCTCAAGGTACCAGACCCAAAGATGCTTGGCCTTATCGAAATCCTTTATCATTTATTCACGATACAAATGAAATGAATCTTCTTTTTTTATAATGTGTTATTGATCATTACATGGTTTAAAAGTCACACTGCCAACTTTTGGAGGAAATGTAGTGAGTGTTGTGATAGTGTTTCTGGTAAACTAACGTGTACAGTGAACAATTATTTGCTTATTCAACCTTATGCATTTTGCTACAGAAATTTTGCATCTCCGGCAACGTTTTAATCCATTAACTTTGCAGGTGATAGTGGACATCACAACCCATATATTTCATCGCGGCTCTTGTGACATTCATTTGAATCATGGTGATTTGCTAGATGCGATTTGGTCCTGGGCAGGAATTAAGGCAGAACATAGACGAAAGGTTGCAGAGGTATGGTTATTGTTAGTTCAAAGGGTCATTGTATCAATTGGTTTTTATCAGTATCTTGACCAAATTCTTTTTCCTGTTTTCCAATTGAAGCTCCTTTCCATGATGGGATCCTTGCGTCCTCAGTCATCTGAGCGGAAGCTAAAATGGGTTTTCATAAGGCGTCAACTTCTGCAGGTTTGAGGCGACACAATAACCTATGTGTGGTTGGCAATTATAGTCGTAACATATCACATATCAATAGTATAGTTTTCTATGTCTTACTCGGAATCTCCTGCTTACCAGGAGTTGAAGTTACCTGAAGCTGTTGTCAATCGACTGCAGACTGTTGCTTCAAGGTTTTGTGGAGCTGCAGATCAAGCTCTTCCTCGTTTAAGAGGGGCTCTGCGTGCTGGTACGATCTAATCTTCTCTCTCCCTAAACTTTTATACCAGATTGTTATTGGTTTCAATTTGCTGCAGATAGACCTACACGTAAAGCACTAGATGAGTTGTCAAACCTCTTAACCTACCTGAGAGTCTGGAGGATAGAAGAGCATGTTCATATTGATGTTCTGATGCCACCTACTGAAAGTTATCACCGGAATTTGTTTTTTCAGGTACAAGTGAATATGGGGATTTTTTCGGTCTTTGTTAGGCTTTTGGATGTTTAATAGCTTAATGTGTTGCTTATAATGATTGTTATGCTTATTCGGGTAACTGGTGAAGAGATGGGTTCTTCATAGAGGAATAGTTGATGTTAGCTTGTTGTTGATTCTGATTAGAGTTCTTCATATAAGAGGAACCAAAAAGTTTGAAATTTATTCTCATATAATTAGCTCTTCAAAGGGAAAACCCTGTTTATCAGTAGACTGTTGGAGCATGCAGTATTATATCATACTTTCTACAAAATAATTTGTTATGGTGATTGTATGTTTAATTTCTGTGTACTCCATACAACTTTTGGCCAGGTTTTCTTAACCAAAGAAAATAGCTCTGGGACATCTAATGATGGTGTTTTACTTGCTGTTGGTGGTCGTTATGATTTTTTGGTGCAGGAAGTGTGTGATCGTGAATATGTAAGTTATTTCCACATATTTTCATCTTGCATGGAGGGAAGTTAAGCTATCTAGCATTTATTATGATTTCTAATGTGAAGAAGAAAATTGAAGGCTTTTGCCTCTTTATCCACGTTAAAGATACTTGGTTTGGTCTCAGTGTATGAACACTAAAACGAGAAGCGAAATTGATCTTTATCCTCTTATCCACTGGTATTACTGTGAAATAGTAAAACAAGGTTTTGTGTTTTTTTTTTGTCATTCATTGGATCCAGAAAATGAATCTCCCTGGCGCTGTTGGCGTTAGTCTTGCACTGGAGACAATATTTCAGCATCTTCCTATGGATCTAAGGCCTATTAGGTTTGTTGTACCTTCTGAATCCCTTTCATGATCTAAAATGGAAACACCTAGGCTGATATGCATTGAACTTGCAGAAATGAAGTCAGCACCAGTGTACTTGTTTGCTCAAGAGGAGGTGGTGGATTACTGGTCCAACGCATGGAGCTAGTTGCGGAACTATGGGAAAAAAGTATTAAGGTGAAAGCTTGAATATGTTTTGTTCATAGATTTGTTAGGATATTTTATCATTTGTGTTACATCTAGTAACATGTCCGTGTATGTATTGTGGTAGGCTGAGTTTGTTCCAACACCTGATCCAAGTCTTACAGAGCAGTATGAATATGCAAACGAGCATGAAATCAAATGTCTGGTGATCATCACAGAGTCTGGAGTGGCTGAAAGACAAATAGAGTTTGTAAAGGTAATAAAAAATATAGCATTTTTTTTAAGTATTGAAGAAATCCTCGACAATGACCCCGAAAATTTGTGATTTGTAGGTTCGGCACCTTGAATTGAAGAGGGAGAAAGTGGTAGAAAGAGAACAACTTGTCAGATTTCTTGTGAGTGCAATGGCTGTCCAATTTAGAAACCCCTCTGTTTGGAGCTAAAGAGTTGTAAAGTTAGAGCCACTTTTGTTTCCCACTTTGTGCTTTGCAAAATTACTATTTTGTCACTCGAGTCACAAATTTTGATCATTTACATACAATCTATTCTTTCTTTTTGGGTAAAAATAGAATTACAAATATCCTTATGTGCATTTATACATATATATATATATTATATTGGTATCGTTTATATTCATCTGCATTTCCAAAAGTAAAACCTCATTCAATGAATAAATTATCTCCTCCTCCATGTAGATTGTTCAATTGTTCGGAACAATAAAGGCATAATCACAAATCAAAGATTAATAAATTCTTCTTGAAATGATTGAAGCAAAGAGCCCGTATAGCTCAGTGGTAGAGCGTCAGTCTTGTAAACTGAAGGTCCGTAGTTCGATCCTGCGTGTGGGCACTTTTTTTATTATATATTTTACCTTTTCCTTTTAAGTTTTTATTACTTGTTGTTTTTTATTTGTTAACTTTGTTCAGTGCAAACAAACATTAGCCTATTGAGGACGACTCCAGGACTCCAGGGGAGGTCATTTACAAAAGAACTTAGTAATAATTAGTTACGGAAAATTTCATACATTCTTCCTTGGAGAGAGTCTCTCTGCCTCTTTGTTACATTCCTGCCTTATGGAACACATTATACATACATCAGAGTAAACTAAATATCTTATACATGTCATTGTTACTAAAAACTTCAGAAAATCACTTTTCTTCAGAAATTATGATGCAAGAATAAGCTCTGTCCGGGAGATGCTGGCCCTATCTCTTCCTCAAGACTCCTCAACACTTCTTGTTGTTTCCTCCCTTCATCTTCCTCCTCCGCTACATCTTCTTCAGATGCCGATGATTTCCTCCTCTGCGATGATGTCACACTTGGGAAAGTTATCCATGACCCGCCTCTAAATTCCGTGTTCTCGGAACCAGACCTTTTTGAACCGATCCTCCATGATTTCTTATGCATTCTACTGCTCCCAAGCACTACTTCAGTTGGTAATATTGGCTGCTCGCTGCTCGGGTTTCCCATTAGCTGTGCAAGCGCTCGTTCCAATGCTGTTGTCACTTTATCCATCGATGGTCTATCTTTCCCTCTCATCCTCACGCATTTGCAAGCCACACTCACGATTCTTTTCAAAGCTTCGATTTCAGATGGATGTTTCAAGACCGGGTCCAAGAGTGCGTTTATATCTCCTGCTTTGATCAAAGAAACTGCCCATTCTACTATGTTCCCTTCTTCGTAGTGCATGTCTATGGCTTTTCTTCCGCTTAGGATTTCGAGAAGCAGGACTCCAAAGCTGTAGACATCAGATTTTGTTGTGAGATAGTGCAGTCGGTAGTACTCGGGATCAAGGTAACCGAGAGTTCCTGCTGGTAGTTCTGCCAAAGGAGAGCCACTATCGACAGGACCAAGTAAGGAGAGACCAAAATCAGCTACTCGAGCATTGTGTTCTTCATCTATAAGGATGTTTGATGATTTAATATCCCGGTGAATCACTGGAGGGCAGGCATAACCATGCAAGTATTCGATTCCTCTAGCAGCTTGCACAGCAATCGTTACTCGTTTGACCCAATCTAGTTGTTCTTTCAAGGCCTTGTTCTTTCCATGAAGATGGTTGTGCAGTGAGCCGTGAGCCATAAACTCATAAACCAGAAGCCTTTCTCCACCTTCTTCGCAGTATCCGAGAAGGCTGAGAAGATGAGCATGGTTGAGTCTTGATAAAAGATCCAGCTCCGTGCGAAACTCATTCGAATTCTTCTGTACGTCTGATGACATTATTGCTTTCTTTACCGCAACAGTAGTTCCATCTCTCAGTACTCCTTTGTACACACATGAGAAACTCCCTTTCCCCACTATTGATTCCTCTTTGAATCCATCAGCAGCCTTTTCAAGTTCCTCATAAGTGAAAACTCGAGCCCTTCTGCGCTTTTGCAGCTCATCAAGATCAGGACGGATTTTGCCATTATCTTTCGTAAAGGCTGAATCTTTAGAAGACCTTGCATCATTTTCTGAGCACCTACAATGCCTCAATCTGTACCGAATGTACAAAGCGGCTGTTATAGAGACAACTGCTATCAAAAACAGAGCAAAGCCAATCTCTGCAGTTGCAATAGGTAACTGCAGTGACCAAAATCTTCCTCTTGCCTTGCCCCCACTGGTAGACGCAGAAGAACAGTTTGAGGAGCATTCAGATGAGAAGCAACTTGAGCAGTTATAACCACAAACCTGATCAGATCTCTCTGTGCATTCGCTTTTCTGATACATTTCAGGAGGACAATTAGCACTACATGGCAAGCAAATATGAGAGCCAGGAACTTTGCAAGGCGACTTGTCTTGGTTACTGAGTTCATGAGTTCCTGGTGGACAAGGAGTGTCTATACAGAGTCCTGGTGAGACAGCTAAAGGGATAGAAGCAGGGAAACCAAGACCCCAACAAACAGGTGACATAGAAGTTCCTGAAAGAACTCCGCAAGTAAAGTAATTCCCTGCTGCAAGATCATAAAAGCCTACACCTTTAGGAGCAGGTGTACTCCGATTAACGAAAAACCCCCAGCAAACCGCACTATGATCATAGCGTTTGATCCCACAGGCATACAACTTTCCACCAACCACTGTCAAGAGTGGCTCTTTTGGTGGTAAATCAAGAATCTCTTCTCCCGTGGAAGTCCCTGAGATCTCTTCTTCGAACTCAAAGCTCTTTCCCCAACAGAGCACTCGTGAATCCAACCCGTCAATAATGCCACAGACATGGTATCCACCAGCTGCAATTTTCTGAAACTTTGTTTCCTTTGGGATTAAGCTGATTACTTGGCTGTTATTCTCGTCGCCCCAACAGAAAACAGACTTATCTTTAGAGGACAACCCACAGTTGAACTCCGCACCAGCCGAGAGCGAATGTATCTGCTTATCAAAGACAAAGTTTCTGGTCATATTGTATCCCCAACAATCAACAAGGGAAGACGAAGATATGTTGCTGCTCTTTCTTCTTCCCACTGTTGGCTTCCTTAAACCACAGAGATGGTAATCACCAGCACTAACTTCCAAGTATTCAGCTCCTTTGATCATTGGTTGAGGAACTCCCATCTGAATAAATGCACTGTTTCCCCAACAATACGGCTGATAAGATTGCATAAGAAGCCCACACATAAACCCATCTCCACCTGTTAAACCGATGAACTGGAAATGAGCAGGAGTCCCATAGAGGATCGCTGAGTTTGATCCGTAGCAAACCACAAGATGAGACCCATCAGATTTCAGACCACAGAATACAGAACCTCCTTCTCCATAGGAAATTGCAATTGAAGACATTGAACCAAGAGCTGAAGCAAGCTGCCATATACTAGTGAAAAGCACAAGCTTTATAAGGAGTATACATTCCCTTTCTCTCCTCCTTTCCAACATTCTCATTCTACACACAAACCAAAAGCTTCTTTTCAAAGTCAACCCACACGCTTCTTAGCTACTGCGTTCACACTTTCTCAGACATTCCATAGATTGACTAAGAGTGTGACTTTTGATTGGCAAATAGCAAACGAGTCGCAAGAAGTTCACAAAATAGTGAGACCTTTCTGTAGGACGAATCTGCAATCAAGGGCATGCAACATCTAAAAGAAAAGAATTTTTTTCTAGCAATGAGAGCTGAACTAGTGTCGAAGAAACAAAGGAGCCAGCAGCAAGACAGTCTCCGACGATTAAGGAAAGAATCTTGAAGTGGAAATTCAGACAACCATGTCAAAGAAGGACCTCTTGTCTCTCTGTTCTTCTGCAACGAAAGCAAAAACACTTACCCCTTTCAGATCTCAGACCGCAAGGTAACAACATCATAACATCCTCAAAGACCCTTTAAAGCTAAGCTTCTCCAAAATTTTCCAACTTTTTTGCGTATTATTGGCGACTAAAGAAGTGTAGAAATAGGAATTGAGTGGTGAAAGTAGAAGCTAGAGTAATACATTCAGCAGTAGCTCATGAAAATCTTGAGAGAGAGAAGAGAGAGACATGGAGCTTATTATCACAGAGAGTCATGTAGTACTGAGATGGCATTAAATGCGACCAAAACTGCTGCTTCTGAATAATGGCAAATGTAGGTGACGCCATTAAATATAAAGAGTTAATGTTACCAAATTTTCTCTTCTTGCTTTCTCGTTTTACATTTTTTTTTATTCGAATTTTTCCCCAATCTTCCCAAATTTGTGCAATCTAACCCAAAAAGTTTTATGTAAAGTTTCCATATCTATGCACATTGGAGTTAACACACACGAATTAAGGAAGGAGACATATACTATTCCTTCAAAGCTTCCTTTTTTCAATAGTCAATATTTCTAATGGGGGTGTTTTTACTTGCGCCGTTGCCGTCGGTGTTTGGTTTCGAGCAAACCAAAACATTGAGATCAATCTCTCTATACTTATAAATATACAAAATAGTAAAGTAAATGGTGTTTGTGAGGTTTCATGCACTTAATTTTTGGTTCAACTCTGTCTCTCGAGACGCGAGACACAAACATCCTCTTTTGTCTTCTTCCTCTTCATCTCCTTGTGCACCCCCCAAAAGAAATGTTTTGTCCTCTTTAGACTCAATATTTCAAACACACACAAGATACCCCCTATTTCTCTCTTCCTCACTTTACAAGACACCACATTGAAACTCTTATGTTGACACTTAATTCATATGCTCTTCTAGAGTTGAATTCTGAAGCTGTTGACTTGAGTGTCTCAAGACTCATCAAGGCCTTACTGATTCTAAATTCATACACTCAACTAACTTATATGGTTCAGATTCAAAGAATAAGAACTAGCCAGTCACGTGCCACTCACATGCTAACGAAACGGGCTCATATTAATACATTGCAAACCTGAGACGCACAAAGCCTACATGGTACTTTGGGCATAAGATTCACTATAACTTATAGGGCATAAGGAGATTCTTTCATTAGCACTACATGGTAGGTATACATGGATGTTACTCCTTAACATGTTTCACTCCCTTACAGTCAGGCCTTTGCTTCTACTCAACAACACGGTGTATGCAACATTGCTCTGGAAGCTTAATCTCCAACATTGGTCTATGAATGATGTGTACACCAACATAGAATTGCGTTTACAGCATTGGTACAGACGAAACCAAAAAGAATTGCATACTGACCTAAAACTGACTTCTCCCTAGGTCACTGGCTCACTGCAAAATCCTTAAGTAATAATCGATCCAATGCCTTTCATGGAATCTCCATGTACTTGATGGCCTAAGTTCAAGCCAACAACCAAAAATTACTTTTCATATATGACTTCTTTATTTTATGCAGTATCATTCGTATGCTTACAGAGGGATCACAAAACCATACCTCAGAAAAAAGATGCAGAAGAAACCTCTTGGTCAGAGGAAGGCCATTTCTTCTTGACTATCTCTACATCATGTATATAGCCATTCTCCTATTACTTGAACAATTATTATACAATATAATGGATGCTTCTTCACATCAAACAAGTCACTCTGGCCGCGCCTGCTCACTTAAAACTTCACTCTTTTCCTGCCAAGGAAGAAACAACGCATAGGATAAGGCAACTATTGTGTTTTTTGCTTGTAGCAAATAGATTCGAATGGAGATGTTCTACCTGCTCCTCAGTATTTGGTGGCAGACAGTTCTTGCCTCCATTACACCGGAACTTAAATGAATCAGAATAACAAGTGGACTCTCTATCGATGATGAACTCTGGAGAAGAGATGGTTGAGGATCTACTGGTCTTACGAGGAGAGCACAGCGGGTTTAAATGATAAGCCTCTGCTTCTGATGATGATAGTTCAGAACCAGCTCCCCGTGGACATATAAAAGTACTAGAGTTTCCGACCTTGTGAAAAGTTTCCATGGATGGATTTCCAAGAGTTTCAATAAGAAGATCACCAGGTGGATGTTTCTGTTCTGAAGCAACCATAACTAAATCGCTTGTTAACTTCTTCTCAGAAGGAATGGCACAGTCCAAGTCAACTGGATTTACACAGCAGCTTTTGCTATACGATTCAACACAAGATGATACAATCTGGCCAGGTACTGACGAATTGGGTATGGACATGTTAATCCCTTTATTTTCCTTGCAAGTGTCTGAGCCCTCTTTAATTCTGCTGCATTGTTCTATAGCAGATGACGCTAGAGACCGTTCACCATTGGAATGATGATCAGCAGGTAACTGAGTATTGTCTTTCATTGTCGGACTTACACATGATTCTCTTCTTACATCTTGCCCTGAACTCTTCTGTTTCTTACACTCTGTATCACTGTTAATGCCAAGATCAGATTGTGGGGATTTTCTGCGACGCATGCTATCACATACATTGACCTCATCCCTCATGCTATTAATCCAATCTGATGGATTGAAATTTAGATCAACTGAAAGGCTAATACCCTCTTCCAAACTGACATGAAACTCAAACGAAGACGAACTAGCACTATCACCACTGTCTACATCTCTCATTCTATTTTCTAGCCGAGACTCTGTTCTCTTGGAGTTTTCTGTTGGGCCCTTTTCATTCAATTTCCTCATATACGGAGGGGTGCATGCAGAATCAATCAAACCACCATTTCCATTTCTTTCCTGCATTTCCACAGAAACATTTAAGAGACGTTAGAAGTTGGCCAGTAAAAGAGTGGCTGAGTAGTAAGGAATGTAAATAAAGCACAAAAAGATAGATGCACCTATATCAATAAATTTCTTTGAGAAGCTATCCTATATTATAACAATATAACTCTTGTATCATCTTATCACCTATATCAATAAATTTCTTTGAGAAGCTATCCTATATTATAACAATATAACTCTTGTATCATCTTATCACGCATTTTATCAAGTCTTTCAAGGAAAAACCAACAAAGTGAAAACTACTGCTGACTTATCCAAACAATTGTAAGCCGGCCCTCACTTTCATTCAAATAGATACTTCCAAAAACAAAGTGAACCAAACCTGATACGGTGTATTGTCCCCAATCATAAAGCCTGGTCTCCTAGCCACCTCACCTTGAACACAATCCACTCTAGTTTTATCCAATTCTTTACCATAAGAATCTGCAGTAACATATAGTCTTGATAATGGAAATAATAAAATGAGACAAGAAAAAAACTTAAAGCCAACAGAGAAGAATTCACCAAACCTCTTTTAACATCCCATGTTCTATCCGTTGGTGCTCTAGACGTCGTAGCTACACTATGTTGATTCCCAGGGACCCCAAAGCCTACCGCGTTCAAACTATTTTTCTGCAATAGTTAGATACAACAACGCATGATTAGCTGCCCAACAAGGGAAAATCGTAAGGAGAAACAACAAGACATGTGACAATATTAATGATTACAAACAAGGTATGAATATGCAAATTAATGATTTCAGATTATAACTTCAAGCTACAAGTTTATTTCCTCATACACTAACAAAGAGCAGCTCAAATACCTCGAAATAAGAAGCTAATGATTCAGCCATATCCGAACTTGATCTATTGGCCGGCAAATTATACTTCTTGCACAAACTCTGAAGCTCTTTCCTTGAAAACCCGCAATAGAAATCCACATCTTCCTTCGTGACCATCTGTTACCGTTACACAAAAAAGGTTTCAAAAAGAGTAACACACACTCATTATTAGGAACACCAACACAGAGAAAGGCCAAAGTAGTGACCTTTACATTCCCAACGGTCACAAATTTGAAGCAAATATAAAACAATAGATTTTCCCGAAGTGGACCAACGAATAGAAGCTACAACATAATTCAAGAACCAGTTTCAGCTGCAAGAGAAGAGACTAAGAAGATATAAAAGACAGAAATTTGACAAAAAGAGAATGCTTCCTATTACAGAACATCAAAACCTAAGGAGACTAAAGACTGACAGGGACACAATCGAGTTAAATCCCATTTAGATCGAAAGCACATGAGATTTCTTAAGGAAAATACGGCGAAAAATTCTTGGAGGAAGCTTTAATGGGGGGGATAGTATGACTATTACCTGCTGATCGAGTGCTTTTTCCGGGAATTTTGCCGAGAAATTGTGAGAAAATTTTCTGGGAAAAACAAAATAAAAGAAGTACCGAGTTCGAAATCTGCAGGGACCGAAGCAGACAGAACGAGCCCACTTTTGAGGAGCTGTGTCTTCTTCAAATCTGGTCATCAAAAATTATTTTTAGAGTTATGGATTTATGGGCCTACTTCAAGCCCATTTATTTTTCATAGCTCATCAACTTATACATCAACGTTTGGTAATGGTTTAGTCATTCATATCCAAAACAGAGAGTGAGATATTTTACACGAATCCTCGAAAATACTGTATTTGTAAAATATATTTTGAGTAAGTATAGCTCATATTATTATTTTATTTTTTTGGATTAGTCCTCAATGATGTTTAATTAGCTGTGGAAGTGTATATAATAATAATTATAATTAGCTGTGGAAGTGTATATAATAATAATTATAATTAGCTGTGGAAGTGTATACAATACTAACTGAAGGATCATGAGTAGTAGTGGATGAAATTGGATGAGCTGGAAGACAACCATAACACGAGTGAAGTGTCGTTGGATCCCGTTACAGGTTTACACACACCCCCGTCAGAATCTACATAATATTGTAATACCCCCACTAAACCCCTAATAATAATATAAAACCAAAGGAATTTCTTATTATGCTAATATAATGTATGATTTTAAAATAAAATCAAGTACTACATATGATTTTGGTTTATAAGCTATTAGTTATGAATAAATTAAAATCTAAGAGAACCACACTATATTATATGTTTTTTTTTTTTTGAAACAGACACTATATTATATGATAAACCAATATGTATTCAAATATTTGTTCTACGTACGTATACTGCATTTGTTTCATCCGATTCAGTTCAGCGTTAATTGTTAGCTTATGCTCATGTTGCAACGGGGTCTATCTCTCTTGTTAGTTAACGTACATGTGCCCATGCACACACACTCATGTTTTAACGTAAACAAACCAATTAATATTAAATTGGGGACAAGAACCAAACATCAACAATTATAACAACGCGTTTGTTTTACATAATATATTTTTTTTATTATCATTTTTCTCCTAATCAAAGATCTGTGAGATACCCCTCACGCGTATTCAATTTGTTTTCTTCTTTTTTCGTTAAGTACAAAAGTTAAGAGGTAACGTCAAAAATAATTAATGTATCGAACGGTTGTACCAAAAATATATATATATCAGATTAGAAAACATTTCTCTAGTAAGTTATTAGTTACGTCCAAATCTCTCTTCCACTATATATATATATATAATCGGAGAGACCATATTCATTTCAAGTTCTTCTATATATATATCAAACTATCAAAAGCTTTTCCCATCTCTGTTCTCAACAAAGCCAACAGTTATGGTGAGAGTGTTTCTTCTTTACAGCCTCTTTAACTCCTTTCTTCTTTCTTTAGTCCCCAAGAAGCTCAGAGTTCTCTTCCCTCCTTCTTGGTATATCGACGACAAGAACCCACCACCAGTACCGTCTCAATCGGAAACTGAATCTCCGGGGAGAACAGATCCGGTGGATCTAAAACGAGTGTTTCAAATGTTCGACAAGAATGGAGACGGTCGCATCACAAAGGAAGAGCTAAACGATTCTCTAGAGAATCTAGGAATCTTTATGCCTGACAAAGATCTGATCCAGATGATCCAGAAGATGGATGCAAATGGAGATGGGTGCGTAGACATAAACGAGTTTGAGTCTCTTTACGGTTCGATTGTGGAGGAAAAAGAGGAAGAGGACATGAGAGATGCGTTCAACGTGTTTGATCAGGACGGTGACGGTTTTATCTCTGTTGAGGAGTTGAAATCTGTGATGGCTTCCTTGGGGCTCAAGCAAGGTAAAACCCTAAAGTGTTGTAAAGAGATGATCATGCAAGTGGATGAAGATGGAGATGGTAGAGTCGATTACAAGGAGTTTCTTCAGATGATGAAAAGTGGTGGCTTTAGCAATAGAGCATGAGTTGATCTTTTTTTATATATTTTGCAGGTTTCCATAGTTTTTATATATAATCGTCAGTTAGTCTGTTTTCTCTGTAAATATATTCTAAAATTCCAATTGTTGAAAAAAAATTGACTTTGTCACTTGCTAGTGATGAGAGCTCAAAACTAAATCAGGACACAGCCTTCCCCATTTTGTCAGATTCTCATCAAAACATATGGGCTTTCTCCAAGTCAAGAAATTTGGAGAGAGAGAGAGAGAGTATATAAATAATTCATCAACCTACAAAAAACCATCCATACATAATTGATCGATGGTTGAGTGTAGTATAGATAAGATAGATAAGAGATTCATTGAAAGGGAAAAAGAAAAAGAAAAGGAGAAGGCTAAAAGAAGAAACAAAATAGGCTTCGAGTCTTCTTCTTTTGGGCGTTGAAGAAATCTTCATCCTGCAATGCTTCAATCTGTTTTTTCTGGCGTCTTTGGACGTAACCCAACTGAAAGCCAAAAGGAGGTGATGATAGCCAAATACAAACCTTCAGTTAATAATTATTAGAATCCATTTCACGAGAAACATATATATATATACATATATTTTTTAAAAAATAAGCTCTCACCTCTTCTTGAAGAATCTGCCGCAAATTGCCATGGAATTTAGCTGTTGATTCAGCCATCTTCTTTCTTAACAAATGTGCTGATGAAGTCATTACATGAAAAAAGGGGTGGGTAGTCGTACACGATTTGTATCCCCATCCAATTTGCTAGCCGCCTCAAGCTCTATGGCAGCCTCGGCAGCCTCGTCCAGGCTGGATTGCTCATATTTTGAGATAAATTCAATCGCCTGAGATGACCAGTATTGAGAAAGCAGACACAATCTATACACTACTTGATATAGAGATGAAAATGGATTCATCAAGCCATGCATATATATATATATATATATTTAACTTTAAAAAGAAACAATTCCGACATAGTACTACTGTATATATATGCCTACCTTGTTTACTTCGTCTATAACTTTTTGAAGAGCTTTAATCTCATTCTTCTTGGGATTGCCGAAGTTGAAGAATCCCGTTCCTTTCCAAACCGCTCTATTTAATTTTCCATCGAAGAAAAAAAATCAAAACTTTGACCCAATCGGCCGGCCGGTCTAAAAAAACATTAGGGCATATCGATCGATTGATCTCTAGAATTACACGATTAATTGGAGATGGACACAAAATCCTTACTGATGCTGAAGCAATTAATTTAGATATGAGTTACCTAACTTACCCGGGTGGGACTGATCGGAAAGAAGATATATAGAGATAAGGGCGGCGGCCATACAACAAACTTCTTCTTCCTGTCTTCATGATCGCTTATGGATTCCTTACGTACGTACTACTAACTAATCATCCTTAATGAACAATTAAAGAGAGTTTATAGGAATGATCATTACTATTTATTATATGCATGTTCTTCTATACAAGAAAACTTCCAATTTGCTTCCCCAATGATTATTGTCTTTCTTTAAAATCTTTTAACAAATATTGTCAATATACGTACGTACGTGATCAATTATTAACCATTGGTGTTGTAGATTATTATTATTATTATTTTTTTTCAACAACTTTCATATGTGTTGTAGAATTTTGGAAACACGGTTTTAATTATCTCACACAAAAAAAATCTTTACTAATTGATTTCAACGGAATGGAAAAAGAAGAAGACGGATGCAAATAGAGAGAGGACGTGAGAGTTGAGAGGTACGTTAGTTCAATATGTGTTTGATCATGACGGTTATGATTTTATCACTCTTGTTGAGGAATTAAAGTCTCTGATGGCTTCCTTGAGGCTCAAGAAAGGTAAGCCCCTAAAGTGTTGTAAAGAGATGATCATGCAAGTGGATGAAGATGGGGATGGTAGAGTCGATTACAATGAGTTTCTCCAGATGATGGAAAACTGGTGCCTTTAATTAGTAATAGATCATGTGTTGATTTTTTTTTAAGATTTCCATAGTTTTTATATATAATCGGTTAATCTATTTTCTCTGTAAATAAATTCTAAAATCCCAAATTGAAAATTATTTGACTTTGTCACTTGCTAATGATGTAGATAAATTCTAAAATTCCAAGTTGAAAAATCAAGTATTTTAGAAATATATATATATACAATTCCTCTATATATATATATATATATATGTGTGTATATATATATGATTGCTAGTTTGCTACAGTAGAGAGAGCAAGTAAAAAGAAGGCTAAGTTGTACACAAATTGTATCTCCCTCAACAGGTTAATTTCAAAATTTACAGTTCCTTTGTGTTTCATCAACTGATAAATCATTTTTAATTTGATTCATTTTTTAATTTATACTCAATTTTCATGGAATCATTTGTTTCTCATTGTGATTGAATTTATCATCTAGTTTAACCGAATCATTGCATGGTTTACGAGGTGCTTCTTTGGAAATACGTTTGTAAATGTGGACAAAATAGAGAGATTGGTTGATCATGATATTACTCAGTTCAAGAATCTGGAGGCAGTGTACCTTAATGACGAAATATGTAATAATTCTACTTTCTTAGATACTTACTGAATTTGAGCATGCGCCATTCGCTTTGTACCTTACAAGTTATATAAATGATTCAAATGATCCATCATTTTTAATTTGTTTGAATTTTGCACTTCTTTTATGATTCTAGCTAATGCTTCTCTTTTCTACTGTTATTGGCCTCTAAGAGTATTTTGCCTTTTGATTGGTAACAAAATTGACCATTGACTAATGAGAGTTATGGACATAACTCATAGATGATTCAAAAAAATATTAATAATAAGTTTTTTGAAGTTAAGTTGGAATTAGAATGTGTTGTGGTTCGATTTACAATTTTAAGTTGTGTCCTTTGTAAATTTGTTTACTCAAAGCATTGTTCAACATAAGGAATATTCCTTGAGTTAGACTTGAGTTATCATTTTCTTTTCAAATATTCAAACGATTGCGTGTTTTTTTTGTATTTATTATTATTTGTTCTATTTTTATGCTAAGCATATGAAAATAACTTTAATCACTCTTTTTTTTTTTTTTTTGAACAATTCATATGAATATAAGAGTAAATGAAACAAATAATGTTGGAAGAAAAAATTGAATTGAATGGAACAAATGCATTGAATATTATTGACTCAACAAAACATAGTGTGAATTTGTGATACTCTTAAACTTTTCATTATAAGTTTCTTTCTTTTGTTCCACCATAGTGGATCCATGCTTTGGAGTTTGGGCTATCTGGGCAGACGTACCTATCGGGATTTTGACCAAGTAAATTACTACTACATATATAAAAAACCTTTTCTCACCTCCAATTCAATCGTTTTTTTTTAACTAGTCCTCTAGTTGGTTTCAAATATTAACTATAGCTTTGTAAAAATAGGATGAGTTTGAAAATCTTTTTTTGGGAAGTGTTCCTACTTCTCAGTAGTGCCATATGCTTCTGGTTCCAGTTTTATATTTAAAGGCCTTAAGGTAGAAATTAAATATACAACATAAAAATTTATCGGAAAAACAAATAAATTGACGAGATACTAATTAGACTCTAGAAAATGAAGACCCTTCCACTTCCAGTGATGAGCATCGCCTTCCTCCTACTGTTGACATCATTCCCGGATCCGACGGTGGCTTATTGCAAAGAAGCACTTCATCTGTGCATAGGAACAATAAAGGGAAGTGATAGAGCCACGTATGTGAAATGTTGTGAGAGACTGATAACGCCAGGAACCCAATGTGTGTGTAAGTATGTTAACGACCCTGCGCTAATGAAAGTTGCTTACCGCCTTATGGCTGCTTGTGGAAAGCCTATGCCTATTAATAAAGACCTCAAGAAGCATTACAAGTGTGGTTCCTTATAACTTAACAGCCAATCCGATCCATACCACCAAACCAATAACTCATAGATATTCTGAATTAGTATTAATCGGGTATTTCGGGCCTTGTCTCTTTGATTTTTTTTCCTTTGTACTTTCTTTTATCTCAAGAAATATATATATATATATATATATATATATATATATATATATATATATATAAGAACATCAATCAATAATGATGGCCTAAAATATTCTAAATCTGCTAGAGAATACGGCAAGTGGTTGGCTATTCTCTTCGGACTTTACTTCACTCTCACAAAAACATGGCCAAAATGGTTTCAAGAAGGAGAAAAAAACTTGTCTTCGTGTTTGTGTTGGTCCAACGTTATCCGTTGCCCTCTGATCGAGATTAAAAGTTTTGTCCTTCTTTTTAAATGTTATATAAATTCATAAATAGTAACGACAACTATATTTATAAATTATCAAATACCAAACAACAATGTTGATGTATGTTTTAACCTAAAAATGATACTAAATGTATAAATCAGCACATATATACATATACTAAATGTATAAATTGTATATGTATAGTATAGCTTCGTCCGTTACAAACTGATTTGATCCTTTGCTTCTCTTTCGTGATCTTGAATAGATTTTAGGGTTCTTCCATTTTATTGTACAGTGGATAGCTTACTGGTTATGATCAGCATGAAAATCTAGCTGGTTTTATTACAGATGATCTTGATAGAGCATCAAAAGTAAAACCTTGACTTTATGTACACTAAATTATGCCTACGCATCATCATCTCGAGCAACATCAATGTCAGAACATAAGAAGAAGAAGAAACAAAACTTTCTTTAAGGCAATTGCAAGCTCTTTTGTTTTCGACAAGAAGAAAAAAAACTTTATTAAAAAGAGAGAAGATGGGGAATAGAAATGAGAAAAGATCTATCTCCTAAATCAAACCGCTGAAGAATGAACAAGGAAAAACCCAGAGACCAAAAGACTATACTTGGTGGTTCTGTTGATCTCTGTGTTCCAGATTCCTCACATTGTCTACTATGTGTTGGATTCTCTTAGAAAGGCTTTCGTTGTGCTGTTCGATCTGTTCAAATAGCATCTCCAGATGCCTTTTGTACGTAGCCGCTCTCTTTTTCTCTGCAGCTAGCTGCTGCATCAGTTCCTGGATTTTGTCGTGTTCATTCTGCAAATGAAGAGATAGAATTTCAAGTCTTTTGGAGTACCAAGTTAGATAGATAAAGCAAATCAAAAATTAAAGCAGCAAATAAATATATCCAATGTAGCAGCAACTAGTCATGAACCAGTGCCACAGAAGCTTATTAACCGGCTAAACAAGTAACACCAATTAGGAATTCAAATGATGCGATTGCTGACTAGAAAAATTTGTACTTTTAATTCCACCAAAAGGTTTGTGATCATCCACCTTAATACCTGAAATAAAGAATGTAGATCAACGAAAAGAGCAACAACTAACCGGATATTGATCATAGATGCAACCCCTTCGAACTCTCCCAGGCATCAAAGGATGATTATGCTCCTTGACAAACTTTGTGATAACCCATTTGCCAGAATTCTCTTTTCTAATCAAGATCATCGCTCGACATCCAACTCTCGTTTCTGCTCGTTGTCTAATAACCTTATCCCGCTTGCTAGGCAACCTGTAGCCTTCCTTGTTACAAACAAGTTGCCTGCCTATGGGAGACCCATCATGCCTTGACCGTGACAGTTTACTAACACGGATGACGAATCCTACTTTTGTAGCATATGCATTATAAAACCCATGAGCGGCTGCTTCAGATTCGAACTCCTGCCCAACACAAGGCTCATCCCCTTGATTATCTGCCATATCGGCTGCAACTGCCAGAGGAAGAGAATCAGGATTCACCTTCTCATCTTGCTCAATCATTGCTTGACCTTGACCAGAATTGTCACCCATTTCGTTATGGTTGTCATCATCTTGCTCAATCATTGCTTGACCAGAGCTTTCACCCATTTCATTATGATTCTCAACCGTGGTAACCTCAAGCTCAACAGGAATACCCATCATCATCCCAGCAGCTACACCATTATCAATCCTGAAATCCACTGCAATTCAAAAGGGCAAGGATTTACAAAGATAAATAAAAATACCAAGAAGAGCTACAAGTTTTCATCATTATGTTACTAACACATCCAAAAAACCACTATTACTAAAAGTTGTCTTCTTTTCTATAATGTTTCCCATTGTCTAGTTCAAGATATGACAACAAAGCTCAAACACAAGTGCTCTCAAAAGCATCCAGCCTCCACTCAACTATACAAAACAAAGCTTAATATGGAACCCTTCTTTGGGGTGAGTCTGAGGATTAATCTATTTAAGAAAAGTTCACCTTCCCCATAGATTCAAGATTCATCATCAAATCGGGTTTTCCAAAAGTACCGAGATGTCCAACTTCTCAGTCCCATTCTCTCGCAGAGACTAAGAGACTTAATCGATAAAACAACAAATCGAAAATCTCATATCCGAAATAATGGTGTAAGGAATCTTACTGTCAAAAGTATTTTTCCGGCGGATGTAGGTCGGAGACGACGATCGGATTAGGTTTTCGATTGGGGGGAGAGAGAGAGACAGAGAAGGTGCCGGTTCAGGGTATGGATTGCAGTAACCTATGACGTGGCGAGAGATGATTGGGTCAATATCGGAAAGAAGTCAACTCACCGTTCATCTAAGCTTTGGGAGTATCGACTCTATGGTTCCTCTGGTGCGCTTCGCCTCGTATGATAATTCCTCTATTTCTTTTTTTCTTTTTTCCCTTCCCTTTTAGATTTTTTTTTACAGCGTAATTCTCGCCGACCGACGCACCCGTTAGACCGGTGTGTGTGTCCATTACTTTTAATAAATGTTACAATCGACCCCTTTCTTATCTTTATTTACAAATTCATCCTCATACTAATAAATTCTTTAATTTCCTAGCCTTTAAATATTACTCATATGAACCAGGCCAGTTGTCACAAAATTTCGTCACACCAAATAAATGATAGTAGTAACTTTGTTAAAAATTCAATCGACAACATGATAACTAACTAATGATGGTTTACTATACGACAGCCAACTAAATTACGATGATATACTAAGTTTTATATATCCCCACTTTCTAATCATTACTGACTATGACATTTTGAATAGCAAAAGAATACATACTTGGTTGCATATTTAGGTAGATGACTTTTAATGTTACATCTATTGGAATACGAACATGCAGTAATATAACCCTCGGAACGTAAGCACATTAATACGATCATTAGAACATATCTCATCGCTCTTGTTATTTCCTTATCTACAAGACTTATCTTGTGAACATACATGTTTTTGTCGTAACATAATAATATATCAAAGATGATTCCGCAACTCATCTTTGATTCATTTAAAGATTAGAAATCAGTCATTCCTTATTTGTTTTTACATGCGAAAAATAAATGATTGCATTCAATATATATTTATACCCTTCCGAACTGCATAAAAATATAAGTTTATGTCAGTAACTCTGTTTTTCTTTGGTTGTCAAATGTATTCATTTTTCTTAGTTAGCGTTTATCTAAAAGAGACATTTTTGTGTTTCTGTAAATCATGAATTTGTTTTAACTAGATAGAAGAAAACGTCGAAGGAAATGGAAATTCGTTGATTAACGTTTTAAACGTTTCTATTTCCCATGTTAATTAAAACTAGTAAATCAGAAAGAAGAAGAAAATATATAAATAACGTGGGAAATAGGAAAATCAAACAGTCATGGTACATCTCTCATAAATACAAATACTAAAATGATCAATTAATAAGTCAAACCTAATCCCGTTTATTTTTAAAAATTATACATTAGTGTATTTCTCGATTTAGTAGATTTTACATGAGATATTCCAACGACTGTGTGTTATCGGAAATGAAAGTTATCCTAACAAATGAAATAACCGGAATTAAAAATAGGAGTAACATATTTATCCAAGAACGGATAAGCCCCTAAGTAATGAATTAACCTTTCGAAATATTATAACAAATCAGAAATTGATAATAATAGATATCGATTTTTGTAGATGTGTGCATGAGAAAATATATCAATGAGTCTTGAGTAGTAGGTATTTTATCGAAAATGAAAGTTATCCTAACAAGCAAAATAATCGGAGTCAAAGACAGGATTAATGATATATCTTCTTCTTCTCGTTTTTATTAATCTCAAAACCGATAAATCCTTAATTATGATTTAACCTTGTAAAATACGTCAGTTCCATGCACAAGCAAAAAATCTGGTTAAAAACACCAATCTAATCACTGTTAAATCTCACTAAATCGTAACATATTTTTCAAACAACCAATAGAATATTATTATTTACCATTAAAAAAAATATATTAGTTACCAAACACAAGCAGTTTCCGATATCATACGATAGCATCTTATCATATCTTTAATTGGATAAAATCTATATTTTCATTAATTAAAAAATTGTGGATTTGACTAATCCAGTCACCCTAATGCTTCTATATAAACTCTTCATATTCTCTGATACCTCTCTCACCATTGTATCCAAAACCTAGTCTCTCTCTTTCTCTCTTCCAATCTCTAATCGTCCGATCAAAACGTTCCCCGACTTCACATAATGGCTACATCCAACGGCGAGAAAAGTTTGATCGTGAGCTTCGGTGAGATGCTCATTGATTTCGTCCCAACCGTCTCCGGCGTGTCCCTCGCTGAGGCTCCTGGCTTCATCAAAGCCCCCGGTGGTGCACCCGCTAACGTTGCGATCGCCATTTCCCGTCTTGGCGGTCGTGCTGCTTTTGTCGGAAAGCTGGGTGACGACGAGTTCGGTCACATGCTTGCCGGAATCTTGAAACAGAACGGCGTCTCAGCAGAAGGCATCAACTTCGACACCGGAGCCAGGACTGCACTCGCTTTCGTGACGCTAAAAGCTGATGGAGAACGTGAGTTCATGTTCTACCGGAACCCTAGTGCTGATATGCTCCTCCGTCCCGACGAGCTCAATCTTGATCTCATCAGATCTGTACGTTATTTTCTTTCTTTTAATTTATTATTTTTAATTAATAGTATGAGACGTAGTCAAAATCTTACGTTTAATTAGCCAACGGTGCTAGATTGTTTGGTATACCGTATACGTAACGTAGATATTAAGTTAGGTCAATGAAGTGATCTGTTTTGTTTTTGTTTATAAAGGCTAAGGTGTTCCACTATGGATCAATAAGCTTGATCGTTGAGCCATGTCGATCTGCTCACTTGAAAGCCATGGAGGTGGCCAAAGAAGCTGGTGCTTTGCTCTCTTATGATCCGAACTTGAGGCTTCCTTTGTGGCCTTCCAAGGAGGAGGCCCAGAAGCAGATTCTTAGCATCTGGGACAAAGCTGAAGTTATCAAAGTCAGCGATGAAGAGCTTATGTTCTTGACTGGTTCTGATAAGGTTGATGATGAGACAGCTTTGTCTCTGTGGCACTCTAACTTGAAACTTCTCTTGGTCACTCTAGGTGACAAGGGTTGTAGATACTACACCAAGGTAATATGGTTTTGAAAGAGTACGTTTATTTTTGCGGATCTGACTTTAACCTTAAGTTTTGTTCTTGTGTGTGTTTTGATTACAGGGCTTCCGTGGGTCTGTTGATCCTTTCCATGTGAACGCAGTTGATACAACTGGTGCTGGTGATTCATATGTTGGTGCCTTGCTTTGTAAGATTGTTGATGATCGTGCTGTGCTCGAGGTAAATTCCAATCAAGTGTTCTGCAATTTCGGCATATTTACTTAGCTTGCTGACTTTGTTCCTTTTCTCTTCACAGGACGAACCTCGTTTGAGAGAAGTGCTAAGGTTTGCAAATGCTTGCGGAGCCATCACCACGACAAAGAAAGGAGCAATACCAGCTCTCCCTACTGAGTCTGATGTCCTGAGCCTCCTGAAAGGAAACTGACTTACAAATAGTCAGGAGTTTTAGGATTTCAAGTTTTAGTTTTTTTTTCCTGGCTTTTGCTATTCTGCTATGAAACTCATTTTATTCAACATTCAAGGTTTTTTTTTTGTTTTTATCTTTCTGATTACTTCGATGAATAAACAACTCTTTGTGTCAAGTTAAGTGAACAACTGTTTAAAGAACAATTGCTTGAGGATAACATTCAGAAACTTGCAAATCCAATGATCTCCAAACGTGTTTGCATTCTTCCCACCTCGAACTCATCTTCTCTAGAAATGTTTCGGCCCATACTTCCTTGCTTCCTTCTGTACTCAGATCATATGGCACCGAAAAACTGCAAGCATCACAATTAGTCATTTTCCCAGATGTGCTGTTGCTTTAGGCAAGCAGAGTCATTCTTCTTTTGAAATTCTTACCTTGTTAGCTCTTCTAAGTGAGAGTCCTTCTCAGTGGTACCATTCCTGGAAGATCTTTGAGTTAGACATTACATCAAGAATATTAGAAACTGAAGTTACAAATATACAAAAGGCAACCTGCACACTAGAACTTTGAAAATGCGGAGGGATTTGGTGGATAGGTTGTAGATTGCTTCTTCTATGTGATCTGTCCCGAATAGATACACTACTGGATAGTCCAGCAGCCATCTGCAAATATTCGATTGAACATTAAGCTTCATGGTGTGATAAACTAATATAATCTGAGGGTGGTTGAATCTTCAAAGGGATTTGAACTTTACCCGTTTAAGGTAGGGATTGTAACTTTAGTGTCTTGTAAACAACAACTAAGATCAATGCATAAAGAAGACTGAGAAGAGTTGGCTGTGGTGGTATCATTGTTGCTGTTTTCTAAAGGAAATGTGGAAGAGAATAGCTTCTGAATCGATCTAAGCTGCATCCCCAGATTGCTATCCTTGCTTTGTTCTACCATCTTGATATAAACAAAAGCAAAGACAAGATAAATCCAATGGGTGATTGAGTAACCACTTAAACAGAACACACAAGCTTTATAAAAGAAACAACCTTTGGAGGATCTTGTTCCAAGTCGACGAAGAACAATTCAGGTTCTGAATTCAAGCTGGAACTTACAAATTTGGGTAGTCTTCTTACATTTATCAGGTAAATCATATCCTCAATAACCATAACCTTCAGATCTTTGAAAACTGGTAAACCCTAAAAAATTTCCAAGACACAAGCAGGAAACAAGTTAGCTACAGACAACTCAAGGACTAATGTACTTGAAAGAGTAAATAGAGTCTAACCTCTTGAACAAGCTCAAGAAGCGAAAGCAAGCGATCCTGCAGCTCAGGCATCTTTCCACCATAGTCAATCATCACAACTGGTCTCATTCCCGTGCACAATGCCAGAACATCTGGGCCAAAAACAACCCTTTTAGCATCGGTTACAGATTCAAGCATATGGTAAATTGAGATCATACTAGAGTCAGAGTGTTGGTCTCTAATGCTAAAGTTCAAAATTCATGATGATTTTATCTCTAATAGGGAGTGGAATGTGAATAAACGCAACAAGTTAAACGCGCAAATTGGCTTTATTCTTTGGAATACCAGAGAAAGCAACCAAAGCATCATCAACCTTCAATGATATACAAAATGAGATCTAAAGAATCAAAAACATTCGTTCAGGAATTCGAAATTGGAGATACGCAGAGTTAGTATTCAAGAATCCCCAGATGAGTTTCAAACAGTCACAGAACTAGAGGATAAAAAGTGGAATCAGTGAGAGGGGAAGAAGGAGACCTATTTCAAGGCGGCGTTTGGAAGCGGCCTTGAGTCGCCATTTGATCTGAGTGAGACAAGAGCTCATAAACTGAAGCAGTTCCTCAGAGCTTGGAACCTCCATCTCGTAAGTCGCAAAAAAAAAAGACTAAAACTTCCTCCTTCTTCTTTACCGAGAATCACTTTCACCTTCGTTCTCACTCTTCAAAGCTCGGACGCTACAGAAAAGTTTCAATACAGACCCTGAACTTTCAAACTTTCGTATAAAACACCCTGAATTTTAAAATAAAACCTATCGTAAAAACACGTGTCTAGATTTCATTGGATGAGTGATGAGGAATAAGAACCTAGGGTCACACGTGCTAACAAGAGCTTCACACGACCTTTCTTTTGGTTATTTTTTCCACCTTGGATCTATGCGGTGGTGAATTCTTCGCTTTCGCAATTCACCGGGACTTAGCCGACGCACTCATCAAATCAACCGGAAAAAGCAAGCGATAAATCTATTAGCTCCTTCACAGTTGCCTTCAGGTCTGCGTTTATGTTTCCTTCTTACTAATTGTTGATTGATCTTCCTTGTTACACTTGTTTCGAGTTTTCTTTTGTGTTAATCTTCGATTACTTTTTCTGGTTCAAATAATGGTGTTTCCTTGCGATTTATCTTCGAATAACTGCGTTTTCCATGGCCGGAATCTGGATTCCATATGTCGCGGATGATATCGGAGAACCCTAGATCAGCAATGTAGTATATTCTGGTTTGCTTAGTGAAGTCTGTGAAGGGGATATAGAAAATAGAGTAGATAAAGAGAACAAATTGTTATGATTTGATCAGTAGATAGAAAAAAAAATGAATTTATGGTTGAGTTACGTGGGACAATCGTTTGATGGTTGGATTTGTTAAGGTGTAAAGAAATTTTGTTCTTTGTGCTTACGGACTTTATAATCAGTCAAGATACTAACGGTAAGCTCTTTCTGATGCTCTGGTTTAAATGCCAGAGATGTATAATAACATGGGACCTCAGCCTGGGATGCCAATGCCTCAGGCAATTCCTCAGCCTAGCCCTTTTGGTAATGCCTTCTCTGGACCTGGCTCTGGACTTATCCGGAGTGGACTGGGAGCTTATGGGGAGAAGATTTTCGGATCGAGCTCTGAGTATGTGCAGAGCAACGTAAGTAACTCCTGTTCGTTCTAGATTTTCTGCTTTACAGGGTTTTTCGTTTGTTTTAACCGGTTGAAATATACAGATAAGTCGTTACTTCTCCGACCCCCAATACTATTTTCAAGTGAATGACCAATATGTGAGGAACAAGTTGAAGATTGTTCTGTTTCCATTCCTTCACAGGGTAAGAGTCACCTTCTTATAATGGTTATTTTTGGCTTTGTATATGGGATTATGCTCATATAAGTTTTGCTGCGACCTCAGGGACACTGGACTAGAATATCAGAACCAGTTGGGGGTAGACTTTCATACAAGCCTCCAATATACGATATAAATGCACCAGATTTATACATTCCGCTTATGGCATTTGGAACCTACGTTGTTCTTGCTGGGTTTTCATTAGGACTCTATGGGAAGTAAGCTCTTTAGTAATTGTGTATTTATTCATATTTATGTCTGTTAGAGTGCATTTGTTCAAGCTTTTGATCCTTGTGTTGAATCTGAATTTGGTAGGTTTTCTCCAGAAGCTCTGAATTGGCTTTTTGTGAAAGGAATGGTTGGCTGGTTTTTGCAAGTCATGCTGCTGAAGATAACATTACTTTCACTGGGTAGCGGAGAAGCACCCCTCTTGGATATTGTGGCATATGCAGGCTATACTTTCACGGGCCTTTGTATAGCTGTTCTTGGTAAGATAATCTGGGGATATTCTTACTATGTTTTGATTCCGTGGACCTGCCTATGCTCCGGGGTTTTCTTAGTGAAGACAATGAAGCGAGTTCTCTTTGCAGAAGCTAGGAGTTATGACTCAAGCAGACATCACTACATCTTGATCTTTGTAGCTCTAGCTCAGTTTCCTCTTTTGATCTGGCTTGGTAACATTAGTGTGAATTGGCTCTTTTGAAACGCATTACGCTTACGTGGTTGTGAAAGCACTTCTGAGGTTATGTCGCAGAATTATGGTAGTTGAGCTTTTTTTGGTTTAGACTTCTGTATGTTAAAACATAAATATGGCGAAAGAAAAGTTTATCTCAAATACACATCTCTCTTTTTATCTTCTTTTTTGAATGTCAATTTTCATATACTACATTTCTACCATGACGAGACTAGAACAAGGACATGAACTTTGCTTTGGTAATGATGCTTTCTAAAAGAAATTGTCTCCCATCCGCATGATCTCTATTCCAAGCTCCCGAGCATAGCATTGGTGCATTGTGATTTTGGCTTTTGTGGTCCTTGGCAGATTGGAACGTTCTTTGGACATTGCAGACAGTTATTGGAAAGGTTTCCTCTGATCTGTTTGGAAATCTTTTGAAACTCCTCAGGAAGTGTGCCTGAGAGGTAGTTGTTCTCCAAGTATAAGCTTCTCCACGAATTCTCCAGTCTTTTCCCATAAATCCTAGGAATATCACCAGAGAACATGTTGCTCCGTAGATTGATATCCTTAAGGTTTTCGTAAGTTGCCAGGTTCAGGGGAAGGTGACCCTGTAAATGGTTTCCTTCAGCATCAAGCATGCGCAGGCGTGATCCTGTAACCTTAATAACCTCTATGGATATGAACTGGTTGAAAGACACATTGATGCGTGAAATATCAGGGAATGTCAGGATTTCATGGCCAACGGTGCCTGAGAATCTGTTCTGGCTCACGTCTAATGACACAAGCTGTTTCAGCCTATGCAAGGGCGATATACGTCCAGCAAGGCTGTTGAAACAGAGTGATAGGGTTCTTAGACTTGGGGGCAGCTTAGGAAGCATTCCGTAAAGATGATTGTTGCCGAGTTCTAATACTTGTAGCTTCCACAAGCCGTTGAGCGCAGGTATTCTTCCGTCGAGATGGTTGTTTGATAGGATCAGGTGAGTCAAACTTCTCAAGGCTGAGATCCTTGGAGGGATTTCACCGGCGATACTGTTTTTGGAGAAGTCTATGGTTTTGAGCTCCTTGAGCCGCGTGACTTCTGGTGATATGTCTCCCGTGAAGAAATTTTCGGCCAGAGAGAGTTTGGTGAGTTTCCTGAGTTGGAACACTGTCTCTGGCACTGGACCGCGGAACCTGTTCTTGTTGAGGCTAAGGACTGTGAGCTCAGTTAGGTTTCCTACTTCATCAGAGAGGAAACCGTCATAGCCGTCATCATCAAGGTCGATCTCAGTAACTCGGCTCGTCGTGTTATCGAGAGGGAAAGAACACATAACTCCCAGGAACGTCCCTGAGCCTTCACAAGGGTCTTCGGAGAAGTCCCATGTGCTGAGGTAAGAGGATGGAGAGATGGAACTTGGATCAACGCTGCGTATTATAGCCTCTAGAGCTTGAATATCGGAACGAAGAGTGGCTGAGAGAACTGATGAAGGGACGAAGACTGAAAGAACTAGCAAGAGCAAGGACATGGTGAGTAGTAAAGAAGAAGAAGAAGAAGAAGAAGAAGATGGATTTGTTTTAGCAGCCATTATTGTTATGGTTCTTCTTTAACAGGAAAGAAGGAACCATTTCTTTTTAAGAGAGTAGTCTTGTAAGAAGAAGAAGGTCGTGTTGAACCTAATTCAAATCTAACATGCTTCAAAGGTTTTTTGGGTTTGTTATTGGTGACATTTCACATATTTGTAGCATGCATCATACCAAATTATACATCAAACCATATATTAACCGACTCACAACATTTAGTTTCATTTAAGCAAAAACATCATTTTAATTAATTAATTTCGCCTTCTTCTTTTTTTTTTTTCATATGTTTCCACGCATTTTTAATACATAGTTTTGAATGGAAAATTCAAGTTTCTCAATTTCAATCCTTTTTTATAGTTATCCTTAAGTTACGGGAAAAAGGTATAGTATGATATATACTCAATTATCTTTCTGTTAATTTATGTTAAAAATAAATAGAAGAAACAAAATGATAACAAAAATTAATGGCTATTATTCGTTTTCTATGAAATCAAATTTTGGTTCAATTCACATCACAAATTTTGGTCAGCTTGAAATTTGGACAGTTAATCAAGAATTTCAATTGTTTTTTAGAAAAGAAAAAAAAAACAAAACAAGAGGTAATCATTGGAGCAATTATCTAAGAAAAGACAATTGAAACATTCCACGATATTTTTAAAATATAGTAATTCACTATATATAGAAGTTCAATTTTACATATAAATAAGTCGATTGTTCCACCAAAGATTACAAAACAAAAAAAAAAAACAAAAAAAAAAACAAGAACCATTTAAGAACTTATTAAGCAACAATGGCCATCGAAAAGAGAACCATGATTGCCTCATTCGTCATCGTACTGATGATGGTAACGATGATCGTGACCAATGTTGAGGCTAGGAATCATGTCAAGATCAAGCCCCCAGCAAACCCCAAGTTTTACCTTTTCTAAATTGATGGCTCATAAAATGTTTACAAGAAAATAAATGGTTATTGCTTCGACGTACGAGGAGCTTAGCTTCAAGCATTGGTTTTAACCAATGTTTGTTTTTAATATGTATTTCACTTCCATCCTCTTATTTGTTTAGTTATGGATGGATGGAGTAATTTGAATAATAAATTGTGTAAAAAAAAAAGAATATTTATACGTTAATGAAATATAATAGTTTCATATTTCAGTGACAATAATGTTTTTTTTTTTTTGCTATGAATGTTAATATAATTATAAGTGAAAACGTTTGGTTTTATTTACATAGTAGAAACCTTTAGATTTGAATTCTTAAAGGAGACAATACAAGTAGGAAATCGAGTGAAAGAGTTTCATCTTATCCAGAATTTCATCAAGTTACAAAATCATTTGCGCTGTTGCGGAATCGTCTGCGCTTTTGTCTTGTGATTACTTTTCTTGTTTTATCGATAATGTTGTGTACAGAAATTGATAACATTGTTCTAGGTCAATATATAATTTTTAGTTTGTAACTTTTGAAGAGGATGTAATATATATCCTTATATTAATTCTATCAGTTTCTTGTTTTATCGATAATGTTGTTTACAGAAACTGATAACATTGTTCTAGGTCAATATATAATTTTTAGTTTGTAATTTTTGAAGAGGATGTAATATATATCCTTATATTAATTCTATCACTGATAAAATTGTGTTATTGAGTTATCTTGTGTTTCGAATATCTGTATATATAGAAGGGTTGGTTCGTTTCATTGTAACTTATTGATTGATGAATAAACAACAACGTAAACAACAACGTGAGACTTAGAAATACATATTTACGTAATTTCCAAAATTTGGTCGTTGATTAGTTAAACACTGGAACACGTCACTGGATTGTAACGATGTGTTCAAGTAATGATGAAACGAACATAGTTTTGATATCGTCATAACATAGTCATGTAGCGTAACATAATATGTTATGTTATTATCACTGTTCTTTACTCTATTTTTGTTAAAATATGTTATTGCTATGAACAATTTCTGAAATCCAATCTTCTATTTTATTGTCTCTTTTATTTTCTAGACAGCCTTCGTCAAAAATAATCAATATACTAACATTAATTACTACTCTAAACTCTTGCCAATAATTAAACCTTAAATGCAAAAGGTTGTTGCTCTGCGTAATTTATTTATGTATGTATACTTGATTGAAATTGGATGGTGATAGGCCCAGTTCCATTACCACTTAGGCCCAGTAGCAAAAAGTCAAGCCGCCGACAAAGTCAAAAAAATGTTCGATCTGATAAAAAAAAATTCAGTGTGAGAAAATCTGGAACAAGTTAGCGCGAACACGAAGAATCGAGAATCAATTCTCGAGGAAGAAAGATCTCTCTTTTATCCTTCTGGCGAATACTTATTAGTTTGGTCGGTGGGTTTAGCTGTTAAAGGTCACTGCTTTGAGTTTGTTTATTCCTCCCCAAAAAAAGAAAAAAAACTTAATTCTCAGATCTGTGTATTGGCCTGCATCGTTTGAAGCTCATTGTTGATTTAAAGGAGAGAAATTGAGCATTTTAAGCATGGGAAGGCCTTTGTTTTATGATATCATCGAGAAGCCAGCAACGAGCTGCATTGTAACGATATGCAGTGTGATTTGGTTTGTGATTCAGAAGAAGAGTATTGGTTACTCTCAAGTTGGATTGAGTTACGATACTGCGGTCGAAGGGCACTATTGGAGGATGATCACCTCTGCGTTATCACATATCAGTGTCTTGCATCTTGTGTTTAACATGAGTGCTCTATGGAGTCTTGGTGTTGTGGAACAGCTCGGTCATATTGGTCTTGGGACTGCTTATTACCTTCACTACACTCTCCTTCTTATTGTCTTCTCTGGTGTTTTGGTTATTGGGATCTATCATTTGTTGATTGCTAGATTCAATATTGATTATTTCCGGAGAGTTACAGCTGTTGGGTACTCTTGTGTTGTCTTTGGTTGGATGACGATTCTCTCTGTGAAGCAACCTTCTTCAAAGCTGGATCTTTTTGGGCTCTTGTCTCTTCCCATTAGCTTTGCGCCGTTCGAGTCACTCATTTTCACTTCCATCATCGTGCCACAAGCTAGTTTTCTGGGACATTTGTCGGGAATCCTGGTTGGCTACGCTATTTCGTGGGGTTTGATTGGCGGGATGAACAACTACTGGGCTCTTACTATGCTTGGTTGGATCATAGTGGTTTTTGTTTTCAGTTTGAAGAAATCGGGTGCTTATGATTTCAGTTTCCTGGAGATTGAATCGCTTAGTGATGCTTCTTTACCCTCAGTGCGGTTTATTGGAAATGGCCGGACCTTGCAAGCCAGTGCAGTCCCTCTAAGTGGAGTGGACGTTGTTTGAATGTGGGAACAAATTTCTTGTCGTCGAGGCAGCAGATGAAGACCAAAAGTTGGTAACCAAGCTTCTGCAGTTGCAACAGATACTTAAGGCTTGCTTGAACTGTTTGTGAGAATGCTTCCTGCATAATGTGGTGACTGGGGAAGGATTCCTTGACTAATCAAGCTAGTGGTGTTGAGGCATCATTACAGATGAATATGGCACTCAATTATTTTGTCATGTGATTGATGTATAGTTGCGGAAGGATCCTATGTCTTACCTAAAGATTCCATCCACTAGACATGTTTCCTCATTTGTGACCTTCACATTTATTTCAATATGAAAGCATGCCACCAAACAGTCTTGTATTACTGGCCTTTCAACTATACATTGTAGGGATATTTAGTGAAATTATCACAATGATATATTGTATCTGTTTTATCATCTACACTCTTTCTGTTTCACAAGGTGATTAGATGAATTTTCTGCAGGTCTCTAAGACTAGAGCATTGTCTTCTTTTGTAACTAATTTGCATCTTGCGTCATTTCCTTGTTTTATATTCCAAAAAAAAGAAGGTAAGAGAAGGGTAGAACAATCATTGATTCACAGTAAAAGGTTTTATTTATGAGCAGTTATAGGTTGGATGATTATTTCGAAGCTATATCTCAAATAGAGTCATGTCAATTGTATTTGTATCAGAGTAATCTAACTTAGATCAACTTTTGACTAGTTCTTTGTCTCCATTGAACCTACTTTCAACCCAAAATTTATTCACAAAATCTGCATTTCTCCACAAATATAATGCTCTCTACATTGCTTATATAATCTGTACATTGATCAGGTGAATCTGATCTTACTTTCTGGTCCATCCTCTGAGCACTTTTGAAATGGAGAAGAAAGGCCAGTGTGGTACATATGACTCATTGTTGACTCATCATCCGATCCTCTGTATCATTGCTTTATCTGTAATTTTTATAGCTATCGACCCCTTTCACATAAGTCCAATCGGGGGTCGTGAGTTCAAACCCGTGAAGCACGAGGTTGCTCCATACAAGCAAGTCATGGAAAGCTGGCCAAGAGACAACCTTAGTCGACTGGGTAATCATGGGAAACTGGAGTTTGTGGACCAAGTCTTTGGTCCAGAGTCATTAGAGTTTGATAGTTTAGGTCGTGGTCCATACACAGGGTTGGCTGATGGAAGAGTGGTCAGATGGATGGGTGAAGCAATTGGATGGGAGACATTTTCCGTGGTAACATCAAAATGGTAAAACATTATATATATATATTTAATCACTTCTTTTGTGTGCAGAGAGTTTTGTTTTTAGTTTTTTATTGATGGTTTGTGTTCATGAGAATTAGGTCAGCGAAAGCTTGTGTGAGAGGTGTGGATTCAACAACAAACAAGCAATGGAAGCACGAGAAGCTGTGTGGGAGACCTCTTGGTCTGAGATTTGATAAAGCGACAGGAAACTTGTATATTGCAGACGCTTACTATGGTCTACTTATGGTTGGTCCTGAAGGAGGGATTGCGACGCCTTTAGCTACTCATGTGGAAGGAAAGCCTATACTATTTGCTAACGATCTTGACGTCCATAGGAATGGCTCTATTTTCTTCACTGACACCAGCAAAAGATATGACAGAGCGTAAGCAAAACTCTGTTATTCTTGCTTTGTAGATCCATTCCTACCTTTAATCATGTAAATTCTATGATATGAGATTATATTTGTACTTTTTGTAGGAATCATTTCTTTATATTACTGGAAGGAGAATCAACAGGAAGGCTTCTAAGATATGATCCACCTACCAAAACAACACACATTGTGCTGGATGGTTTGGCTTTTCCCAATGGAATTCAGCTCTCTAAAGATCAATCTTTCCTTCTCTTCACCGAGACAACCAATTGCAGGTATAACCATATAGACGACCCTTAACATTCAGACAAGACTAGGTCAAACTCCATATTTAAATGTTTTTCTGCCTCAACTTTGTGTTTATATTGATGTATCTGTCATTTCATTTCTCTTTATCAATATGTATATAACAGATTGGTGAAATACTGGCTGGAGGGTCCAAAGACGGGTGACGTCGAGGTGGTGGCCAATCTCCCGGGATTCCCAGACAATGTAAGAATAAACGAAAAGGGTCAGTTTTGGGTTGCAATAGACTGTTGCAGAACACCGGCACAAGAGGTTCTTACAAACAACCCTTGGATAAAAAGCATCTACTTTCGGTTGCCAATACCGATGAAGCTGCTGGCGAAAACGATGGGGATGAGAATGTACACTGTGATATCGAGATTCGACGAGGAAGGTAAAGTCTTGGAGGTGCTTGAGGATAGACAAGGCAAGGTAATGAAGCTTGTGAGTGAAGTGAGGGAAGTTCAAGGGAAGCTCTGGATTGGAACAGTGGCTCATAACCACATTGCCACTTTGCCTTACCCATTAACAATGAATCAATGAAGCACTTGTGTAGTTCTTAGCTTTTGTGTTCTTGATAGTCTCTTGATTTAAAAATTCATGAGGATAAAGAAACAATATAAACAAGTTGATGATTGAACTTAATCATCTCTCTGTAACTAATTATCTTCGTTTTGATTCGAGTTCCATTGGACTGATTCGTCTTTTGTGGATGTTATGAGAACTGATGCATATATTCTTCATGAAATTCTTTTTCTTGAGTCTCATTTTAAAAAATAATAATAATTTGAGATACAAATAATAGAATTTGATTACTCAATAGAATCTAAAAGCACACAATTTGTACAGCCTTGTACATAATAACAGGTAGAATGCATATTTTTTGTTTTCCAAAAGGGATACATTGATCAAAGTGATGCCCCTTGTCTCGTCTGGTTCGGACAAAAGAAGCTCTATGCGATATCATCCCTTGGCAACACACTTTCTCCATCCCAACATGTAACATAACAATAACGGTCGGCATGTCAAAAACGGCAACACTAAAACCCACCTGCCGATTATATTATTAAATGAAAGCAAGATTTACATTTGTAAAGATCATTTTCATTGAGATAAGTAAACAAGTCTGTCGACACATACAGAGAACTTGTGTACGTTCAATCTTATATTTTTCACACGGTTTCTATAAAGAGATGCAGCCTGATAAGCTTCAGATATCTCACATACTAAACAGTTTCGCCCAGATAATTTGTTTGAGAAGACATAACGTAGCAGGAGCATCACAGCACAAGAACCTAATACCCCAAAGAGCAAGAATGGTGAATATTACCTATCGATTATGAAGCCATTTGGAGCTAGTCTCCAGGGCCTTGTCCAGTCGAAGCATTTGATGGCTGTTGCTGAATCTGTTGAAGCAGATTAGCCGCAAACTGTAGAGTAGACTGGTATCGCTGGTTCTTATCAACCTCACCATCTGATGTACCTTGTCCAGCTCCAGAGAGCAAAGGCTGAAGCTGCAGCTGTGCTTGGCTAGACGGATCCAAGTTTGTCAAGTTAACTGATGGTGGCATCACAGTTTGAGATTTGGAAGTATTTGCGTTATGCCCTTGATTATTTGTCAGACCATGATAATTATCTTGTTGATAACCATGCAAACCAGGGTTCTCAGCTATAGGGGCCGATATGTAGTTTTGGTTAAGCATGGGAGCTTCAGGCTGATTTTGCTGTCTCATGGGTTGAGAAACATCTTGATGTGAATCTTGAGAGTACATTGCATAATTATTCGATGGAGGATTAGGTAACGGAGCTTGCAGAGGCGTACTAACAAATGGTGCTTGATATTGCATACCACCATGGACCATCCCACTGGAGTAGCTTCGTGTGCTTGACACCGGAGGATAATGCCTAGGAGGAGGAGGAAGTGGAGGAGGAGGAGGTAGTTGCCCCACCGGATTGTATTGGCTGCCTAATTGCTGGAATGATAGATTTGATCGGTCAGAACCCGTTGATTGATCTCGATTCCAAGAATGTGTCGGACCTTCTCCATTGGACAGTTCAACCAGCTGTTGACTTTCAGAGGCAGTAGGTAGAGAAGTTGTTGGGAGCAAGGAGGCCAGAGTGGCTAATAGCTCAGGCGTTAGGCTAACCCTGGCTCGAGGCATTGCAGTGTTAGGTACAGAAACTGGCTCGCTAGAAGGACCGAGAAACGATTTTGGGGGAGGCTTTGATTCTTCCTGCATACCTCTGTTGTAATCAAACACAGCTCTATCTTCTCTAGCGGCATACAAACCGTGATGGGCATTGGGAGGTGAACTCCGAGATTGCTCCAGATAAGATTGAGGAATGGGATGAGATTCTTGTTTATACGATACCACAGAAGGAACCTGGGGTGGGGGCAACTTGAGAACAACACCATATAACCGTTCTGGGCCAGACACTTTGAGCACATCAGTTAAGAAATCGGATGGAGGAACCAAAAATAAAGTGGTTCCATCGTCTAACTTGGCCACACCTGCTCGATTCTTTGAACCAAGGTAGCGGAGAAATTCAGTATAAGACGCGAAATCATCTTCTCTGTCTGGTAAGAAGAAAACGATTTCAAATCCAATGGCTTCGGCGTAATGTTTGGCAAGCATATCCAAACCCGTTCTTGCTGAACAATTGACGGTCTCAGGGCTATTAACCATTCGAAAAATCGAGAATCAGCAATCTAGAGCAGTGTTATCAATGACGCAAATCAACACTACATTCAGTTTGAGATCAGAAAGTAGACAATACACAGATTGCCTAAGATATCATGTCTAAAAGAACTTTTAAGCAATGAACTACAAAACTTCCTATATGTACGAAAAAATTAGGAAGGCCAAAATGTTACTCACAGTTCAGTTTCAATCCCCTTTCCAATAGCTACACAACGAGCATGACAAACAGAAGTTCCACCTTTGGCAATGATTCCTCTCCACATGAAATCAGCATCAGGGAAACCACGCCCAGACCTCACTGCAACTGAACCACACCCATATGACCTGTTGAACACAGTGACACGATCATCTACACCCATTGAAGGAAAAGCATCAACTGATTCATCTCTACGGGTTCTTTTGGGTTTTGTATCCAACTCAGCAGGGTCATATCCTTCCCAAGAACCAAGGGTTGACCTAACAGGTAGCCTTGTATTTGGTGCAGGAGCCTGGAGTTTTCCAGCTCCAGTTGGAGATGGCCTCCCCCAGCTTCCTTTCGTACCAACCACATCACTATATTCTAGACCACTATGTGAACGTTCAACGCTTCCTCGAAAAGGCCTCATAGGGCCGCAAATCCCGCTAGAATGTGGTGACGACATAAATGGAGGATCATTGATGAACATCTCAGGCCTTGATCGTTTGGCAGCAGAATGAAAACCGGTATCATCTACTCGTCCAGGGGGAATGTCATCGTTTGAGTACATTATTGTGATTCTTTGATCGTTCAGTAACCTTCCCTGTAGTCCTTCCTTAGCACAGCGGGCTTCGTCAACGCTCCTAAACTCAACAAGCGAAAAATGTCTTGATGGGTAACTAATACATCTCTCAATTTCACCAAAGAGTATCATGCAATTGTGTAGCATCTGTTCGTCAATCTGAACAGAATGAGGGTATCCAATCCACAGTACTTTACTTGGTTGGCCGTCTCCTTTACCATCTCCAAATGAGTGAGCGTACTGTTAAGCATATTACAATCAGAACTTAGAAACTTGGCAAGAACAAGGGTTTGTCGTAAAATCTTATAATCATTAAATGGCAAAGCAATAAAGGTATACAAATCACCAACAAAAAAAAAAAAAAGAAGGTCTAGCAATAAGCCTGACCTGTTGTTTAGCACTCAAACTGCCATCCATGCCATCAACAGAGCCAGGCCATGGTTCCTAAAGAGAGTGAAAAGTGTTACATGGTTTCGAAATGGAAAAGGACCAAATGGATTCTGCAATGTAAATGTTAGAAGAAAAATAAGAATAGAATGAATCAAGCAAATACTCCTTCTAGATGCACAAGAAAGTTTCCAGCCATGGAAGTCATATCGAAATCATGAAACTTAAATCACTCAGTGAGAGTTTCTGACAAAAGGATTACTAAAGCAAATTTATACGTTAACAAAGTCCGACAAATGGATGCTTACTTTCCGTGGCCCTTGTGATCGAAGAAAATCAACTCGCAAATAGCTACTGCCCATTCTCTTTCCATTCATGCTCATAGCTTGTATTGCATCTTCCATGTTATAAAAGTCAATGAAGGCTGTCTTGAGTTCCCTAAGAAACCTGAAGTTTTCGATTTCCCCAAATTTCCTGAACTCTGCCTCCAGGTCATCCTTTGAAACACTAGGGCGGATTCCACCCACCCAAAGACTCTTACAAGGTTTTGCCTGCAAACAATTAAGTTCCATGAGAGATGACTATATCATAAAATCGCAGCTCAGTGGCAATGGTGTAAGTCAGCGAAGTCATAAACAAGAAAAAGAAGACGAGTTTGATACACAGTTGCTTTCTTGTTTCGTATTGGCATCAGTTTTCTATACTGTAGAAAACTCTCATGAAGCAACCAAGTAAACGCTTGAGAAAGTTAATTCGAGTAGCGAAATTTTGGCGGTTTATAATTAAAATCCGCGGAAACACAACCATGAATCTGGGTTCAAAATTTGATAGGGACAGGCACTAACACTAGACGTGACAGTAATCACTAGTAATAAAACAAACATAAATTTTACCACTGAAATCAAGTGTATGAAACCCCACAATCGATCTAATCATAAACAAACCGTAAAATTGAAGGAAGAAAGTAGAATAGAAACCTAAGAAAACGCAGAGATGAGAACAAACCGGTCGAGCGAATTCGATCTTAATCTGACTCTTCTTCTTCAACTCCCGCGAAATGGAAATCAGAAGATTGAGCGCTCGTGTTTGAAGACTGAAGAAGATAAAAGAGAACCAACTATGAAAATAACGACCGCAATTTCTCAGAAGCGACGACGTTTCCTATATACTTTCACTATCGCCGTACTAAAATTCAGTGATGTTTGAAATATTTGTCGACTGCAAATTTGAAATTAAAAAATTCAGTGATGAGTTTGTTTTTAACAGCTCAAGATTAAAGTATTCTCAGACGCAAAACTGGAGATCTTTGGGAGGCATATAGATTACTAAACCATGTCGTCGATAGCAAAATACAAATCCATTCTCATAAATAGTCTTCAAGTTATAACAAAGAAACTCAAGGGAAGTCTGAACCATGATAATTCCAAAACACAGCAGAGAGAAAAACAAAATCTTCTAAGAGAAGGGTGTATAAAACTTCAAACACTGGTGGTAACAGATCCTGATTTCAATAGCTCTTCAAAGGTCTTGCACACTCAAACCTGTAATTAAGAAATGGCATATACAACTCAGATAAAATAATTTTCCAATACATGTCACATTACTGATAAAAAGAACCTAAAAGACTTGGTACTCAGATGCATGATTCCTAAAACTATTATGATAAACATGTGTATGAATTACTCGAATCTTTTCAGGCTTCAAATACTAAAATCCAACAAAACTTTCAAGTGAAATGCAAACCATGTGCCAAAATCTAACAACGATATGAAATAAAGAGGTTTCATAAGTGTGCAATGTGATGTTTGAGCTATGTTACAGAGAGATAGAGATGAGATAAATTTACCCGGAGGAAGAGATTGCTTCAACTTATCAGCCTTCTCTTGGTCGAAGACACATAGTGTGTAGAGGTACCTTGAGCATCTGACCTTGAACTTGACGATGTCCTTGCTTCTCTTAATCTTCACAGACCTAGCATCCTTCCTTCTCGCAGTCAGAAGGAAGTCCTTAATCTCATGGATTTGCTTCGGCTGCACAGACATCCAAAATCAAATTTCCATTTTCATTTCTATACATTTTCATAAACCCAAAATGATCTCAGCAACTAGCAACACTACTCAAAAAACAAAACAAATGTTTGTGCATAAACTTATAATCAATCGATCAATGACGAGAAAGACTCATAATCTACTCAATTACTACAAACCCTAGTGGCGATAACAACTAGCCAAATTCAGAAGACAAAATCCGTAAACGATGAGATCAGAGAATGACGATAAGGAACTACGAAGACAGTGATAACAAATAGATAAGCTCCTATAGACTCATGGAAGAATGATAAGAACTGAGAGATGACGACGAAATTTTACCATTGTCGGATGCGATTTTGTGGCTGCAACTTTCTCTTTTACCCAGAGTACAAACAGCAAAAGCAAGAACTCAGCGTCGGGAACTAATAGAGAACCCTAAATACGAACAAAACCCTAGAGTGCCATATACTCGAATTTCCAAATATACCCCTAAGGCCCATTAATCCAAAAATTTTCTTATTGGGTTTAGTGGCCCAATTGTTTCGTTTGGTAATATTTCGGGTCCATTAAGCCGAGGGAAGGGTATAATTGTCAGAGAAGGCATCAGTTTCCAATGATTTCAACATTAGCGCCACTGAATGGGGTTTTCCCGCGCCACTAAAAAAAAAGCACTCTTCTTCCTCTCCCAAAAGCCCTAACCTGTTTCTCGCTTTCTCGCTTTCTCGCTTTCTCGCTGTCACTGCAGTTTTTATTTGAAATTGAATTGGTTTCTCTACTTTATATATATATTTCACACCTTCGATTCGATAATCCTCGTCTCTCAAATCGTGTCAGTCTCCATCTCTGCTTGTTTAGGGTTTCCTTAATTGTGGGTCACGAAGAAGGAAGTAAATGTTTTATTCACAGACGTTATTGGCTCGAAAGGGTCCAATGGGTACGGTGTGGTGTGCCGCTCACGTGCAAAACCGTCTTAAGAAATCTCAGTACACCGCCATCGACATTCCTAAAACAGTTGGTTCGTCTTTACTCTCTTCAGTTTTTTTTGCTTTTTCTTCCAAAGTTCATTTTTTTTTTAAATCCCTCCGATTGTACCCAAATCTAAATTTCACAAAGTGTCACTTCTGCTTAGTTATGATTGCTTTGACATGGGCATTCTCCAAAATCCGATTTTGTGGTTTATAATTTAACCATTCCACTGATTGAATTTCTCATAATTTCGCCTGAGTATTTGCTGCTTTGATAAAAGTTGATGACTTTGCGATAATTTTGATTGGTTATAGGATCTCATGACTGTCTATATTCACGGGGATTGTTGATTAGTTTTAAAATATGTAATTGCCTTTGCAGATAGTATAATGTTTCCTGAGATACCGTTGGCATTGAGAACGTCAAGTCACCTTCTGATTGGGGTTGTGCGAATATACTCAAAGAAAGTCGATTACCTTTACCATGACTGGAATGTCCTTAATACTTGGGTTGCTAAAGCTTTCGTCTCTGCTCAAGTTGACTTGCCTGAAGATGCCAGACATGCCCCGCCTGAGTCTGTGACTTTGCCTCAAGCACTCAATTTAGACGATTTTGACTTGGAAGATGACACTCTCGAGATGTATTCTTCTCTTCACTTTTTTCATTCAAGTTTGATCTGTTATAAAGTTTGACTTGGAAGATAACATCTTTTTTATTCTTTTTTTTTCTTGCCAATCATAGGGAATTCGATAATCATACCCGGAGTGAAGAAGATATCACTCTCACAGGTACCTTTTACCTGTTGTTTGTTTTGGTTGTTGATGCAGCATACCATGATTTCGACGTGTTTCTGATTCTGATGCTTATTTTGCAGATCAAATTCCTACTGGCATTGATCCTTATGTTGCTGTAACATTCGATGAGGTGAGATAAACACTTGCTTTTTAGGACTTGGAACATATTCTGACCACTGCTTTTCATGTCTCCGGGAATGTGTTATTGAATGAAAGTTTGTATGTCCTTCTTACAGGACATCATCTCAGAATCTATCCCGATGGATGTCGAGTGAGGCTCTTCACAGAGTTTTTGATTTCCTTTACTACACCTTGCTCTAACTCTTCTTTTATCTGTTCAATGATATGCTATTAATGTGCTTATTTCTTTTTATGATTTGAGCAGCCAATCCACAGTACCTATGAGTGGACATATTGGAGATACTGATGTTGGAAGGGCTAATGTGGCAAGATCAGAAAACGAGCCAAGAGACACCAATATTACTCGAGATATAGGAACCGATAGTCCTCGTAACTATAGTCCTCGCAATGTCACAGAGGAAATCCTTGAAGTTCAGGATCCTAGACAAAGTAACTTGACAGAAAAGCTCAATCCCAATATCAAGAGAAGCGATGTCAATTCTCCGGGAAGTATTCCCGAGATTGAGATAAGACGTGATGCTGCGCACGAATCAACCCCTGCGTCCCATCCATCATTTCTTGCAGAACAACATAATGTCAGAGTTGAACGCACTGATTCTTTAGATGAATCTTTGAAAGAAAAGGACTCCATTATCCCTAGTATTGATGAAGAAATCTCAAATTTAAGAAGGGATTCGACGTTTGAGCTTCGGTCAGAATCTCCAGGTTTTGCTGGTTCTGAAGAAGAACGTGCAGATTTTGGTGAGTAAACAACATAGTCTTATAATTTTAAGCTTAATGAATACATTCTCTTCCCAGTTATTTGTTTTGAACACTTTTTTTTATATGTTAGCGCATCCATCTCCTCAACTGGTGCTTCAGCCTTCTCCTCCTCCCCCACCACAAAGAAGGCCAAGGAAGAGGAAGCTCTTCGATAAGGTCACAGTACTAACCAACAGGTAATAACTTTTCATTGCTTCATGTTTATTTTATTACTTCTTGCGTACTGATACAAAGAATATGGACAGGAATATAAGACAAAGGCTCCAGGATCCTAGTGATACACTTCATAAGAGGAAGAAGATGCCTAAATCTAAAGTAAATATCTGGAGACTGAATAACCTGTCAAAGAAGGATCAAACTTTTAGTGAGCCCTTATTGACTGGTAATTTCCTATTGGTTCTTCATTTTCGACACTTTTGCCTACTTATGTTCTTTGTTTTTGAAGAAAGACTATTGCCTGTCTATGTCTACCTGCAGGCTTCTCAGATGTTTTACGCAGTGTCTTTGAAAAGGACTATGTAGCTTCAAAGCCATATCTTGTTGTTTCTGATGAAACTTTTCCAGAACCTTCATCTGTATCTTCTCCTGCTCGAGGAGCTGAAACCGAAATTAATCCAGTCTCTCCAATGCCAGAAACCATGGTCCCTGATTCAACAAATCGAGACAGTACAGTTCAGCTGTCTCCAGCTCAGCAAACTGAAGATGTCCAAGATTTTGCAGGCCCTCAGCCGACGCATTCAGAGTCTGTAGCAACAGAAGCACAATCTCCTCAGACATTTAATAATGAGGACATGGGATTCGAACATTTAAGGGATGGTGGTTTCCCTGTGTACATGCCATCACCACCTCCAAGATCTTCACCTTCTAGAAGTGATGACTTCACCACTCAGCCTGGAACTTGGCAGACAAGATCTGATAGAACAGAGCCTTCAACTTCCACAAATCCAGAAATTATGCCTGAACAAAGAAACTTGGGGCTTTCACCTGTTTCTGAAATGACTGATGAGGTCTGTTCTCACGTTTTTGTGTGTTATGTTTTTACCATTCTTGGTGCTTCACTAACATTGATAGTAATACCATTTGTATGTGCCATACAGGAACTTTCTTTCCTGGAGATAGGTGGAAGTACTCCCTCAAGATCACCAGCTAGTCAGGATTCTGATGGGTTGACAGGGAGAACAAGGTATATAGATTCCAAAGCCACGTAGATTTAAGAGTCTACTGTTTCTCCATTTATTTATAACAATTATTGAAATTTGCAGAGCCTTGGTTCAGTATCTTAAACTACGTTCTTCACATAGTCCCACTTCAAGCCATCCTTCCGGAGATCTAAGTTTGAGCGACATTTTGGCAGGGAAGACAAGGAAGCTAGCTGCTCGAATGTTCTTCGAGACTCTGGTGAGTTATTCTGGATACATACATTTTGTCCCCCCGTCATATCTCTCTGCACTGCCTTTAGCTTAGACAAGTTGTTTTGAATTACAGGTACTGAAGTCTAGAGGACTTATAGATATGCAACAAGACAAACCATACGGCGATATCGGTCTGAAGCTGATGCCTGCTCTTTTTTCAAAGGTTCAAACATGAATAAACAATGATCACTAGATTATTAACATTGAAGTTTGACGAGCAAGTAGGCATTTGTTGATCCCTGGTTTATTCACATTTTTGTACAAGAAGTAAAAGCTTTACTCAAGAAAACATGTGTAAATGTCTAAAATCCATCATTGGTAAATACTTCACATAACTTAAAATTGACTGTTGTAAAAAGACAAGGTTTGCCATTCTCTAATAGTTTTGGAAATAAATTAGTAGCCACGGGTTGAGATGGAACATATCAACATTCAAAATATCCACATGTGAGATTATATGTGAACATATCTCATGGATATGGGAGTCACTCAAAAAGTCCACCTGTGAGATTATAGAGAAAGTCCTTGAAGGCTTGGAATCCAATGAAAAGTACTTATTGCAGCATCTCTCTAATCCAATAGATCAGTATATTTTTGACATTTCCAACGGGAAAAGAAAAACTAATATATTTGTTGACTTCTCTTATGTTTTACTCTCTAGTTGGACTGGACTTAAATAATGTATATATTTAAGGTCCGTTGTCCATAGTTGGGCTTGCTGGGCCTATTTTGGTCTCATCTCATGAACGTAAGATTCCCAACGTAATAAGACAAGAAAAGAACACGATCTAATCCGCATCGATCCCGCAACGTATTAAAAGCTCTTACAGAATTAAATCCATGTTTTTTTGGATACTTTTGTTTACGATGAATTTGAGCATACTAGATCTTTACGATGGTCGATGAAGTTGATCGATATAGAAAAACTTTTTATAAGTGGGTTAATTACAAGAGACTTTATACATATATGAAAAGTTGTAAAAGAGAACTTGCATGCTTTTATTTTGTTTTGATAGTCAAGTAGCAAATCTAATTTTGCGCACCAAGACTAGCTTTATTTTACGCCAATAGAAAAGAAATTAACTGAAAATTGGGTGGTGATGACCACAACATACACACAGGTGGCAAAACTACTGAACTATCAATTGTATATATATTCTCGATTTAGTTCTGAATGTAACAAAAGAAAAGGAAACACACAGACACACAGGTTACGTACTCATCTTATCAATCTATATCATTCGATGTTAGAAAGCGACCAACGTCACAAGTTGACATTATTACCTGAAAAAAGAATTACAGTGGAAAACTTCTCCTTTCGACGACGTACGTTAAACACTTTTATATATTTATACAACAATTCTTATAGCTAGCTTTATCAACGATTCGTCGATTACTTTTACTTTAGTGCGATCGAATATTATATATGACTTATTTTTATTTATTAAGGTTGTGCAAACGATTGATGAAAGAACCTTTGTTTTTATAACAAAAGAAGTAAATGGTACACCGTACACCTGTTCTTAAGATGACGTACATCATAAATATGAATATACTTCCTTCTTTTAGTCTCAACAACAATGAACATAGACACAAATATATATACCTCTTCATTCTTTTTCTTCGTCGACAGATACTTTTTGTGTATATATATAGTAAATTACTTGAGTCAGACGACATTTCAACAACATACATACATATATAAGACAGCTAGCTAGTTCACTAATACTATATATGATTCATGAATTGGTCGACTATTTCAGCCTATAGCTATATCGTGTTATATATAGCTTACAAAATATATCATATGTCACACAACTATATAGTTACTCCATTTACGATATTCTCATCATGTATATTCAAGTAAAAAAAAAACATGTAAAAACTGTAAATTTGGTTTTTGATTGAAACAAACAAGTTGCCGTCAAGGCAAAGATAAGGAGATGATATTTTTTTTTTTTTAGATGACAAAAAAAAAAGAAGGAGATGATATTTTAATTGCTACGTACGTACACCACAGCATAATAATGAAAAAGAAAAAACTAAATAAGTAATCAATCACACTAATATAATAAAGTTGACAACAAAGTAAATTAACTAATCACACTAATTAATTAGAAAATACTACTAGTAAGACGGATAAAAAAGAATTCAGAGCAAATAGGAGAAGAAGCACATTACTACAAGGTTAGGTGGGTAGCATTGTATATTGTTGAAGATTCCATTCCACCACGCATGATATATTTAGGAATCTCGAAAAGAGAATCCGAATCTAGAAAAGACAAAAGATGGACGGTCAGGATTCTCCCCTATCTCGACTTAAGGAATCTGATTTAAAGCGAATATCAACATGTAACGACAATTAATTAAGAGGAAGTGGGATCATTGTTGACATAACTCATATAAATCATACATAAGTGATTAAGGCCCCATATATATTACGTTAGGGCAGAGAGTGCCAGCATAATACAGATGCCCCGGGCAATACATACTTTGTTTTTCTCGGAGCATCTATATTACTACAGTCTATCTATGTGTATTCGATATATTTCTCGAAACCCTCTTTACTAAATATAATAAGTTCTAAACAACAATGACAATAAAAGGTAAAACCAATTATTTTGAGATTGAAGTGTAGCAGCTATTCTTGTATATGGCTGCCGACAGATAGACGCTCCTAAACAATGGGAGATCCAAATCAGTTTTTAAATGAAAGTTGTATGCGTGGTCCATTCATTTTAAAACAATATCACTGTCTTCTAACCAAATTAATATCCCATATATATATATATATATATAGCTTAATTGGGTTTAATTATGACAACTCCCATTTGATATGCTATGCTGTCCTCAATTAGTTAGTATATATATATGTATGTATATTTATTGTATTGAACAATTCTTATGTATCTGCTGACAGACACTGCCCCCAAACTATGGGAAATCCAAAGCAAATCTTAGAATAATATGTGGTCCTGTATTCATAATGACTTATATATATATTTAGCTGTTTTAGGATGATCCTTGCTTATGACGATGAGTATTGTGAAGAAAAAGTAATTTAATTATGTAACTAAATAATATATATATTTTCTATTCTCTAATAAGAATACATCCATTGAATGTTTATAAAATAAATAAAAATAAGTATAAGTGAGCTTTTATAATTTCCATTTTTTGGCCAGCTTAAATGATAGAATGAATGGTGTTTACTTTTAAATAAGGAAAAAGTTGGCATGGCAAAGAGGAGAAAATGACAGGTTACGCATTATTATGCCTTCGGAATCTAACTGATCTCCACGTGTCGCTTTCTTCTTCACATTAGATTACATTGTCATCCTTTTTCTCCATATCTTATCTATTTTTATTTTATTTTTTAAAATGTTCTACATGTTGTATTTAAATTAATATATTCTTCATACCTATGTATGATTAACAAATACTATTACGTTGTTTCTTTTTTAAAAATTTCACCATGGGAAATAAATACATCAAAACGAAAGAAAAATCTAACATCAACTTCGTTTTTTTTTGGGTTCATGTACATTACTGAGAATCAATATCTAAATTCCTCATAATTTATTCTGATATTCCATTTTCAAATTATTTATTATTCATCATTCCATTGTTTATTTCTCCAGTAAAAATTTGCAGGAATGTTTTATTAAAGAGAGTCACTTTTAAAAAGGAGAAGGAAGAAGAAGAAGTAGAAAATCCAATGATCACTTTTTTTAACTTTTCTATCATTACGTCATCTGTAGTGGTGGTAGGGACGATTAGGACGCATCGTTTTCTTTTTTTAAAACGCCTCAGTGACTCACGCACGCACGCCAAAAGCAGAAGGACTTATAAATATATAAATCGCGTTTTGAAAATCACGATTCCAAAGAAATAAATTAAAGAGTCATCTTTCACATTTCCTTCCTATCGAAGCTCTCACAAGAGTCAAAGAGTCTCTCTCCTCCATTACTGGAACCGTTCTTTTCTCTTTCTCTTTCTCTTTTCACTGCTGCTTGCTGATGTAGCTCCCACGATTCCCTCTAACTGAACCTAATCGGCTTTTACTATTTTAGTATTTTCTCCATACTAGAAAGTTTCCTCTTTTATCTTTACTCTGTGGCTTCATCTTTGTCTCCTCCACAACACAATACTCACTCAAGTATCAACCTTTCTACACTGTCTAATAGCTTCTTGCTCCAGGTTCAGTTCTATAACTCTGAATTTGCTTCTTTTTCTTCTGGGGTTTTGCTTACTTGTGCAATTCAAGGAGCTGCATATTTTTCAAGTGTATTAATTGCTGCGACCATATAAAATAGCAAAGTAGTTAGATGTTTATAGCATTTTCAACTGTAAAGGATTTGGTATAAGAAAAACATTTCTTTTCCTTGCGGTGAAGTTTGTCCTGTTTCGTAATTTTGTGAAGATATGAATTGAATATTCAAGTGAATTTTTAATCTTCCCATGTGTAGGATGCTGATAAACATTGAATCTGCTGCGTGAGCATTTTCATTCAAATCATAAAGTCTCTGTTGTGCCAATCTTTTCAGTTTAAAAAAAAAAAAATGGAGAATCCATCAGCATCCAGAGAAAAAGGATTCTGTTTTCCAGATGTTCCAGCAGAAGAAATGGATGGTTGGGTTAAGAATTTGATTTTCGAAGAAGATATGTTTAGCTCCTCTTCAACTTCTGAGCTTATGAACTTCGAATCTTTTGCTTCATGGTGCAACACCCCTTCTGCTGCTACAGATTTCTTGTTCACTCAGTATGACTTATCGACCTCTCAATCTACTACACCTTTTGGAGGCTTTCAAGGCTCATACGTTGGCGTTAAAAGACCGGCACAGGAGATGATTTCTCAGTTTCATTGCCTATCTGATACTGAAAAGCTTACTGGTAAACGAAGCAAGGGTAGTAATCAGACTAGTAGTGTAGACTATAGTGTTCCAAGGTCACTGAGCCACACTCTTGATGATAAGATGCTTAAGGCATTAAGTTTGTTTATGGAGTTCTCCGGAGAGGGAATTCTGGCACAGTTTTGGACTCCTATTAAGAAAGGAGATCATTACATGCTTAGTACTTGTGATCAGGCTTACTTGCTTGACTCGAGGCTGTCTGAATACCGTGAAGTATCGAGGAACTTCACTTTCTCTGCTGAAGCAAATCAATGCTCTTACCCAGGTCTTCCAGGCAGAGTCTTTATCTCTGGAATTCCTGAGTGGACATCAAACGTGATGTATTACAAGACCGCTGAATATCTAAGGATGAAGCATGCTCTAGATAACGATGTCCGTGGTTCCATTGCAATTCCTATCCTTGAAGCATCAGGTTCATCTTGTTGTGCTGTCCTGGAACTTGTGACATGTAGGGAAAAACCCAACTTTGATGTGGAGATGGACTCTGTCTGTCGTGCTCTGAAGGTTAACTCGCCTTCTCTCTCCCATTCTTTTCTTTGTGTGTGCTTGTTCTTGTTGGTATTATAAGGTTACTCGGTTTCGAATCATGTCTTTTATCTACTTGAACTCAGTGCTTGGTGTTCTTCATTAGTTGAGAACTCTTTTAGAAACATTAGTAGAAGGAAATGAGATGTTTTATTAGGGAGGTTTAGAGGAATTCTTCTCCAAATTTGATTGATGATTCTTCTATTTGGTTCACATTAGATATGGGACGTCTCTTTATTTTCTTATACTCAACCAAGTTAATCTTCCCTCGTGTCATTATTTGAGGAAGATCAAATAAAACAATAAAAGTGGTGAGATTCATTGTTTTTGTCTTATTTTTTTAGGCCGTGAACTTACAGACATCAACTATTCCACGTTCTCAGGTACATCTGAACCCAAACCGGTCAAAAACTGATGCTTTCTTGTTTCATTGTTGTGCCTCAATCCAATAGTGTCTTTTGTTTTTCAGTACCTTTCTAGTAATCAAAAAGAAGCTTTGGCTGAAATAAGAGATGTTCTCCGAGCGGTGTGTCATGCACATAGGTTGCCTTTAGCTCTAGCTTGGATTCCATGTAGTTACTCCAAAAGAGCAAACAATGAGTTGGTAAAGGTTTATGGAAAAAATTCAAGGGATGTCTCTCTTCTTTGCATAGAAGAAACAGCATGTTATGTGAATGATATGGAAATGGAAGGCTATGTGAATGCATGTTTGGAGCATTATCTGAGAGAAGGGCAAGGAATTGTTGGCAAAGCACTCATATCAAACAAACCGTCTTTCTCATCCGACGTAAAGACATTTAATATCTGCGAGTACCCTCTTGTTCAACATGCTCGAAAGTTTGGTCTTAATGCTGCAGTTGCCACCAAACTGAGGAGCACATTGACCGGTGAAAATGATTATATACTTGAGTTTTTCTTACCTGTAAATATGAAGGGAAGCTCAGAACAACAACTTTTGCTGGATAGTCTCTCGAGCACGATGCAGAGACTATGTCGGACTCTGAGAACTGTTTCAGATGCAGAAACGTCAAATCTCCCACAGGCTATTACTGTATCTGAAGAAAGCTTACAGACAACATATCTGGATACCGACGTCAACTCTACTGCAACTATCTTCTCAAACATGTCCTCTGATACAACAAATGATATAGCAGGTTCTCAGGGAAATATTCAACAGGTATATGATAGTATCCAATTCTTTTATTCTCTACAATGAAATTTGGTTATGGCTTGAAGATCTTTTTAATTGGGTTAAATCTTTAAAGATAGAAGATTAAAGACTTCCCTACTCATTTCATAGGAAATTAGCGGAGCAAGAAGATCAGAGAAGAAGAAAAGCAGTACAGAGAAGAATGTGAGCTTGAATGTTCTCCAACAATACTTTTCTGGGAGCTTAAAGGATGCTGCAAAAAGCCTTGGTGGTGAGAACTAGTGTTCATTGCTTGTTTCCTTTACAAGCTATTCAATTGCTGACTTGGATGCTTTTCTTTTTCTTTCTTTCTTGCAGTTTGTCCGACTACACTAAAGCGAATATGTAGACAGCACGGAATCATGAGATGGCCATCTCGCAAGATTAACAAAGTGAATAGATCGTTAAGGAAAATACAGACAGTGCTCGACTCTGTCCAAGGTGTAGAAGGAGGACTGAGGTTTGACTCGGTAACAGGGGAATTTGTGGCAGTTGGCCCTTTTATACAAGAATTTGATACTCAAAAGAGTCTGTCCTCTCATAATGATGAAGATGCATTTGTAATAAGCCAAAGTGATATGGATGAAGATGCGTCATTAGAGCCTTTGAAAGTTACATCTGGTGACGGTGGTAGGGTTAAGATGGAGGAGAGTGTTGAAACAATCCAAGCAGGAGGACCAGGTAAATATAACTCTATGCAAACCTTTTGTGGAGGATCTGTTAGAATGTGAATGCTCTAATAAGCTATTTTCATTGTGTTCAGGATCACTGATGGAGCCATGGGCTTGGATAAGCAAAGACTCTGGCTTGAATTATACTGATGATATCAATATAGGGAAAAGGAGTGAAGAGGTAAAGAAGGATAAAGACCTTTGTGTTCGTAGGTGCTTGAGCTCTGTAGCACTTGCAGACGATGGAACAAATACAAGAATTGTAGAACCAAATCCATCCATATCCAACAGCATGTCGGACTCATCAAATAGTTCAGGTGCAGTTGTGTTGGGAAGCTCATCTGCTTCCATAGAACAAAATTGGAATCCAATAACTCATAATACTAGTGGCGAGAGCGGATCAAGTTCAATATTGACTGTAAAAGCCACTTATAGAGACGACACTGTACGTTTCAAACTTGATCCATATCTTGTTGGGTGTTCTCAGCTATACGGAGAAGTGGGTAAGCGCTTCAAGCTGCAAGAAGGCGCCTTTCAGTTGAAATACTTGGATGATGAAGAAGAATGGGTGATGTTGGTTACAGATTCTGATCTTTATGAGTGCTTCGAGATATTAAACGGTATGAGAAAACACACAGTGAAGTTTCTGGTACGTGATTTACCTAGCACCGCAATAGGGAGTTCTGCAGGCAGCAACGGTTACTTGGGGACATGCTCCTAACATTAATCTTATTATGCTATATGTAAACATGATCTATGTTTGGTCTCACAGAAAGATAGAAAAAAAAGGGTGCAGTGGAGTTGAAGAATGTATATAACATACAAAGACGCATATTTTTGGTATCAACAAGTTGTATAAGTTAATTATAATCTCATGTTCATTGCTTCCTTAATACTTAGAAAACCAAAATGAACCCCATGATTCTTACTGACACGAACATGCTGTTTGAGAGACATACCAAACTGTACTGTCATTTGAATTCACAAATTAATGATATATGTGATCATTGGTGCAACCACTTCATTTAACACAACAACCACCGGAACCAAACTTTTTGTTCCAACACTTATTGATAAAATTGTTGGCCACACAGATAAGAATAAAATCATACATCATCAATCAATATAAATAGCAGTATAGCACCACGATAAGTTTGCAACAATTTTCACCAGCAATATTATTATTACAAGTACGTGTTTTGACTTGTTGAGCGAAGAGAGAATGAAGTCAGTTTCCATCGTAGCGATCTTGGTTCTCTTTCTGGTGGTCTTTGGTAAGAAAACACCAAATATGAATCACTACATATATGTTTAACATTTTTCGTTGCTAAATGATACTAGCTATGATAACAAATGCATGCATGCATAAAACTAATCTTCAGTACTGATCTTTAAACCTTCAACTAGTGTATGAATTGTATAATTGTAAAAGAAGAGAATCATATATAGATTTTATCATGCAGAAGCGTCAAAGGTAAAAGGCAACGCATGTTTTGAAGAATACAAGCCCACCAGAGATGAAACGCCTGACTTCCTTCTTTGTAGGGTTCCGGTTTACCCATCACTGTGTTATAAAAAGTGCCAAGAGACTAGGGAAGGTGCAAAAGGTGGAAAATGTGATTTCGAGATAAACCCTCAAGATACTAAATGTTTTTGCAACTATTGCTCCGACGAATACGATCTCAATCCACTCTACTTAACCAAACAAACCACCACTACTGCTTAATTAATAAGCAAACTGCAGCTATGTACTATCCATGAAGCTCGCTGAGATCGACATGTTGCCATATTAAATAAATAAAAAGAATATAAATGATTTGACATGGTTCAATGGTTTTTAGTATCTTGAGTCTTGTGTAACATACTTAACATTTGTGAAAAAATATGTTGCTGAGCGATGAAAAATACCTTTGGACTTTTGAGATTGAAGACTAGCTACAAGATTAAACAAATGATGTAGCATCCCTATCATTTAAGGAAAATAAAATAAAAGTTATAGAAAGCATACTATGGGGAATACATGCAAATAAACGAAACTACAAGGAATATATGTAAATAAATTGAATATGAAAACATAATTTGTTTTTTTTCTTCCTCTCTCGCTTGTGCACCTCCTCCGTAACACTCTTTCCGCCGCCACTCTCTCTGTCTCTTGAGCCTCCGGAGCAGGTGAAAAATTCGTCTTTTCTATCTCCTTTTGAAGCTAATTTGGTTTCTGTATAGATGCTCGTATAAGTGTGGAATTGAGAGTGTTTAGGGTTTGGATTCTTGTTCTTTGTAGATGGCAAGCAATATTATCATGTTCGAGGATATCTTCGTGGTCGATAAGCTAGACCCTGATGGCAAAAAGTTCGATAAAGGTATTTACTTTTTTTTTTTTTTTTTTTTGTGTCGAACCTCAGTCACGATCTGTAATGCTTGTCATGGCTTAAATCGAGTTTCTGATATGTGAATTGTAGTTTCTTCTGTTTATTTTGTGTTTTAGAGAAATTGAAATCAAAGTTACTGTGAAAAATATTTCAACTTTATAAGTTTCCCTAAGTTTTCTTTATATTCTGCTTCTGTCTTCAAATTGATTGTGTGTGTATGTGGTGACAGTTACGCGTGTTGAAGCTAGGAGCCACAACTTGGAAATGTTTATGCATTTAGATGTTAACACTGAGGTTTATCCATTGGCTGTTGGTGATAAGTTCACGCTGGCTATGGCTCCCACGCTTAATCTCGATGGAACCCCTGATACCGGATATTTTACTCCGGTAATGAATTCTACTGCTGCTTCATCTTTGTGTGAATATTACATTTACATACTCTTCTTGTTTGCTTGGCTAAATCTCATGCATGGTAACAGTTTAGTTAGGTCAGGTACCCAATTGATTCTGTTATTTACTATACTACTCAGAACCTGTCTTAGGATTTGGTTGGGTCATAACCACTCGATATGGCTATTCCATTGGCTCGGGGTTCAGGAGATAGGAATAAGACTAAACATATGAAACTTGAGCAAGACTTAGTGTCTTAAATCTTTGAAAACCAAAAAATGTTTGTTTGATCATCTGATTGTTCGTCTGATTTAGTTTCCATCTCGCTCTCTATTACAGGGAGCAAAGAAAACGCTTGCGGATAAGTATGAATACATAATGCACGGGAAGCTTTACAAGATCTCTGAGCGTGACGGCAAAACTCCAAAAGCGTAAGAATACCCCTTATACCTAGACCAACAAAATCGAACGTTCTTAATCAGACTTTCCCAAATAGATCCCATTTCACTTACAAATCTAACCATCATGTCTCGGTTTCTTTCTTAAAATTATGTGTTTCCAGAGAGCTATATGTTTCGTTCGGCGGGCTCCTGATGTTGCTTCAGGGAGATCCGGCCCACATTTCGCACTTTGAACTCGACCAGAGGCTCTTTCTACTCATGAGGAAGTTGTGAGATGCTGTTGTCTGATTATTATCTGGAAACTTTGGCATAAAACTGAATTAACAGAGAGAGGTTTATCTTATGTTGAACTTTGCTATTATAACGTATGCTATATTTATGAAGCAACTGCTGTACATCAACTGTGACCAGAGCTTTCAAGTTTCTACATATGTTTTGTCCTTGCGGCCCTCCCTCTCATGTTGTTTCAGGGAGATCCAGCTCAACAAGTTGGAGCTATTTATCCTATGTTGAACATCCAAGATTTAACTATAATATATTAGACATGTTTGTAGCTCTCATCTCATCTATTGATGATAACCAACCCAGTCAGAGGCGAGAGGCCAATAACATACAACCAACAACAACAAAAAACACACAGGACAAAGACAAGAGTTTTGTTTCTTTTCGAACAAAACCCAAACATTCTCCCATCCAACAATATTACGAAATCAGTAAAACGAAAACAAAACTTATTAAAAAAAAAATCAGTTTCTGACATATTACACTTATGTTTCTTTGTCAACAAGTCTACTTCTTGAGGTTACTGCTACTCGTGCCTGTATCCAGACGCCTTCCCGCTTCTCCCAACTATATAAGCCTCCGGCAAAGTATTATCACTATTTATCTCCAAACCGCGATAAGCACGGCTGAGGAAATACTCGGGTCCTGATTTTGCAGCAGTTTGTTTAGTGAGCGAGTTATGATCTTTCTCTTTCAATTGCAATGCTTTCTCTGCAGTTCGTGCCAGAGCCATTGTCTCTCCTGCGTCTTCTTCTCCATTCTTAGCTTGATCTGCAGCAAATAGAACAGTATTTGTCAAACTCATGGAATGAATAATGACTTTTCTTGATTGGAAAAATGTATTGAGCCTCCATTGTACCGTTTCTTTTGTGATCTTCTACGTAACCACCCTGAAAGAAAGAGAACCGTGGCTCCTCTGATTCGCTATGTGCTTCTGATTCTAATTTTACAGAGTTGATCACATCTTGGAATTGCATTAGGTATTCGCCTGTCCATTCACTCCCTCTGTGGAAACACAAACTCCAAAGACACCGATTAAGGAACTCGTGGATCATATACAAAAACTATAAAGATTTCTGCATATAAATTTCTCTATGTACCTGCTAAAAGCAAGATTCGCTTCAAACGGAGTTATGACAGGGGACATGAACTCTTTGCTATCTAAAAGAGCGGTTTGGGCACATGAGATGTAGATGAATACATCGCACTAAGAGATAAACACAAGACAGAAAAAGGCACTACTCACTTGACATATCTCACTTTCATAATTACAGCTAAATGACAGGCCGTTGTATAACTTACCTCGGGGAAGTTTGCGAGTTTGGCCGGATTAGGCCGTCCCATGGCAAGAATGTAAGATTTTTTGCCAGCTGCAGATATGAGTGCTTGCATATGGTGAATCATATGAAGGTAACCAGCTGCATCCAATGCCATGTGATATTAGACATTCAATGAACTTATCAATCTTGACATCACAAATGCAGAAGAATAGGAACTTACCAACACCAAGAGTCCCTACCAAAATACCTATAATATTTGCATCCTTGGCTTTTTCCACCAAGTAGTATCTGGAAAATATAACTCTGAGTGAGGACAAGAAATACAAATCCACAGAGATAATAACGAAAACATTATAAGGATTGACAAAGTTTGATATTGTGATGTATGAAGTCTGCTTGAAACAAGTGATTATACCGTCGCATAAGTATCCTTCTTTGTTGATGAAATTCCGTCACCAAAGAATCTTCTTCAGCATCATATCTGACTAAGATTAACAAACAAATATAACCAAGAAAATAAGCTATTCATGGTCTTTGTCAATCAATTAGATATTTGTTTAAGAAAAAGGACAGTAGTAAGTTACTCAAACGTGTGACATAACCAAGAACTAGATCAAGAAATTTCCATGGATAAAGCCCTACCTATGTCACAACCATTGAAGGTCAGTACTACATTGGCGAAAGCTGAATTGTCAGAACCGATCCAGAAAAGTAGATAGTCCTCGATTTTGCTTCCTTCTAGCAAGTCCCAAGTTAGCCCTCCCAGTCTATAGTTTCTAGATGAGGATAAGCTATCACTATATGGTCTCGGATGCTCCATGGATTCTCTAGGGTCTTTGGATGGACTAATAAATGAACACAAGACATTGGCTACAGAGAACTTCAATTGAGATTCAGTCTCTGATAATCCTAATTCTTCTCGGATATGCGGAATCACATGGGCGTATTCTAGCCCATAAAGAATCTGAAAACAAAGTTCAAAGACTGAGAAAACAGAACACTTTATCACTATTTCATAATAAAGATAAACTAGCCTCACATACCATAATAGGCTTATCGCTCTTTGATGCATAATCTACCAAATGCTTAACGCAGCTCGAGATGTTTATCGAAGCTTTCCCGAAAACGAAGAATGCTGGAAGAGCCGATGTCCTGAAAAAACATAAATCCTCACAATAAGACATTGTTTGAACAAGGGAATTCACTGCAATTACATAAATCAAGAGTAGGGTTAATGACTCACGGGCTTAGACATGTTTGACCATAATGAACAACACATTCAGCATCAATATGCAAGGCTCCAACTTCATCAATGCAGCAACTACCATAAGTTGTGTCCGCCATAACAAAGAATCTGACTTCTCTGTCAGTAAGCAAACGAGTTTTGCTCTTAAGAGCACTCACGACCTTAGTCGAATCCTTTAACAACTCATCCGGGAACTATCAGAGAAAAAAGAAAAAAAAAACTAAGCTATATCATAGATATATTCATCAAATTAACAATTTTAGCAAAGAAACAATATAAAAGTTCATTCAGTAAGCTTTATCATCCCATATTAACTGAGTTAACAATATACGCTAAGAACCAATCAAAGTTTTACCAACTCATTGAGTTTTGTTACCTGTAAAGCAATTCTGGTGAAGCTTTTGCTGATAATGAACTCCGCCGTACGATTAATGTCATACCTTGATTCAAATTCCAACTCCATATTAAAAGCCTAGGAAATTATTAACCTTTCCGACCGGGAATATCTTAAATTCGTATTCGACTGAAGAATTTGCGGCTGAAGGAAAAAAAAAAAAAAAAGACAGACGAAGAAGAAGAACGATGATCGATGGAACGGTACCGTTTCGGTGGAGCCTTATACGAGCAGTTAAATTAATTAGGTATATTACCGGTTAAGCTGATATTTAGTTCGGTTTACTAACAAATTTATCTGGGTTTCTTTGTCGTACCATCGGATAATATTATTATATGGCGCCTTTAGTTTTTCTTTAGCTTCTGATGGATTATGACAATGTTTCCCAGTTAAACCATGTTTATTCCTCTCCCCCATATATGTCTTTCCATTTTCTCAACTTCTGCTATGCATTACTACTACTTGTTTGTCTTCTGTCAACCATATCGTCAATGCGATGTATTAGTTTGTATGTTAGTTTTCCTATTTCTCCTTCATGTGTTCTGTTCATGTGCTGTTTAAAACTTATCTTCTTGTGCTACTTAAACATATCTCCCTTAGCTATGTATATAGATAAAATCATAAGATCATCCTTTGGCGAATTAGTTCAGTCGTCTTGGTTTAGTTATCAGTTCAACTTTAAAAATGCCTAAGACAAACACTCTTTTCTTCTTTGATTTTTGTCGACGAAGGTTGTTGGATGTCTTGAATTATGCGACTTTGATCTGGCACTTGGGTGAAACTGAAACACCAACAAGCGTCATTAGATCCTTATAGGTTTGCGATATTATGCCATCATCAACGACCTCCACTTGCACCAGTTCAAGGCATTCCGTTTTCCCAAGAAAACTCTTCAACTGTTCCAACTCTTTAGCAGCACCTCCATATCCAAGAACATGCAACACCTTCACTTGGTATGGACGCAAAGTCACATCGCATATGTTACCATCCAGACCCTGGAGAGATGCATTCAAAGGATCAACAACTATGTTTGCGACGCTCTCTATCTCATTAGATATATTCGTTCATAGGTTAAGCAGATTAGATATATAACATACCTGGATGATCAGAGTTTCAAGCATCGGAGACTGCTTAAGCAGATACGGCAGTAGTCTCCATCCTCGTTTTTTCTTACTCCCAAAAGTTAAGCTTACCAGATTGTTAAACACCGGTAGTATTACTCCATGTTTAACACATCGAGAAATCACCTGAAATACACAAACGCACATGTCAAGAATGTCCAAGCTTTTTAAAACTTAATAGAAAGTCGCAAACTTACATCAACAGAATTGGCAGAAAGATGCAGGGTCTCAATGTTGCTTATCCCTATAAAGAGACCCGATATATCCGGCCTTCTGATCTTTTTAGAATAACGAAGGTCCAGCCTAGCTTCGACTAGGGACTTCAAGTTTACTTGTGGATACTCAGACACGGCATAATCAGAGTAGTCCAGGAAGACAAGACGTGGGGCGTCAAATGACATACCAATCATACAGTCAAGGTCATAATCAGAATTGTATTGAACTGATAGTTTCTCGATGGTCCGACTCGATATGCAGTATGGGATTCCCATATACTGCTTGTGACATACAAATAGCTCCTCGAGCACGGGGCAACCAGGAAGAAGCACATAACACAGATCTTCATATTCAAAAAAGATTGAATCGATGAAGAGACTCTTAAGCGCCGGAAGAGACAAATCTGGAGGAAGCTTTCCAAAACTAACTCGTGTTCCCAGTGTCAGCTTAACCAGAGTCTTGCTCGTGAAAAGCGCAGGAGGTAAAAAGACTTCACCATGAGTCTTTGCATTTAGGGGCGGTTTCCAGTGACCAGTTTCAGAACGAACATAGGGTTCATAGCGAGGCTTAATACTTACGGCCAGCTCCAAAACACCACGATCTAAGGCATTACAAACCCAGCGGACCACATGAGTCAACTCGCTGTCATAGTCATAGTGATATTTTAGGGAGAATTTCTTGATAGGCGAAGCGCATTGCAAAGCGAGTGTTCTGTCGACAAAACTCCTGAAGCACTCCCGGATCACATGCCTCTTTTCTTTACCCTCTTCTGGTTGCAGGAAGACAGAATCATCAAAATCGAGATTGTGCACCAATGCAAACACATTCCTCCACTTTTTCGAGAGAAGAGATGTTGAGGCAGCCAGTTTCGTCGGAACTAAGGACAAGATGTCGCCCAGAACCTCTTGAGGGAGCCAGCTGATTGCATCTTTGGAGCCAGTAACCAACATTTTGGTATCCAAACAGACAGAACCGATCTCTTCCGTGCCTGAAACATGAAGTGCGCTCAGAGTGATTCAACTGCTATAATATTAACAAAAATGCACCCAACAAAAGAATTGGATATTTCTAAAACCTAGCGAAAGCTAAAAATTGTCTGAATGTTATCAATAACCAGAACAGAGAAGTTCCACAAACCATAAGATCCAGGTTTCATAATTACGAAGATTTGAGCAAGCAACTAGGCGATGAAGGTGAATCAAAGAAGTTTTAAGAAAAATAACAAAGGTTAGAGAAGCTATAGGTTCAAGCTTTTTTGAAAGGAATAAAGCTTAGAGTCGAGCTCGAGAAACACCAGAAAACCGATTGGTGTCAAACTACAGCAGCTACATCAAAACTGAAAACCAGTCTATCATCTATAATCTAGTGGAAGCTCAAGAGACCAACACTTCGAGCGCTTGTATGAGAATCAGAGGAAATTATGGAGAATAGAGATCATAGAAGATTCAGAACCCAAAATTCCACAAAACTAAAGTAGGGTAAGGCTTCAACCTTTCTTTCTTTTTTTTTTCTTCGATTGAATTGAAGCTGAAGGTCCTCCTGCCTTTCTCGCATCGCAAGCTTGAACTGAAGGACGTCAGAGACTCTTTATTGTAAACCGGAATATAATTAAACCGGCAAGTAGGTTTCCGTGTTGATTAAAACCGGTTAAAGTATATTTTATCGGTTTATCGGTTTATCGGTTTAGATCAAAGATATCGTTTAATCCACCGCCGTCAAGCAATTTCTTCGGTCATTATGACCACCTCCGACTTCTTGAGTTTGTTTCTTATTGAACACACAAACAACTAAACAAGGAACCTCAAAACAAACCCTTTATCGAATTAGGGTTTCATTAAGGTATCACAATTTTTTAATGCCCTTTATCATCTGTCTTTTGAATCGCTTCTCCTTCGAGTTACTAAAGTGCTCTTCTTTAGATTTCTGGATTGGGTATTGTAAGATTTTCAGGTTTTATTTTTCTGGTAATCTTCTTTCGATTATATCGTCCTATCGATCGGATCAGCCCCTTCTTCTTTCCCAACTCTTAAATTGGCTTAACGTCGTTGTTGTTATGATTTAAACTCTGAACAGACCTAATAGAACGTCTTATTTTTGTTCTTATGAATTTTTGTCTTTGATTGTTGTTGAAGATCCTGGGAATTGATGTGTTGACAGAAGCTATTGAGATAAAAGATGAGCTCTACTCAGGCTAATCTATTCAGACCATCCTTGTTCTGTGCAAGGACAACACAAACAAGACATGTCTCTGGGGCACCTTTTAAGACGTCATTACGCTTTGATCCTCGACCATTCCCCAAATTAACTATTCGGGCGTCTGCATCATCATCGGTGTCTACTCGGTTTTTGCCTCTACAGAATCATGGATGTCGGAATCAGAAGCAAGGCCCTGTTGCGTGTTTACTTGGTGGGAAGGATAAGTCTAACGGTAGCAGTGAGGTCAGATGCTTGTTCTTCATTCTTAATATGTCTCTTCTTATTAAATCATAAAATCTTGCAAAATTGCTCTTTTTTCGTGTGTGTGCGTGTAAGAATTAGTCGGGCACAGATCTAGCCACAGAGTTGAGTTATGTTTTTGATGATAAGTAGTGCTGATATATGATTCTTTTTGCACTGATAGTAGTGATGAGATAATATCTGTTCTCGTCATTCTATAGATGTTTTTGCTGAGATTTGAATCGGAAATCTTGAAAAAGAGATCCTTTTTTTTTTTTTTTGGATCAAGAAAAAGTGATCCTTTTAGTGTGTGTTTGTTAGAAGTGAATGCACAGAACTAACTTATGGTTTAGTGGTTCTGATATTAACACGCTTAGTGATGATATTTTATCATCAGATATCATCACCATGGAAAGCTATGAAGAAAGCAATGGGGAGGAAATCGGTTGAAGATATGTTGCATGAGCAGATACAAAAGAATGACACTGGAGGCATTCCTCCACAAGGAGGAGGAGGAGGAGGAGGAAAAGGAGACGGTAGAAATGGTGGGAATAATGGGTCTGAAGGCTCATCAGGAGATGATAAAGGTCTTGCTGATGAAACTCTGCAAGTGGTATTAGCAACCTTAGGCTTCATCTTTCTGGTAATGACAGCATCTCAAGCCCACACAAGTCATCTTTGAATTATCTTCGGTATCTTTAACTTTTTATCAATATTTATTTTTGCAGTACATCTTCATCATCGACGGGGAGGAGTTGTTCCGTCTTGCAAGAGATTACATTAGGTACCTTATAGGACGACCCAAGAGTGTTAGGCTGACCCGGGTTATGGAAAGTTGGAGTAGATTCTTCGAGAGTCTGTTGAGGAAAAGAGTGTACAACGAGTACTGGATAAAGATCAAACGATCATCAAGAAGTCTACCTGGTATGATAGCCCCAACAAATACAGACGCTTCTTGAGGTCTTATCTTGATTCAAATGAAGATGGGTGATTATTTTTTCTTGGCTGATTTAAGTAGTTTCTTTTAGACCCTGAACCATGTTTTGATTTTTGTTTTAGTTAACTTTCGCCATTGTCACCCAAAGAATCAGATTATTCGTAAATATTGATGCTTGCATAGAGTATTGACTCTCAACGATCGATTACTAGGAAAATAGTAAAGCACTTGCAAAATCTTGTCTTATGTTTATGTACAAAATGATAAAGAGAAATCGTCTTAATAATAACAGAAAGCAGAGCATGTAAAGAAAACAAAACACACAAAGGAGATGACATTTAGTTAGGGAACCGGAACGAGAGTTTGAAAGTACGAAGAAGCAACAACACGAGCGTACGCAGAAAGCTTGTTAAGGAGGAAATTTTTAGGGTAAGACATGAACAAAGACTCTTGATAGTCCCAAATGATGAGTACTCCATCTCCATCTCCTTGGTCGTCAGGAATCACCAAGGGGGTGAACAGCTGAATCTGACCTGGTCGTGGTTGGTAGAGTTGGCATAAACACAAGGAGTGCATCTTAACCCATGTTTCTTCTAGTGCATCGACCATGCTCCAAATATCGAGTCGGGGATGGGGAACATTAGTGGTCCTCATCTCAGATACAGAGAGGCGGTCTCGGAGGACGAGAAGCTCAGAGAAATAGGGAGCCTCGTCGCCATCGTGGTCGTCTGAAGAGAAGACTGGGTTAGGGTGGGAGACGACTCTAAACTCTTCAAGGTGAAGATCAAAGGCAACAATTCTTGAAGCGTAGGGTTCCAAGAAATCAACAGTGAACCAGTGAAGGGAACCATTGACATAGACGGATCTTTCCGTGACAAAAACCCGATAAGGAACGAGGTTGACGTGTCTCCACCGGCCGGTTCGGAGGTCGAGAACATTGCAATCCCCAACGATGAGCGGCGCACGAGGGTGAGCACGTAGCTCTACCACTTTATACTCCCCCGTAACTTCATCTTTACCGAATCCAAACGTGCTTCTTGTCTTGGGGAACTTAGGCGTGACTTCATGATCCAAATATTTTCGATGGTACAAAAGAGATCTGACGGGGATACCTGCATGAGGTAAGATCGTCGTCGAGGCCGAGAACAAAGATTCGCCGGTAGGGAATCGCCGGGATTGTCGAGTCGCCGGGTTACAAACTTCAATGGAATCAGAGCCCGGGATGCAGATCAAGCCATGTAAGTGAGATACGGGAAGCGTCGCAGTTGCCGATATAACAGATCTCTTCTTCTTCATCTTTGTCTTCGTCGGGGAAAAGAAACGGCGGAGAATCGTCTCCGTCGTCTCTGCAACCGAAAGCTAAAAGGATACTACGGCGTCGGGAACTCTTCATCAGATGTCTTTTGACGAAAGTATGGGATTCGATTAAAGATTTCCATTGCTTAGAAACGGACTTGAATCTCATGATAGACTTCAACGGAAGCCTCAGGAGGATATCGGCGACGAGATCAAGAGCTATACTTGTTGTATACGCAGCAGCCATGTTTAGTTTCTTCTCTCTCAAGGCTTTGTTTTTACTGACATCTATTTATATACCATTCCTATTAGCATTTGGAATTATACTAGTGATTCGTGTTACAATATAAACTTTAGTTATATTCAATCATGAATTTTTTAAAATTTAAAATCAAGTGTTAGCAAATAAATATCAAAAGACTTTTTGCTCGAGCCCAATAAAGGCCCATTTCAATTTATTTAGTCTGCAACATATAAGTCACGTGGCACCTATCACGTGATCATCTTCTTCTCTTCTTCACTTGCTAGCATTTCTCTCTATACATCTCTCTGTTAGGGTTTTGTTTCTCTTTCCGATATTCAAATGGCGCTTAGAGGAGTTTGGCAGCTTAAGAAGCTCGTTGTGAGTTACTGTAATTGGGGTGGTAGCAGTAGAGGCATCAGGTCTATTTTTTTCCCCTAAATTTTATTTCGCAATCTTTGAGCCGTACTTTTTTTTTTTTCATCGATCTACCATTTTTCGTGTAATTAACTTGGAACTTCAGACTATTTTATTCGAATCTATGAGCCTGTATTTCGTATCTGTGAAGCAAATTAACTTTTCATGTTTATAATAATTTGGTCCATTGATGTAATGGTGCAAGTAATGAATCGCATACCATTTTATAGTTAGGTATGTACTGAGCAGTTTCCTCTGATCATTGTCTCATGTGTTGGATTTTATTGTTTTTACTTGCAGAGCCTTTATGGAATCAGAATTGCCTGCACTAAAAGAGAAAAATCCGCAGCTCGAAGTGGTTACCGAGCTTTCACGGGGACAACATCCTTATCTGAAGGGCATTTACAGTATGAATCTTTCCTCCTCTTATCATTATTACGAGCAATGCAACCTGCCTAGTGCATAGAACAATTCTTTGACATTAGCAATTTCACTTCGAATCATAGGGAATAGAAATGAAAGAGTGGTGTGTGTGAAGAACATGGATCCTGAAGAAGTACTTCTGAATGCAACAAGGCTGAGGAACTCTCTTGGAAGGAAAGTGGTGAAACTGAGGACCAGACATGTCACCAAACACCCTAGCGTCCAAGGCACCTGGACAACCGCTGTCAAATTCTGAGATTTTCCTACTGCATATTTTGCAGGCTTTCTTCTTCTAGCAGTCGAATCTAGTGTTGCAACCATCAGGATTGATTGTTTATCTATATTTGCAATCCCAAGTTGTCTGTACCGTTTTCTGACCTGGACAAAGATTCAGTCTTCAAATGTTTTGCAGTTTATGCAATGTTTGAATTTTGTCTTGTCCTTCTGGTTTAGTCTATAATAAGATTACACAGGGGTTTATGGTACAATTCATTGTTTTCACTGTGTTCTTTGTTTGCTGTGAAAGTTCAACAGGACTGAGTTGTGAGAGAACCCTTACTTTTCCTTCTTTTTTTAATTTGTCAGAAGTACCAAAAATCAGACAAGCCCCTGTAAATATCCATTATAATTACCGTGATCACATATACACTTTAACAATGTAAAGAAGGGATGATCTAAGTTGGCTTGAAAATGAAACTTTGAGAGGATTTTCAATTTTGGTAAATTAGGTTTTAGCTGATGTTTTCTGGTGTTGCAGATGATGAAGTAGACTTGTCAAGGCTACTTGATGAAGAGTGTGACTTAAGATACGACAATGCCACTTCTATCATCACTTCCACTTCTTTCTTGTACTGTTTTAAGTGTCAAAAACCAATGTATCAGAGAAACCAAAAATGGCTCCTTATAATTTACCAACTGAAATAAAGGCACCAAACTAACCTCGTCAATTGCCCCTGCTTTAATCTTTGATTGCATCAAACACCATTTCTTAAAATGTACACCTATTGATAAAAAGCATGAAGCCAAAGAGATCATTCCCACACCATGTGCATTGCAAATTTCACACTTCCAGATATAGATAGAAATCATTAATAGTTTGAGGATGGGTACTTGGGTTTCCATACCGACTCTTATATCTATAACAGATGAAGTCTCGTCTTTAACTTCCAAGCGCCATCGACAGTGGACCTGATATACAAAAAGAATTTATAAAGCATGCCAAGCTCAAACTTGACTGGTGAGTTGCAAACAGAATGATAAAACAAACACCAGATTTTCTTCATATGTAACATAACATACCTCAAAGTAAGAACCAAAAGGAACATCATGTGGCTGTTGCACAGTTTCAAAAACCTGAAAGAAGGAAAGGCAAGTATCATCAGACAGGATTTTTTTTTTGTCTCTTTTCATTTTGCCTAAACAACATTAGCAAGTATTATATCCCTCGGGAAACAAATTTTAGTGAATCATTCTTACCAGCACTTTCTTATCTGGTGATATAACAACGTGCTGCCATTCCGTAACAGCAGTGTCTGGTGGACACATGGGACTATTACAAATGGATCTGAACTTAATCTCCCTCACTTGACCATCATATTCTTCAGCAGTATGCCACGGCTCAATCTAAATGTTAACAAACAGACAACAATAAAGATCCTGAGAAGTCGGATTCTTAAGACATGTAAACAATACAATGGAAAACTATCTAGATACCAATGTCAAACTTACATTAAGATTTTTATCCTTCCGTGCAGATCTGTACTCGTTAGTGTAAGTGGAATCATCAGCCAGCAAGACGTTCAGGACTTGCTCAGGTGTGCTGGCAAAAACATCCTGCATACAAGAATATGATGCAAAAAATTTAAAACAATATCTTTGAACAGCTATAGCAATAACAAGAAAAACCGAATGTTTACATTGTAGATATTGACAAGAACTTCTTCCTTGATGAAAGCTTGAAACTTCACAGGTTGAGCTGCAGTATTTTCAGGAGCTTTGACTTGTACTTTACCACCTCCTTTCACAGAGCTACTATGAGCACGTAAAGCAGATTCTGCTCTCTCCTATATGATAAGAAAGCAACCCAACAAATGTAACATGTTAATATTTCAGGCAACAACATCAAATTTACCTCTTGATTAACTAGCAAATACTGAATAAAGCATGCGGTGGAAGAGTGGCATAAACATAAAAAATTTATTTATGAAATTGGGGAGAGACCTTCTTCTCGACTTCTAACATTGCATGATAATTATTAACCGCACGCTGCAATGCTTTCAATGTATGGTTCCTGTTCCAAAATGATGCAAATTTATACCTCACTCTACCTGAAATAAACAAGGAATTCCACAGAGACATAAACATGACAAAGCACCACTACAGATGAAAAACTCCAAACGCTCTGGTCCTACAGACAAATGGCTATTCCAGGAATCAAATGGGAAAATGTTCTTACTGACAAAACAGTAACTATCAAACAAGTGTTTGCTGGCGATAAAGAAAGGCATGAACGTTGATATAATTACAAATATTCAATGACAAATATAATTACTAACCATCAGGAGTCCCAAGAGGGGGAACACCATGTCCACCAGCACCCATCCGTAGAATGATTGTTATAGCTGGGTTTATCAATGCATGTTGACTTCTACGGATCTATAATAAAAAATAAATATTTATGTATGGTTAGTCCACATATCTGTTTAAACCAACAGAAATCCGAGTGGTCAAGAAAAGCGCACTACCTCATCTATATCTCCCAGAGGGACAACAACCTACAATTATGAAGAAGAAGTTTTTAGCATTGGTTCAAAGAACTCGGAATGTAATTGCTTATAGAATCCCTGACCTTCATTTGCTTAGAGAACACATTGGAGTGAAAACATATGTGCCACGCGGAAACATACATTCGGCCATGATACAGGAATGACCTCTCCAAGGCACATGAATAACTGTGCTCAACAACCTAAGGGAAATGGTACATGCGATAGTCAGAGTACTAAACGTGTAATGGAAATCCCATTGACGATACAAAAATTTTGAACTCTCATATGAGATTACTACAATGATACAGTTTGTACTAGTTAAGTTACCTCATCGGGCAGGAGATCAAATATCGTCTGCAGGGGACCTGGCTTTTGATGTACAATTGTTGGGCCTTGCTGATCCAATGTGACCCTTCTTCTACAGGCTCCAGCATATCCCGTTACAGCCCTACCAATCAGACATAATGTACACAGTTATAAACCACAAAGGCTACTATATATTAAGTCCGAGGTGTGGTTCCATTGAAAATAACAAACCAGCCAAATGCAAGTAGCATGGTTAAGTAGAACAACAAAAAAAAAAAAAATTGCGGAAAAAAAGAGAGAGATATTGTAAAAGTTATCCGCTCATGCAAACAGATGAAAGCCGAATTGTCACAGAACCAAGACAATTAGCACTCTCCTATTAAACAAGATAAACCCAGCTTACAGAAAGGTTGAAGTAGAGATGGTGGATTACCTAGGAGCATTTACTGGTAGTTTGATTGCATTAATGTTAAGGCAAACCTGACATACAAGATTAGGTTAGCTTCTAAAGAGAAAACGAGGATTCGATTAAAACCCTTGAAGGGAAATATACAAACAGAAACTAAGGACAAACACACCTGCCCAGATGGACTGTCTAATGAATGCCACACTGGACCCGTTTGGCCTTCACGCTCAACATTAATAGTTACAGAGCCAAGAACGGTACTTTTCCAGATGATATCCCAATCATGAATTGTAACATTGATCTGACACAAGAAATATATGGTAAATGTTAGAAAAGGTATCTGGTAAACATAACAGGTGCATGTTTTGCGTCCGGAATTATTGAATCTATATGCCTATTTTGAAGAATAAGTGCTTTTGGTAATATTTTCCAAGTCATATATAGGCGAAATTTCCATTCTAGCAGATATCAAGGTTTCGAACTTAGTGATAAACCCTATGTCTCGGGTTTCCATCAGAAGTCTAAACAACTTTTAGGTGAAATGAGTTTCCCACTGAGTCCTAGAGCATACTATAGCAGTAAATGATATTAACCTTAACAGGAAGCTCATCTGTGGGGAAATTAAACTCTTCACCCCACATTGGATTTCTCGAACCAGGGACCATAGAACTGAAACAAGCAGAGAAATACATTAGACAATCGAATGTGTAATCTCAACAACCAAACCACCAATATACGTTTTCACTTTTTTTTAGGATGGATAGATGTTGTAGTTGGGAAGAAGCTATAGGACAGCGTAAAAGAGCAGGAAAGAGGATGACATCAAAAAAGTTGCTCACATGGTCCATTGAAAAGTCATATAACATGTAATAAAACTAATTGAAAAGGATATATAACAACCTGAATCGCTTTTCTGATCCACAATTTACAATAGCATAAGGATCTGAAGTTCCATTTAAGTTTGCACCAATGAGATTCTTAGCAGCCAGCAGTTCCACCTAAAAGATACACCCAAAATTTGATGCAATGTCAGTGGTCCTAATCCTATCTATGCAGATGAATCGTAAGAACCAGTCAGTCTCAACGATGAGAACATTGAATTGAAGCATTTACCTTGATTATATAAGCAGCATTAGTTTGAGTGTCTCCTCTCAACTGTCCCATCTACAAAAATAAGTGCAGAAACTGCAAGTCAAAAAATTGGGAAAATTACTCCATGAACAGAGATTTGAAGGTCCCGATTAGAAAAGGGGAAACCCAGAATTCATTAAGCGCCCACGAGGTTTCCCCGGCTTAACATACTGAGAAACCCAGCAATTGAGAGAAATGAAAGAAGAAGGAATTTCAAACCTTGTCTTTGTCAAAGATGGCGTCACCGGAATCGAGATTTTGCATGAGACCGGACCGATCAAATCCAACACCACCGACATCGCCATCTCCGCCTCCTCTGTAAGCGAACAGCCAGTAAGAAGCAATCAGAAAAAACGAAGCGACCACCGCAACCTCAATCTCCCACAACGACGGTAGTAAAACCTCCACCGCAGACTGAACCATCTCGATCAACGGAGTAAATATTTGAAATTTTCAAAGGAAACAAAAAATAAGCGCGATCAAGAAGGTGGGTCTAGGGATTTATCCTGTAGAGGATCACACGACAAAGAATTAACATTTCTGAAGAGAAGAAACTTCGCCTTCTTGAGAAGAAAAAGTGAGTCAAAAAAGGACAATCGCAGAGAAAAAAAGGAATTTAGAAAGAACGAAGAAACTGAGAAATTGGTTGTTGAGGCCGGTTTTACTTAATTACCCTTGGAACTGTAAACAGTTACTCGAGTACTGAGGAGAACTCGAGGGTATTTATGGTAATTAAAAGGTTTCGAACGTCCATAGCAGTAACCGTAGAAGACTTTCTTTTATAAAACTGAAAACGAAAAATCTGACTAATAACCAAATTTTCTTACTTGTTGGATTAAAAGGACAAAGATAATAAAAGATAACAAAACTGAACCAAACCAAACTGTACCAAAACTAATTGGGTTTAAGTCTGGTTCAAAATTGTCAATCCAAAAATAATGAAACGAATTTGGTATTTAAACTAAATGTACACGATAACTTTTAATATTACCAAGTTGAGTAGTGCACTTTGAGATCCTTTGAGAAAAATGTGTTATCTTATATTTTTTAATCTGAATTCCGTTTGAAAAACTCGTCGATTTTCGATAAAATTGATCATAGGATGGGGATACGTGTTCATGAAAATATTGGATTCTATACCTAAAATTTACGTGGTAAAAATAATGTTTTACAATGATATTAAAATTAAAAGTTCATCATAATTCTATCATTTTCTTTTTAAATTTGATCTAAAGCCATAAAATCAAACTGGTATTTGAATCAAATGCATTAATCAATTTATAGTGACTTTTTTATATTGGTTCAATATTAGATTGTTCTTAAAACAAAGTTGTAAAATTAGATTTTTTAAAGTAAACAAATGATTAAAAAGTGTAAAATATACTTTGATAATTTAATTTTAAAAAATCTATTTATAGAAATGTATATTCATATATTTTTTGAATATCTAATTGACAATTAAAAAAAATCCAGGATACAATAGATTTGATTAATATAACCTAGTAAACCGGATAATGATCCATAATAAGACTAATTTCAGTTAATTTGTCGGTTCGGTTTTTGAAAAAAGTGGTTTTAATCGAAGAAGAGCGAATGGGAAGAGGGCACGTGGAAAACAAAGGAGACAGATAGAGAGGGAAGGACCCGTTTTAGGTTTTTTGATTGAAGTATAAATAGATTTCGATCAGTAGACGTTTTTTTAAGTGCCTTTACACATTCCCTTCTCTCCCTTCTTCTTCTCTCTTACTCCTCTTCTCGCCGCAAACCACCCCAAACCTCTCTCACTCACTCTCTCTTTCTCTGGTAATCTCACATCATCCCTCTCTCTCTTCTTTCTTGTATACGCAGCTCTAACTTTTATTCTTTATATGTTTACTCATTTTCTTTGCTTAGATGGTTCCAAATGTTTGAACTTTTTTGTCTTTGCTGCTGCCATGTGAGCTTCAGCTCTGTTCTTGTTCGTAGGTTAGATTCCTTTCTTTTATGGTTGTCATATTCTTTGAGCATAATTGTTGAGAATTGAAGTCGTGTTTTGTCCCGGTTGCTCAAAATTTTTGAGCTTCGTAGATTGATAGTGATTGAGGCAGCTTCAAATCTGAACATAAGGAATACTTAGAATTGACTTAGATTGTGGTACCCGATTGACATTCTCTATGCTTAGTTGGTAGCAAATATTTTACCTTTACTTTTTTTTTCTTCCATGTGAGCTCCAACTCCGTTCTTGGTCGTGGGCTAGCTTCCTTTTTTTTAAGTAGTGTTTCAGATTCCTTGAGTATAATTATTCTGAATTGGAGTCGAGTTTGTCTCAGCTGCTCACAAGTAACAGAGGCAGTTTCAAATCCGAACGAAAGGAATACTTAGAATTACTTTAAAGATTTTACTTTGGCTCTGAACAGCTTTGTCTTTTATAGCCTAAATACTTAGGGAATGAAAATCTAGATTTTTAGTTAATTCAGTGGGGAATGTGATGAGATTTCAAGAAGTCTACTAAGATTTTGTCTTGCGTGATGTATTCTACTTTCAATGTGAATGTTCTAGCAGAGGTACTCATAGTCTTTTATCCACAGGATCTTCATTGGGGAGCATCACCCGGATTTTAACATTCGGTTCCAATGTGAAATAAGAGTGTGTTGTCAGTTGTGATGACTGTGGCTGAACCACATATGGAGCTCAATCAAGAAAGTAAACAATTCAATGAAGATAAGTTATCGCCAAAGAGAGAGCCAAGTCCTGGAGGAGAACATGAAGAATGTGGTCTTGTCAGTGCTAATACAAGTGAGGAAACTGTGACTTCAGTTTCTGGTGGTGAGGAGTTGGATGTTGATATAGTTGAATCTGATGAAAACAAAACATCCACCAGCGATGAGGACCCAAACGCTACTGAATACTCAAGCTCATTTTCCGACACTGAATCTGAGAATGCTGACATGTTGCTTAATGGACTAACCGGAGAAGCTGAGGTCGAATCTCATTATTGGGATGAAACCGATCTAGGACCTGCTTATGATTCTTTTAGCAGCATTTTTCATTTTAGGTGTGTTTTTCTGCCTGAATCCTTTCCTTCTTGTCTCCTGTTCTTGCTGATTCTCTAATTCGTCTCCTCTTCCGTGTGTTTTTCTAGGAAGAAAAGGCTAACTAATCACTGGAGGAGATTTATCAGGCCACTGATGTGGCGATCCAAGTGGGTTGAGTTAAGAATTAGAGAGTTAGAGTCTCGGGCATTAGAATATCCGAAAGAGCTTGAGTCATATGATCAAGAAAAGCTTGAAGCTAATATTGATCCATCTGTGTTGGAAACTTGTGGTGAGGGGATAAAGTCATTGCCTTTTTCTAATCCGTGTTACAAAAAAAGAGCAGCAAAGAGGAGAAGAAAGCGTAAGAAGGTTGAGAGCTCAGATGATATAGCTTCATATATGGCATGTCACAACCTCTTTTCTTATGTTGGTAAGAGACTACTATACTCGTAACAGTTAACTCTGTCCTACTTTGAGCATATCCTTCATGTATTGCTATGGTTTTTTTTTGCAGAGACCAAGAGATTGAGCTCAGATGGAATGACAGTGGCTGATGACTTTGGTGGTATGTTAACTAAAAATGCAATAGTCTCTCATTTTTTTCAGACTGTTAATGTTTTGGTGTATTGATATGTTGCTTCCGGCAGTTGCAAAAGATCCTTGGATTGATTCAAAGGAACCGGTTGACTTAGACGACGATGACTCACTTTTTCATCACCGAGAAGGAGATAGTGTCTTAGAAGAGGTTCTCTGGAAAATCGAGATGGTACATTCGAAAGTTCATAGATTGAAATCCCAAGTTGATGTTCTGATGTCCAAGAACGCAGCCAGGTTCTCATCCTCAGAGAATCTGAGCCTTCTTGCTGCAAGTTCTGCGCCTAGCCCAACGGTTTCTGCTGGAGGAAATGGAGATCACATCTCCATTGGAGCAATTTACAACTCTTCACAGCATATGGCAGATTATGTTCTTGGTGATTTAGTTTTCTCTTCCGAAGGAGTGATTTCGAGCTATGGGGATGCATTTCATATTCCTGACATAATAGAAAGTACTGTTGGTCTTTTCGCGGATGCGGATGTTACTTTACATCATCCCCAAATTGGAAATTCTTGTGAAGATGTAAGTGGTCTTGGATACTTAAGTTATGTTTCAACATCCTCTTCCATGTTGACTGATTCCAACTTATTTGCAGATTTTGGATAATATATTGATTCGAAATGGAGTAGCTGAAGAAATGAATGCTGATTTGATGGAAACTAGTAGCCATGATGAAGCTGAGAAAGCAGAGGAAGGAGAAGGAACCAGTGTGCCGCCATTGCAGCAGAATCAAGAAACAGAACAATATCACCAAGCAGTACAAGGCCGTGAAGACTCGGTTCTTAGATCATGCTTAGCTTCTGAAATGGTTGTTCCTAGGAACAAAAGGACAAGAGGTGGGGAACGTAAAGCTAGTTCTTGGTGCAAGAAACATCTCAGCGATCCTGAAAGCCAGTGACTGATGAAAAAACTCACTAAGCTTTTGATGAACAGAGTCTCTCATGCCTCTCTAAATTTTCCCTTAAACCACAGCAGCGGCTATTTTCTACTTATTTCTGAACATTCCTTAGTTTGATTTTTCTTTCTTTCTGCAGTATCTGTGTGCTTACAGAACATGTAACTTTGTTTTCGTATCATTTTTCTTCTTTAGCTTCTTTTCGGTTTTATGATGATGAAAAGTTAAGAGAGAAGACACAAACTGTGTATAATAAGTTTTGAAATTGTAGTTCTGTTACAAAATATAGAAAATTTTATGTCTAGAATTCTTATGAGCAGAATCATCTTCTTCTTTCACTTGGGTTCTTTAGTTTTCAAAATTTAATAACATTTCTACTGTATTATATATTTACTAGATATTGAACCCAATATTAATTCTATTTGATAAATTATAGAGCATATATGCTGTATTTACTGTTTCACGAGTTTGGAACTTGTTTAATACATTGTATTACGAGATGAGGAAAGTAGGAAGGGCTGGATTCTTTGTGTAGTAGCCTTGGTGGCCTATCATGTGCCCTTGGTGGGTGATAATCAAAAAGTGCCTTCTTCAAGTGGAAATTAATCTGATTCTGATCATCCCAAAAATTAAATTTAGATTTAAAAGGATTATAAAAATTAGAAAAAGCTTCAAGTTTCAGCTTTACTGTAGTTGTTTGTTTAAATAATTGTTGCACATTGAATTATTTTATCAGTTTATAACAAAATAAACAAGACCAATCATAATGTTGTAGCAGCTTTTTGGAGGTTCTTGATATAACACCACCCACGATATCAAATTGAGAACCATGATTGATTATACTATCTATAATGTTCATATATTTCTCAATTATTTCTGACTTGTTTGATCTCTCATCTCTCTATAATATTAAGTGTCCTCTTTCTTTCTTTTTTACAATTTTATCGCTTATCACAATTTTAGCATGCGGTAAGAAATTATACTTGTTATCTTGTAATAATTTATTTATCGGTATTACATATAGTGCATGTAATTCAATAAATCTCATAACTCATTACTGAACACACCCTCTTGGATGTATATTTTCACATCATTATAACAAAAAAAAAATTACAAAAGCGAATTTGCAAATATATATCATTTGATGGACATGCATATACATCATTATGTGTAAAAATTAGTAAAATATATAAATAGTGTGAAAGCTAATAAACGCTCTAACTATGATGCATGCCCATAATAATCATCTTTCAAAAGAAGATGGTCCCATGAGGTTAACATGATTAATCCAGCACTTAATCCCTCTTTCTTAATTATTCTCATTTATTCTATGTATACTCTATATAATATTTGTAATTAATCTCTATTGGAAGAAGATAATAAGCTTAAGTAAAGATTAATTAAGAAGAACTCATCATATAAGAAATTTCTAATATATTTATAAGTTTCTTGAGTAAAGAATAAAAGATTTTTATGATAAGAAAAATATGGTACAGTTGATTATTTATGTCAAAACTCTCGGACAATTCCTATATAATCAAGAGTCGATATGAGAATTTGCATAATTTTATAAAAGCTATAAATCCTTACGTGAGTTTCTCTATAATCTAATAAGCTAAACAAAATTATCATTAGACAAGAACAACCATTTCTGCTTAAGATTAATGAATATATATAACATGTAAAATATATATATATATATATATATATATGAAAGAAGGCTGTCTCATATGAGATTAATTGATGCATGAGAGAAGACTATATACTCCTTAAAGGCTTCCAATGGAAAGTGGATCATGAGGACTATGGTAATTGCATTAAAAGCACCAAATTCTCTCTTCACTTTCTCTTTAGGATTTTTGAATCTCTTATCTTTCTCTCTCTCTCTCCACAACTACAAGACTCCTATAACTGTAAAAGCAAGAGAGAAAAGAAGAAGAGAAGAAAACAGCAACTCTTAAAGAATGAAATAAAGAAGCAAAAAAAAAAAAGCTAAGTCAATTGTTTAACACTTTCACTCTCTCATCTCTCTCCTCTCTCAAAATCTCTAAAAACTGGCATTGGCCATATGAAAAAATATCCCCATCTTCTTCTCCACCCTTTGGCTATCTCTCTCTCTCTCTCTAAACTATTCACTTACTCACTCACTCTTCTCCTTCCTCTGTATCTGTTTCATGCAAGATTCAAAGACATCACCTGCAAGGTATGCATACTACTCTCACTCTCTTCATCAATGCTTATTACTATTCACTTTTGGATTTTTTGCTTCAAAATCAAATCAGGGTTTCATAAACACTCACATGATTATGTAACTGTTAATTCGGAGAGGCTTTCTCTTAAAATAAAAATGAAATACAATATCACAATCTTATTTTTGCAGAGAGATCAAATTCTCTTCTTATACATGATCCATCTTGTATAGTTTCAAACCAGATAAACAGTCCCAGTTCTTACCTTCGATATGATTCTTTTGATCATATATACTTTAAGATTAAAAAATTAACACCTATTTTACTATATGATGGAATTCAAAGGAACTTTGATATCAATAGTTGGTAAAAAATGTACTTTAATTTGTAATTTAGCAAAAAAGAAGGCGTTTGGGCCAATGTTGGGCTTTATCTCAATTCTTCCCAATCGTCAGTTGTTTTTTTTTTTTTTTTAATTTCTTCTTTTAAACGGCCATAAATATACAATACTTACAAGATACGCATCAAACGCAAAAAAAGACATGTACCACCACAATAAAGATGCTTTGTTTGTAAATGGATTCATAAATTTTCAGATTCTTTTATCATTTATCAAAGATTTTATGTCATAACACAACTGTCTTTAATAAATGAAAACATATTTTTACTGATCCATAATTAGTAAATCAAACTATTACTCTAATTTGTTTCCTTGTTAAAGTCAGAGAAGAAATAGTTTTCTTTGTTTCCCTTTTTCCCTAAACCCAAACTTGGAATCTATAAATTACCCCAATTTTAGAAGTTGTAAAGCAAATTAGCTAAGCTTCTCCAAAATATTTCAAATCTCTTAGGCGCTTTTAATTGAATTAAACAACTAATGATGATGATACATTTATGTTAAATTTATATTTTGGTTAATAGTAGTAATCAGCACCAAATAAAGAAAAAGAAATGTGTGAGTGTGACATAAAAAAGGTGATGGCAAACAGAAAACCTTGGTACCAGAGAGCTATGGCGGTGGCGAGATTCGCGACCAGTTGGAGAACTATCCCTAAATCATCATCAGAGATTAATACTCGCCCGTCTAGAAACCCTAGCGTGAACAGCAAGTCATCGTCGAGTCAAAACCAAAACCATCAGCTGAGGAAATGCACGTCTTTGAAAGTAGCTGCGAATTCGTTTACTAGGGTTTGTCTCTGCGCTCCGATAGGTCCGTACGACGACGTTTTCCGAAACTATGTCCCGCCGAGGAGAAGCACAAGCTATCCTCCGTCGAAGCCTCTTCCGATGGTGACGGCGAGGATGAGTACGGATTCAGGGAGGAGGATGTTTTTTAGAGGGAAGTCGTTGAAGGAGAACGAGTTGATGAGGAGGTTTGTGGTGGCGGAAGAAGAAGCGGTGATGGAGAATAGGAGGAGAGATCAGATGGAGATTGTGAGGAAGAGGAATCAGATGAGGAGGAGGAAGAAGCTTGGCCCTAGTCCTCTTTCTCGTATGGTTATCGCTGAAGACCATCAAGTTTTTCATCTATGATACTTCTTTTTTCTTTTTTTTACATCAAGAACAGAGGAAAAAAAAACTATTCAAATGAAGAAACGAGGAAGAATTTTATTTTTCTGTTCTTGTAATTGTTTTTTTTTTTTTTTTTGGGGTTGAATTGAGAGATAGATAATTAACCAGAACACAAATCCCTCATGTAAAACGGTGCCGCTTTGTTTATTTAGTTGTTGTTTATTGTGTTGGGAAAGGTTTTATGAAGGATGGAAAGGTAATTATACAGGATTAAAATGGTTTATTAATTGTCTAAGAGCATCAGCATTGGTGTAATACCAATCTTGGTCCCTCCATTATTTATATAATATTTAGATCATAGAACTTTTAAAATTTTTGAGTGTAGGAGCATTGGTGTATCTAGTTATTTGTCCTTTTATTAAATTAATCATATTTTTAATTTTTAAAAATAATTTTTATAATTATATAAAAAAAACATGGAAATAAAACATATATCATCCCATTCATTGGATTTTATTATTACAAAGTTTATAAAGTAAAAACAGAAAAACATATAATTATGACATTATTAATATAAAACATCAAGCATATTTTCAATATATTTTCAATTTATTAAAATAATTAATTTTAATTAATAAGTAAAAACATATGAAATATTGATTAATATTAAACATAATAAATATTACAAAAGTACAAAAAGGATTAAGATGGAAAAAAAACCTTAATCCTTTTTTGATATTATCATTATATTAGGGAAAAATGAACGCTGATATTATGATTATATTGGGGAAAAAAAAATGAATACTCATCTCATGATCATAGCTGATATTGCAAACTAAATAACACTGGATTATCAATGAAGAAGGAATCATGTGAGTTGCACATGGGATGCAAGAGATGGCATTGACAAATGCTGCGTAGTCGTGGATACGTGACAAATGAGTTAGTGCCACGTTGGATGAAGAACTTTATGAAATTGTCCCGTTTTAGTTAACGTTTCTTTGGTTTAATTGCATTTTTGATTTAAATTTTTATGGTTTATTGAGTAGGACTTTGGTTGAGTACGCGGATGTGCATGCTCTAATTGGTCTGATTAAAGTTGGTTACTTTGGTCAAGCTATTCAACTGATCATCGTCTTTGATATTATTTTTAGTATAATATATGAAGGGATGATGCTTAAGATTGAAGACTGGTTGGTTTTGCTATCGTTCTCGATCTTGATCAGAATTTTAATAATTAAGAGTAATTAAGCCAATATATTTTACTTACTTCCATTGTTATGGATGTACACATGATTGATTTGTTTTCCTTTCAGAATGTCAATGTAATCTAGTACACATCCATAACAATGGAATATTGATTAATTATTGCTTGCTTGCATGCATGCATGCATCTACATAAAACATATATATATAAGTATGGAGTTTAGTATAATATATGTATTATATAATAAGTAATAACATAATTAGATATCATGTTAAGTTAGCTTAGCTTGAAAGGCACTCAAGAGCTCGGGTCTCTCTGAAATATCTGACATCATGTGATGTTCATGTTATACTCATTCCAGTCCATCATGTTTCCTGTTTATAAACATTTGTGTGTATCCAGATTTTCCTCGTAATCTGGATAACTAATACATCATGGCCAGTGAGCATTATATTCCCACACGAATGCATTCGGTTTGTATTCGACTCGTCATTATCAGTGTTTACTTTGTCTAAGTTTTAGCTGCATGCAAGTACTATATACATCCCTCTCTCTCTCTAGATGATCGTATCAAGATCATAAAAGAAATTTGGTGACAAAAAAACTGGAGAAATAAAAAAAAAAGTTGAAAGAAAAGAAGACACTCAGCTCGTACGCACGCACGCGCACGACAACCAAAGTATGTGTGTCAGTCACAGACAGTCTATGAAGAAGAAGGAATGTTGGGGAAGGAGACTTGTCACTTGTCACTTTGGGTTAATTGCATACAAGTTTTGTTTTTGTTTTAATCAATCTTCTTTGCTTGAATTGTATTCCAAGCTCTCATCTCATTTTATTTCATTATTGTTCTTAATTAATTATTTTCTAGCATCAAACCTGCCTCCTATGATTCCTATTGTTATTACCAATTTATTTCCATTATTACTGATGAACGTCTCATGAAACAAACTACTGTATTACGTACGTACAATTTTTTTTTTTTGTTAATCCAAAACATCAGTGTCAAGCTGGTTGAGTTTTATTTTTAATTAACAAATATTTTTTATGTTTAGTACCGCATTTGGGCTGTGAGATAATGACACGACTTTTCTATCTAAATATTAGTATTATTTTAAATCTCTTTGCAGATAATATTAAGAAAACATATATTTCAATAAATTAATAATGGTTTTATACTATTTCGTAACATAAGAGTGTTTTCATTTTCACAAAAAAAAAAAAAAGAAAAAAGAACCAACTCATGGTGATTTTTGTTGTTGAATGATTTATTGATTCATCATTGTCCATACCATAAAGAACCAGAGTTTGTTTTCATTACGAAATAAATTAATCGTATTTTAAAACATTTAAAAGGATTTAAGTATCCCGTTTTCACATATTTTTTTTCCTATAATTTATCGGTTATAAGCTCCATTTTTTTTCTGTAAACTCAATAGTCTGTACTTTGTTGAATGTAGGCCTGGGCATAAAATCCGAATCCGAAAATCCGAACCGAACCGAACCGAAAAAGTTAGATTAAAATCGAACCGATATTGGAAAAATAACCGATCGGTGTTAGCTTTCAATATTTTTGGATATCGAAATAAACCCGATCCGAACCGATATCCAATAGATATCCATATATAACCGAACTTATAATATATACTTTAATATCTTTAGGATATATACAATATATACTTTAATATCTTTACGATATATACGTTTGCCGCATAACGGATGAAAAATTATTTTTAATTGATTTAGGATGTCACTGAATTTTGCTACTTTTTTATTATGAATTTATGGTTTAGTTTGGTTTATTTAAAACTTTTATGCATCGACACAGTTTTATGCTTCAATTTTATATATTGGTATGGTATTATGTTAGTTGGTTCTTTGAAATTGTCATTTGACTCATTTCTATTTTTATAAATAATTGGATAGTATGAATTATTTGAGTATAATTGGATTTAAAAATATCCGAATAAAACCGAATCCAATAAATTTTGGTTAAAATTTAATTATCACAATTATATACAAACCGAACCGAAATCCGAAATATCCAAACCGAAACCGAACCGAATTTTATAAATATCCGAATGGATATTAGAATCAATATCCAAAAAATCCGAAAACCGAAAAATCCGAACCGAACCCGATCCGATATCCGAACGTCCAGGCCTAGTTGAATGAATGCGATAGTTTATGCTTAAATATATATATATGGGATTATTATTATTTAAAACATATTTCCGTAACTAATATCTGGTAAATATAAACCGTTGATGAATGATGATTCAATCGATTATTATTAGACCAATAAGTGGGAACGAAGGTGCGTGTGGGTGTGGTCGTCAGACACACACACACGACCAAAGAAAGAATCAACCTCGTCGTCTACGATTTATAAAAGAAAGAAAACAAATATTCTTGAGATGATTGCCTTCTTCAGTAGCATAAAACTGACGTAAACGTGATATAAGTAATATATGTTATGTATACGACAGAGTCCTTCCACCAAACCTAACCGTTTTGGTCAATTATTATTATTATTATTCGTAACATCTCTTAACTAATAATGTAACTCAAACATTTCACAATTACGATGATGTTTTTCTTTTATAAATTTTGTTGGACTGTTACTACTAACAACTAGCTTAGCTTTCATTATCTATATATCTATCATCTAAGTCTGGTTAAATTAATGATTATATCAACTAGTTTTTCGTCGAATTTTTGAAATGAGAGTTTGGTTTCTTTAGGTTTTCTTTTTTTTTTGGGTTTCCTTAAATTGTTTGTCTTTACAATGAAGTAAAGTTAAAACAAGATTGAGTGAGAAAGTGGCCAACTAATTCTCTCTGTTCCATCAATCTAAAATACAAATTGATTTGATTTGATTATTAATCCACAAAAAAGGTGGTCAGAGAAACAAAAGAAAAAGGTATTTAAAAAAAAAAAAAAAGTTTGCTTCCATACCAGCTAGACCCAGAATCAAAGTATAGCAGACTTTTTCTTCTACATATTCAAAGTTACTTATCTCCAAAATACAGAAAGAAGAAGAATAAAATGTTAGGAAAGCAATAAGCAGAAGAGTCTTTCTTCTTTGGTTGCTTTTTTGATTTCTTTCTCTGTAACAGCTTCTTTACTCTTGAGAGTCAGAGATCCCATAATCAAAGGTTAGTTAAAGATTCATGTTGTTTGTGATTATCCAAATAATTTAGTTTTGTACCATTTGGGTCTGCTTAATCACAGAGTTGTGTATATAGTTTGTTTTTGTTGGTTTCTTTAATTTACATGTTGTCCAAGTTATCTATCTTTTAGATTTGTATCAAATTCTCTGTATTTTCTGAGGAAAAAAATTCCATACAAAATCGATATAGTAATACTAATATTGTGTGATATAATCAGTTCACCTAATTTGGGCTAGAAAGATAGAGTTGGATTTAAGATTTCTCAAAAGTTAAAATATAAACTTTCCTTTTTCATGAAAGCTCTCAACAACTTGAAATCTTTATTTTCTGGCAGTTTCCTCTTGTCATTGATTGTTCTGAGTTAATATTTCAGTTTTTTTTTCTTTCTCTTTTGCTTTGTTTTAAACTCTTTTGTCCGAAACTCCTGTTTCAATATGTTGCAGGAGTTTTTCTATTTTTGTGCTTCAAGCTGTTCCTCCTCCTTGGTAAAAACAGAGCAATCATGCTAAATTGTGCCGTCCTCTTATCAAACCTTGGCCGTCATCTAACTAAGTAAGCAAATAATGTTTTATGATGAGCATATGCTTGTATCAATAAAAGCTTCTTAATTTTTTTTAATTTTTTATCGTATGTGTCTTTTTGTTATTGTTAACAGTTAAAAGGAAAGTAATGTTCGAGAAATGGGGAAGAAAGGAAGTTGGTTTTCTGCAATCAAAAGGGTTTTCACACCACATTCCAAAGAGAAACAACTAATCAACAACAACGTAAGCAAGTTCCTTTTTTACATTTTGGTGAATTGATATGAGAATGAAGTGTATATACATTTATGATGGTTTTGTGTTTTGAAAGCAAGAAGCAGAGAGAAAGAGTGAACACAAAGAAAAGAAGAAGAAAGGTTTTGGAAAGAAACTAAGGAATGGAGAAACCAATACATTTCTTCCCATTTTTAGACAGCCTAGTAGCATTGAAAAGATCTTGTGTGAAGCCGAGCGAGAGCATAACCTTGTCTTTAGGCCACCAACTCCCTCCACGGATCGAGCAAAGGCTTCATCAGCCTATCTTCCATCTCCTTCTTTTAGGCCTGCTTCTCCTAAACTGCCTTCTCAGAGATATGTCTCTTCTCCAAAACCAATTTCGCCAAGACTTGCTTCCTCTCCAAAGCCCCCTTCTCCAAGAGCCGTTTCGCCTAGGATTGTGCAGCGGCGCGAGTTTGTGTATAGACCAGAGCCAACTCTACTGGTCAGAAATGCTACTGCTACAAAGATTCAAGCAGCTTTCAGAGGTTACATGGTACTGTCAAAAAACATTCTTGATTCTGTTTTAATTGTCACCATTAATCTCAAACAGTGAGCATCCATAATTTAGGAAATGTAAATTTGTGTGTAGGCAAGGAGGAGTTTTAGAGCTTTGAAAGGTCTTGTTAGGCTTCAAGGAGTGGTGAGAGGTCACAGCGTGAAGCGTCAAACGATGAATGCTATGAAGTATATGCAGCTTTTAGTCCGAGTCCAAACACAAGTCCAGTCACGTCGCATCCAAATGCTGGAAAACAGAGCTAGGAATGACAAAGATGACATGAAATTAGCCTCTAGCCTTATGGTAAGTAACGCTCTCATGAATCTTAGTGCCACAAGAAAAAAATATCTCTAAATTGAATCACTTGAGCACTGTTGTTCTTTCTCGCAGTCTGAGGATTGGGATGATAGTGTCCTGACAAAAGAAGAAAAAGATGCGAGGCTGCATAGGAAGATTGATGCTATGATCAAAAGAGAACGTTCCATGGCCTATGCTTATTCTCACCAGGTAATATACTCATCTCTTCTTTTTCTTACTCATCATACCAATGTAATATCTAAGGTTTTCAGAAACAACACTCTGTGACTCATTGACTCTGTTTGTTTTCTACTCAGTTATGGAAAAATAGTACCAAGTCTGCTCAGGACATTCGAACAAGTGGCTTCCCACTTTGGTGGAACTGGGTGGACCGGCAGAAGAACCAAAGCCAGCCTTTCAGGCTAACACCAACACGACCGAGCCCAAGCCCTCAGCCTCAATCTAGCAACCAAAACCATTTCAGGCTGAACAACAGTTTCGACACTTCCACGCCCAATTCATCAAAATCCACATTTGTTACTCCATCTAGACCCATTCACACTCCGCAACCATACAGTAGCAGCGTCTCAAGATACTCACGAGGAGGAGGAAGAGCTACACAAGATTCTCCTTTCAAAGATGATGACAGCCTCACAAGCTGCCCTCCGTTCTCAGCTCCAAGCTACATGGCTCCAACAGTCTCAGCAAAAGCAAAGCTGAGAGCAAACAGCAACCCGAAAGAGAGAATGGACGGTACACCGGTCAGCACAAACGAGAAGAGAAGGAGTTCGTTCCCTCTTGGTTCGTTCAAATGGAACAAAGGGTCATTGTTCATGAGCAGCAACAGTAACAACAAGGGTCCAGGTTCTTCTTCTTCTGGTGCAGTGGTGCTTGAGAAACACAAGACCCTCAAATCCGTAGGAAATTTGAGTATTGATTCTACTGTCTCCATGCCTGCAACAGTTGGGAGGAGAGCTTTTAACAGATTTGCGTGATTTTTCTTTCAATGCTTTGACTTTTTTTTTTTTCCTTTCTCAGTTTGATTTCTTGATCTTACATCAATTTTATGAGTGGTGGTGATGATTTTGAGTGTTCTTGATTACGATTTTTACAGATGTAACATAATAATAAAGTAAACAACTAAAGCAGAGGATTTGGATTGTACAGTGTGATCTTCTTTATATATATCTTCTCTTCATTTTCCAGAACTAGGGCTTCGATTTTCGAACTACATAGACTTTGCCTGTTGATCACGAATCTTTCTTTTGGGCCAATCAACAAACTTTAAACATTCTTTCGGGCCCAACTACAACATTCTTGCAACTAAATTAAGAAAACCCAATCAAAATATAGTTTTTAGTTCCTTTCTTTTGAGTTTTGATAACTAATTTATTGGTTGCATTTTGGATTTTAGATAATTGAAAAGAATGTTGAAGTGTAAGTTATGTAGAGCATATCAATATTTAAAAAAAAAAAAAAAATTAAAAGTCAATCCAAAGATACATTGCCGCCATGTCGTATCATTTTTTTGTTTTTCCTTTAAAATATAAATATTTTCTGGTCAAAGACTTTGGTTGTGATAATTGATTTGTTTCTTCTTTTATTGCGTCGCTGCTTTTACATACTACTATTGATCCACAAAGCCTCAAAGGATTAGACATCAACGAAATATCCTTGTTGTAAATTTTGACCAAATGTCATAAAAGTCAAACCTTTGACGTTTTTAGTGTTTCTTCTCAACACTCAAGAGATGATAATATCACAGAAGATCAAAATCTTTCACACAAACCAAAAAGAAAAAAAGAAAAAGAACATCAATGTCTCGTGAACATATTATTCTCTGTCAAGCAATTCTTGCTCTGTTCTTTACTCTGTTTTACAATTCCCATGCCTACTTCGTCCCACACGGATCTGTAGGAATCGGCTACAATGGTTACTTCACTTTAACCAACACAACAAAACACGCTTACGGTCAGGCTTTCGACAACGAACATTATACAGTCAAGAACTCATCAACAGGTCTCCTAACATCTTTCTCAGTCAACTTCTTTTTTGCGATCGTCCCTGAGCATAATCATCAAGGCTCACATGGTATGGCTTTCGTTATGTCTCCCACAAGAGGCCTTCCCGGAGCTTCTTCCGATCAGTACCTCGGAATTTTCAACAAGACAAACAACGGTAAAAGTTCGAATAACGTGTTAGCTATCGAGTTAGATATACATAAAGACGAGGAGTTTGGAGATATTGATGATAATCATGTTGGGATTAACATTAATGGTTTGACATCTGTTGTCTCTGCTTCTGCTGGTTACTATGATGATAAAGATGGAAACTTTAGAAACCTTTCTTTGATCAGCAGAAACGTAATGAGGCTTTCGATTGTTTATAGTCAACCTGATCAGCAGCTCAATGTTACTTTATCTCCTGCTGAGTTCCCTGTTCCGCCTCAGAAACCGCTTCTGTCTTTAAACCGAGATCTCTCACCGTTTTTGCGTGAGAAAATGTACTTTGGATTCACTGCATCGACAGGGTCGGTTGGAGCAATACATTACATGTTGGGTTGGTTTGTTAATGGAGTAGTCGAGTATCCGAAATTGGAGTTTGGTATGCTACCAACCCTTCCTCGGTATCCTAAGAAATCATCTAATAGAACAAAAACGGTTTTAGCGGTCTGCTTAACGGTATCCGTGATTGCTGCATTTGCCGCCTCGTGGATGGGTTTCATCTTCTATCTGAGGCATAAGAAGGTTAAAGAAGTTCTTGAGGAATGGGAAATTCAATATGGACCTCATAGGTTTGCTTACAAGGAGCTTTACAATGCCACAAAGGGTTTCAAGGAGAAACAACTACTTGGGAAAGGAGGTTTTGGTCAAGTCTATAAAGGAACACTTCCAGGTTCTGACGCAGAGATCGCTGTGAAACGGACTTCTCATGATTCAAGACAAGGGATGAGCGAGTTTCTAGCCGAGATTTCAACCATTGGTAGGCTTAGACATCCAAATTTAGTCAGGCTTTTGGGGTATTGTAGGCATAAAGAGAATCTCTATTTGGTTTATGACTTCATGCCTAATGGAAGCCTTGACAAGTATCTAAACCGTAATGAGAATCAAGAACGGCTGACTTGGGAGCAACGTTTCAAGATTATCAAAGATGTTGCAACTGCTCTCCTACACCTGCATCAAGAATGGGTGCAAGTCATCATTCATCGAGATATCAAACCGGCTAACGTTTTAATCGACCAAGAAATGAATGCGAGGCTCGGGGATTTCGGACTTGCGAAGCTGTATGATCAAGGATTTGACCCTGAAACATCTAAAGTAGCGGGAACATTCGGGTATATAGCGCCAGAGTTTCTAAGAACAGGAAGAGCGACTACAAGCACTGATGTGTATGCCTTTGGGTTGGTAATGCTTGAAGTTGTCTGTGGTAGAAGGTTGATAGAACGACGTGCAGCAGAAAATGAAGTATATCTTGTGGACTGGATCTTAGAGCTTTGGGAAAATGGGAAAATTTCCGATGCGGCGGAGGAAAGTATACGTCAACAAGGAAACAGGGGACAACTTGAGCTGGTTTTGAAGCTCGGCGTCTTGTGTTCGCATCAAGCAGCGTCAATCAGACCAGCTATGAGTGCGGTTATGCGGATTTTGAATGGCGTTTCACAGCTTCCAGAAAACCTTCTTGATATCGTAAGGGATGATAAATTCAAAGGATGGCCTGAGACATCAATGGAAGTACTACTTGATGTGAGTTCATTGGAGGTAACACATTCATTTGTCTCCCACGGACGTTGAAATTTTTGGTTTACCAAGGTGATACACAAATCTGAGCTTCAGGCACATTTATATTGAAAAATTGAATTGTCAGCAATACAAAAGACGATCATATATTTTTTCCGGCTATGTCCAACTAAACCACACTCGTCTTTCAAGACTTCTATATCCTGACGTCTCTTTTTCTCAATAACTTCAATCGTTCGGTTTCTTATAAAACTGTCAATTTTAATTGAAATTATCTCAATGGTTACGAAATCTTTCAATAGAACAGTTATAGATTGGCCAATTAGTTGACGTTTTTTTGTGTTCAAATTGGCTAATTAGTTGCAATATTTGTTCTTTCTTTAGAGCATTAAAGATCATACAGAAACAAAAAAGCAGGTTCTTCATGTCAAATCTGATACTAAAACTTCTGTCCAGTAATAAGGAATGACCGTAATGTTCAGTCATATTATGCATGTACTCTTTAACATTGCAAAGATCGTGAAACCTATGAAGAAACAGATAAAAGCATCACGAAAACTATGAAAAGAAAAAAACAAAGAAAAGATGTGGAATTGATAAAAGAATGTAGCGACTTGTTCGAGGCCACGATCAACATTGAGAAAACTTGATAGGCACGGAGAATCGCTATTCGTTATTGCCAACCTTCAAGGCAACTTACGCCATTTTTTAATTTGACGTCATTGCTCTGCTAATTGGCTTTTCTTATAACTAAAAAAAACTTAAAAAAATACGATTGGAGACCAAAAAAACCATAACAACAAAAAAAAACAGCAAAATAGACAACTAAAGAACCCTAGAAGATGAAGAAGAGATAAACTATGGCTTATAATCGAGCAAAGAGATGATGATTCTGGAAGACTACGACTTTACTGATTATATATAGAAGAAATAGAGCGGCTGCGGAGGAACGAGTACAAAACCCTAATCTCATTCTTTTTATCAACCCGACGAAATAGACGTATATGGGCCAAAGGGCCTACTTACTATTCAACATGGGCTCAGATCCACAATGTAATTGCTTCGGAATTTTTATTATTAAACCTATATACACTATAGTTTTCTACTCCATTATCATTTTCAGAACTGGACGTGAAATTTCAAATCAATTATTTTTGGTACCGTGCGTGATAGGTTCCAAACATTATTCGTTCGGTATAACTTGGGATGTTTATCTTTTTTTTTGGTAAAATATAACTTGGGGATGTTCTTTTTTTTTTTTTTTCGTCAACTTGGGGATGTTCAACTAATTGATATATCTATCCTTAGCCATTATAGTCGTAAACTAAAACCGATCAAAATAAAAGTGAATCAATTTCGCTAATGACAAACTCTATTCTAAGACAAATAATCACCCTTATCCAATATAAGATCCTAAAATGGTAACAAATTCCGAGTTTGACCTAAGTATACTGATCCAAACTTGACGACTCTAGAATGTGATCAAATTTTTAACATATACATAAAATGTATATTAGTATCATTTATTTCATATACTATATTGTTGCAACTACTGAAATAGACATCATCATGTGATAACCTAATTATTATGCGCGTGTAGGTGAAGAGAGCTAGCTACAATACTAATAGAGACTCACAACTTTGAAATAATTTTCTTAGGCTCTCCCAAACATATATAGAACTTGCCGGAAGCCAGCTTATCCGGAGGAAGCAACACTAACTTGGCGACAGTGGCAGCAGCCTCGTCCGCCGTGTGAGTCCCCTGACCACCGGTCATAGACGTACGAGTGAAACCAGGGCAAAAACAATTCACACTTAGTTTTTTACCCTCGTAACGTCGAGCCAAAACCCTAGAATAAGCGTTTAAGGCCATCTTTGAGATGGCGTAGTCAGGCCAGTTCTCCGGCCATCCTTGTTTTTCCCAAGTCCCGCTCATCACGTCCTCCAGAAATTGGGTCACAGTCGCATCGATTTGTTCATCGGTAAGGTCTTCACTTTCTAGTGTTTGTCTTATACTAGGGCTTCTCAGTTTCTGTATGCCAAAACAAGAGAAGAAGAGATGTGATATCGTACGTTTAAGGTCTTCATTATATTAATTATATTTTATATTTATTCTTGTCGGTCCATATACATATATAGTATAGGAAGAACCGAAGGAGAAAGAGATAATATAGTATTACGTTTAATGTGCCAAGCCTTGAACTGATGTTAAGGATGCGGCTAACGGAGTCTGAACGGCGAAATAAGGGCAAAAGCGCCTCCGTTAAAAGCTTGGCACCGTAGAAGTTGGTCTTGATAATGGTCTCTGGCTGTTTGATTAAATTCTCACCGACAGCGTTAAATGAAACCGCCGCATTGTTCACCTGAGCAACATGACGCCGTGTTATGATTCTATATATGTATATGAATAAATATTGACTGTGTGCTTGAGAAAATTGTGACTTTCTTTTTGTTTTCTATCAACATATTGTTTTTAACCCAACAAGTTTTTTTTTTAAACATGGAGTTGGTAATACTTTATATATAGTAGTTGTGGACTAAGTAAATGTCTAGTGCGAATGAGATAATTTATTGAAACATAAGAATATTAGTTTGTAAATTACCAAAATGTCGAGTACTCCGAAGTTGCGACGGAACGAGGAGGCGAAGGTGGCGATGGAAGAAGGGTCGGAGATGTCGAGGCAGCAAAAATGAACGTTTCGAAAGCCATCGTGGCGGAGGGAATCGGCTGCTTGGCTTCCGTTTTCGGCGTTTCGGGCAGTTAAAACGACGGTTAGTCCAAGCTCCAGTAACCTCTTCACAACAGCAAAACCTATACCTTTGTTTGCTCCGGTCACCACAGCTGTTGTTCCTTCCGACCACCACCTACAGTAATCACAAACAACAATCAAAAATTGGTTTTACGGTTATGTAGGAAGAGACTTTGCTTGCACACAAAAACCTTTTAAAGACGGGAATGATTTATATATGTGTACCTATTTGTTGAAGAAAGAGGAGAGGTTACATGATCCATTTTTATTATTTTTGGAAAGCAACAACAATGATGCTAAGAAAGACTCGATGAAGGGATTATATATAATTACATAAATAGGGTTAAGTAAATAGACATGGATCTGAACACATGCATGTTATATTGATTTATAAATACACAAACAGATCATGGTTGTCTTCGTTTGTGTGATGGCGGTGCCAGACAAATAATAAAAATAAAAATAAGCCAAAGAACTCGTGAATAATGCTGTAAAATATTAATGTCAAGTCATTTAAATATATATATATTCATTAACGTCCATGCGTTCTTATTATTTGGAGATTCGATCCACCCTTCAACGTTCCAGACGGCAATAGCAAAAAATTTATTTGGTTTTTGAGATTTTTGTTTCTTATAATTTTCATTCGGCGCCGTTGATGAAATAGGTTTTGTCCAATGTACAAAATATACAATGCTAACTGGAAATGTCAAGAGGCTGCGTCATGAAAAATATACGTACTAATAAAATGCACACTTCGATATTTTTTTTATAGTTATGCATGGTATTAATCAATATATGATGGATTACCAAAACTTTAATGTTTATGTATATTTATAATTAAATATGTATATACGCACGTACCCCATAATTTGGCTATATTAATAGGTAGCAGTTCATTTTCATTGTGTATTGTACTATCGTATCCTAATAATGTCAGCAAGCAATCCTGAAATAAATTGTGTACCCGTTTTATATGATAAAACTATATTCACCCTCTTAAGAATATATCAATTACGTATTATTCATTTTTTTGCATTGAATGAAAATTAATTACCACCTATCTAAAACCTTTCTTTTGTGTGTATATATATATATATATGACTATATACGGTAGGTTTTATTAAATGTGGATCAGATCCGATCAGAATACCGAATCGATTACTCTTAGGGTAGTTGAGTTGATATGGCCGGGTGTATTTAATTGTAGTCGTCGTCTAGAAGGAGAAAAAAAAAGAGAGAGTAGAAGAATATTGACTAAGAGCTAGTCGATCCTTTTGATTTTATATTGTTTGCAACTGCATGCTTCAATTAAGAAAACCATACTTATATAGGACTAGGTTTGTCGTATAAGCAATTTACTTGGGTTTAAAAGGTTAAAGTTCTTTATTGTTGAACTAAGACTGAGGGGTCGTTAGTGGAATTTAGGCATGTGGTTGCTTCATCATTGGGACGTTCTTTATCTATTCATAAAGTTTCATTTATAGGAGCATTGTTGTACGTGATATAAGTGCATGTTGGAAAATGGTTTTTCTGGGTCTTTTATCGATGTACACTGCGAGCGCTAGGGTGAATGAAAATTACTCTACTTTTTGGACGACCAGTATGCGTTTTTCACGCTCTAAACCTTAAAAAAAAAAAAGGCTAGACATTGTCGGAAAAGTTTCCGTTTACCTCTAAAATCACGTAAACACCACATTCATTGGGATTCTGATCACTTATTGATCATGCCTATCACTAAACTATTTCTCTCTTCTCATCATGATCATTATGACCATATATCTTTATTGTCAAAAGAATGTCTCTATGTATTCATGAGCAAACAAGAAGAACTGAATCTCTCAATATGCATGGAATCTTACAAAACAATCGCAAGTTTTGAATCTAGAAACCAATTATTGGAGACTAAAAATAAAAAGTAATATTCATGATTTGCACATTGTATATTATATTATATGTTTAGTTTAGGTATAAACACCTTATTAATTGGTTCACACCCTTTGGTCATAAAGGTTTGGTGAGAAGGATACGAATATTTTTTGTTTTGTTTTAGAAGGTACGAAATATTATTATAAACAGGAAAGGGAATATTTTCTTGTTTAAATTAAACACAAACTTATATATATCCCAAGAAAAAGAAAAAAACCTAAAGAGTTAAGTGACTCTGATAAGTGAAATCAATGATTTTAGTCTTTGATTCGGTTTTGTCTCAAGAGGAGACAAGTGAAATGTATTTGTCTAGCTAGGGTTATCTAGTGTCGATTCTGCTCTCGTGGGATAAAAGTATGTGATTTGATCGATTCCAAGATCACAGTTTTTGTTATTGCCAACCTTCAACGCAATAGACGCTATTTCACTAGCTTTCTTATTATACAATACAAACCAGATCAATAAAACTTCTAAAGCAACAAAGAAAAAGCATGATTTATGATCGAGCGGTTGAAGAGGAACAAGATTTCTTGATTTATCATAACTCTGTTCTGTGTGTGTAAGATTCTTTCTTTTCCACAAACTCTGTTTTTGTGTGTGTAGGATTCGCCGATCAGGCTTCATCTTCCATGAGAGACGAAAGAATTTGTAAACGTCAATGTAGCAAATGAATTCACATCAAGTAGTACTTGGACTGATGTCTCAAGCCGTTTTCTCTCTTCCATTATCATCTCAAGAAGATCTTCCGGGAGCTGCAAGACGCCATTCAAGATCCTCATAACCACACTCATATCCGGTCTAATCGATTCCGCTTGATGAGAACACAACACGCCCAGCATCAAAACGAGCTCAACTTCCCTCCTGTTCTGTTCTTGGCGGATACTTTCATCGCCCGCATCGAAAAGTTTCCCATTTTCCCAAGTCTCTAAAATCCAATCCACAAGAACTTCCTCATTTTCAGCTGCACGTCGCTCAATCAGCCTTCTGCCACAAACGACTTCAAGCATAACCAACCCAAAGGCGTAAACATCTGTGCTTGTAGTTGCTTTTCCTGTTCTTACAAACTCTGGTGCTATATACCCGAATGTTCCCGCTACTCTAGATGTCTGAGGATCCAATCCCGGATCATGAAGCTTCGCCAGTCCGAAATCCCCGAGCCTTGCATTCATATCCTGGTCGATTAAAACATTAGCCGGTTTGATATCTCGATGAATGATGACTTGTACCCATTCTTGATGCAGGTGTAGTAAAGCAGTTCCAACATCTTTGATGATCTTGAAACGTTGTTCCCAAGTAAGCCGTTCTTGATTTTCATTCGGGTTCATACGTTTTAGATACTTGTCAAGGCTTCCGTTAGGCATAAAGTCATAAACTAAGTATAGATTCTCTTTATGCTTACAGTACCCCAAAAGCCTGACTAGATTTGGATGTCTAAGCCGACCAATGGTCGAAATCTCGGCTAGAAACTCGCTCATCCCTTGTCTTGAATCATGAGAAGTTCGTTTCACAGCAATCTCTGCATCGGATCCCGGAAGCGTTCCTTTATAGACTTGACCAAATCCTCCCTTCCCAAGAAGTTGTTTCTCGCTGAAACCCTTTGTGGCATTGTAAAGCTCCTTATAACCAAACCTATGAGGTCCACATTGAATCTCCCATTCCTCAAGAACCTCTTTAACCTTCCTATGTCTCAGATAGAAGACAGAACCAATCCCCGAGGCGACAAATGCAGCAAGCACAGCCAACGTTAAGAATACCGCTAAAATTGTCCTCGTTCTATCAGACACTTCCTTTGGATATGGAGGAATGACGGGGACTCGGCCAAACTCAAACGGTGGAAGTTGTGCTCCGTCATCAGAGTGCAGCAGCAACATATAATGGAGGGCTCTCATGGATCCCGTGGATGCCGTGAAGCCAGTATACGTACCCTCCAAAAGATATTGCGAGAGATCTCTGTTTAAAGACAACAGTGGTTTCTTGGGAGGAAGAATGAAATCAGCAGGACATAAAGTAACATTGAGCTGTTTATCAGGTTGACTATAAGCGATTGAAAGCCTCATTACCTTTCCGCTGATCAAAGAAAGTTTGTTAAAGTTTCCATCTTTATCATCATAGTAACCAGCAGAAGCAGAGACAACAGATCTCAAACCATTAATGTTAATCCCAACATGATTATCATCAATATCTCCAAACTCCTCGTCTTTATGTATATCTAACTCGATAGCTATCACGTTATTCGAACTTTTACCGTTGTTTGCCTCGTTGAATAATCCGAGGTACTGATCGGAAGAAGCTCCGGGAAGGCCTCTTGTAGGAGATAAAACGAAAGCCATACCGTGTGAGGCTCGCTGCTTATGCTCGGAAACGATTGCGAAGAAGAAGTTGACGTTGAAAGACTTGTTCTTGAAGGGAAAGGTTTCATTACTGATAGCTTGACCGTAGGAATGCTTCGTGGTGTTCGTTAAAATTACATAACTGTTTGAGTTGAAAACCGCAGATCCTTCCAAGATATATTTGCCATGGGAGTTGTGAGTACATGAAAACAGAGTAAGCAACAGAACAAGAACTTGTATTTGCAAGATTTTGAGTTCAGGAGACATGTGTTTTTGTTTGTTTGGCATATGGGAAGTTTATGATCTTACTGTGATATTTCCAATAGGAGTTTAAGAAAGAAGTAAAAAGAGTGAAGCTGTCAAGGTCTGGTCACAAAATAATGTGAACGAACGTTCTCGTGATGTTCCTCGTTATCCATAAACAAACATTATGTGTTTAAAGTATTTTACGCACATGGCACAGATCAAATAGTCAATACAATTATACAATAATCCTTTTATAATCCTTATTAGATTAATACTAGCAATTATAGTGGGATTGGTAGCTGACAAGGGACGGACGCATGTTCCAAGCCATATGATAAATTGTTTATCTTTCTTAAATCTCTTCTAGTCTTCTTCTTGCGTCGTCCATTAATGTGATGTGGCTTAGTATTCTTTAACTTTACTACTGTTACATTCATTAGTTATTGTTGATGTCTAACTATTGTTGTTATGTTATCTAATGAAAATTTATGTTTACATGGCCAAAAACTGTCTTAGGTAGAAGATTCAGTAAAAAGAATCCATTAGCAAAGTTTAGGGATCTTAAGTTCTATGTCACAAAAAGCATAAAACAGAGCAATTAACAAAACTAACGAACGTCCTTTCAATATCTCATCCCTTACCACATCAAGAAGGTTTTTTGGAAGCTGCAAAACTCCACTCAAGATCCGCATAACCGCACTCATATCTGGTCTAATTGATTCAGATTGATGCGAACACAACACGCCCAGCTTCAGAACAAGCTCTATATCTCCCCTGTTTTGATCTTGACGGATGCTTTCCTCAGCTGCATCGAAGATTCTCCCATGTTCCCAAAGCTCTAATATCCAATCCTCAAGTATACTTCTTCATTTTCTGTATAAACACCTTATTGGTTCACACTCTTTGGTCAGAGAAATTTGGTGAGGAAGGTGCAAATGTTTTGTTTTGTTTTAGAAAAGGGAATATTTCCTTGTTTAAATACAAACTTATTATCCACGCGCGCGCACACACACACACACACACAAAAAAAAGAAAAAAAAAAGAGAAGAACAAGAAAAAAAGCTAACGAGCTAGTTAAGTGACTTTTGATAAATGACATCAATGATCCTTAGTCTCTGATTCTGTTTCATCTCAAGAGGAGACAAGGTGAAATGTAATTGTGTAGGGTTATCTAGTGTCAATTCTGATCTTGTGGGATAAACTCAAAAGTATGTGATTTGATCGAGTCCAAGATCACAATTTGATTTTGTTATTACCAACCTTCATAGCCATAGACGCTATTTCATTAGATGTCTTATTATACAAACTAGATAACCAAAACTTCTAAAGCAACAAAGAAAAAGCATGATTTATATTTCGAGCGGTTGAAGAGGAACAAGATTTCTTGATTTATCAAAACTCTGTTTTCTTTTTTGGTTTTCATTAGTCATAACTCTGTTTTGTGTATGTCAGATTCTTTCTTTTGCACAAACTCTGTTTTTTCGTGTGTAGGATTCTCCGTTCAGGTTTCATCTTCCATGAGAGACAAAAGAATTTGTAAACGTCAATGTAGCAAATGAATTCACATCAAGTAGTACTTGGACTGATGTCTCAGGCCGTTTTTTCAATCTCTCTTCCATTATCACATCAAGAAGATCTTCCGGAAGCTGCAAGACGCCATTCAAGATCCGCATAACCACACTCATATCCGGTCTAATCGATTCCGCTTGATGAGAACACAACACGCCCAGCTTCAAAACAAGCTCAATTTCCATCATGTTCTGTTCTTGGCGGATACTTTCATCGGCCGCGTCAAAAAGTTTTCCATTCTCCCAAATCTCTAAAATCCAATCCACCAGAACTTCTTCATTTTCGGCTGCACGTCGCTCAATCAGCCTTCTACCACAAACTACTTCAAGCATAACCAACCCAAAGGCGTAAACATCTGTGCTTGTAGTTGCTTTTCCTGTTCTTATAAACTCTGGTGCTATATACCCAAATGTTCCCGCTATTTTAGATGTCTGAGGATCAAATCCAGGATCATACAGCCTCGCCAGTCCAAAGTCCCCAAGCCGCGCATTCATTTCATGGTCGATTAGAACATTAGCGGGTTTAATATCTCGATGAATGATGACTTGTACCCATTCTTGATGCAAGTGGAGTAGGGCACATGCAACGTCTTTGATGATCTTGAGACGTTGTTCCCAAGTAAGCCGTTCTTGACTCTCATTCGTGTTCATACGGTTTATATACTTGTTAAGGCTTCCGTTAGGCATAAAGTCATAACATAAGTAGAGGTTATCTTTATGCTTACAGTACCCCAAAAGCCTGACTAGATTTGGATGTCTAAGCCGACCAATGGTCGAAATCTCGGCTAGAAACTCGCTCATCCCTTGTCTTGAATCATGAGAAGTTCGTTTCACAGCAATATCTGCATCGGATCCCGGAAGCGTTCCTTTATAGACTTGACCAAATCCTCCCTTCCCGAGAAGTTGTTTCTCACTGAAACCCTTTGTGGCATTGTATAGCTCCTTATAAGAAAACCTATGAGGTCCACATTGAATCTCCCATTCCTCAAGAACCTCTTTAACCTTCTTATGTCTCAGATAGAAGACAGAACCAATCCCCGAGGCGAAAAATGCAGCAAGCACAGCCAATGTTAAGAAGACCGCTAAAATCGTCCTCGTTCTATGAGACGCTTCCTTCGGATATGGAGGAATGATGGGGACTCGGCCAAACTCAAACGGTGGAAGTTGTGCTCCGTCGTCAGTGTGCAAAATCAACATATAATGGAGGGCTCTCATGGACCCCGTGGATGCCGTGAAGCCAGTATACGCATCCTCCAAAAGATATTGCGACAAATCTCGGTTTAAAGACATAAGTGGCTTCTTGGGAGGAAGAATGAAATCAGCAGGGCATAAAGTAACATTGAGCTGTTTATCAGGTTGACTATAAGCGATTGAAAGCCTCATTACCTTTCCGCTGATCAAAGAAAGTTTGTTAAAGTTTCCATCTTTGTCATCATAGTAACCAGCAGAGGCAGAGACAACAGATGTCAAACCATTAATGTTAATCCCAACATGATTATCATCGATATCTCCAAACTCGTCGTCTTTATGTATATCTAACTCGATAGCTATCACGTGATTTGATGTGTTACCGTTGTTTGTTTTGTTGAATAATCCGAGATACTGATCGGAAGAAGCTCCGGGAAGGCCACTTGTAGGAGATAAAACGAAAGCCATACCGTGTGAGGCTAGCTGCTTATGCTCGGTAATGATTGCAAAGAAGAAGTTGACGTTGAAAGACCTGTTCTTGAAGGGAAGGGGTACGTTGTTGAAAACTTGACCGTAGGAATGCTTCGTGGTGTTCGTTAAAATTATGTAACTTTTTGAGTTGTAAACCGCAGATCCTTCCAGGATATATTTGCCATGGGAGTTGTACGCACATGAAAACAGAGTAAGCAACAGAACAAGAACTTGTATTTGCAAGATTTTGAGTTCAGGAGACATGTTTTGTTTGTTTGCTTGTTTGGAATATGGGAAGACATGTTTTGTTCGTTAAATTTAAGAGTTTAAGAAAGAAGTAAAAGATAGTCAAGCTGTCAAGATAATGTGAACGAACGTTCTCGTGATGTTCCTCGTTATTCATAAACAAAACATATGTATTTAGTATTTTACCCACATGGCCTAGATCAAATTGTCAATGCAATTATATAATCCTTATTATAATAATTAATCCTTATTAGATTAATAGCAATTATAGTGGGATTGGTAGCTGACAAGGGACGGACGCATGTTCCATATGATACATTGTTTATCTTCTTAAATTAATTACGTCGCCTTTAATGTGTTGTGGCTTAGTTACTTGACTATTGTTATTCTTTAGTTATTGTTGACGTCTAACTATTGCTGTTATTATTAGGGATAACAATATCATACATTGGAAGTTGAGTAAGATCTTAAGTGGTATATATAAGATATGGGCCTCTACACTCATTGCCAATTGGTTTTATGTTGGAAGCCCACAATCTAATATGGTATCAGAGCCCGGTCCGCACAAACTCAACCCAATCCACAATCGGTCTGGTCCAATAGTTGGTCCACCGATTCATGCCCGAGCATACCGAGATTTATGGCAAAAAAAAGCCATCATCTCGAGGGGGCGTATTAGGGATAACAATATCAAACATTGAAAGTTGAGTAGGATCTTAAGTGGTATATATAAGATATGGGCCTCTGCACTCATTGCCAATTGGTTTTAGGTTGGAAGCACACAATCTAATAGTTATTATCTAATGAAAATTCATGTTACATACTTAACATTGACAAAAAAATCTGTCTTAGATAGAAGATGCAATTGAAAGATTTAGAAGCAAAGTTGAGGGAATCTTATAAGTTGAATGTCACAAACAGCATAAAAACAGAGCAATTAACAAAACTAATAATCTAATATATATACATATTATCTTTATTAACCATGGAGTTTTGAGCTGAAGTCCGTAATTTATTGGTGCCGCAGAGCAGTATAAGCTCAAACCCATGCCTTCCGAAGCTATCTTGGAATCCAGTAGACCTTGCCACTACGGCACCAGTAGACCAAGAGTTTCATGGTAAAAATAACATACATTATTAAGCTATGTGTTTAAATATACAATTCAAGAACATATTTTGTATGATGTCTTAAGGTTTCATCTCCCATGGGAAATGAAAGAACTTGTAAACGCCAATGTAGCAAATGATGAATTCACATCAAACAGTAGTTCCAGTGATTTCTCAGAGCGCCCTTTCAATATCTCATCCCTTACCACATCAAGAAGATTTTCTGGAAGCTGCACAACTCCATTCAAGATACGCATAACCGCACTCATATCTGGTCTGATTGATTCAGATTGATGCGAACACAACACTCCCAGCCTCAAAACAAGCTCAATATCTCCTCTGTTTTGATCTTGACGGATACTTTCCTCAGCTGCATCGAAAATTCTCCCCTTTTCCCAAAGCTCTAAGATCCAATCCACAAGAACTTCTTCATTTTCCGCTGCACGTCGCTCAATCAACCTTCTACCACAAACTACTTCAAGCATCACCATCCCGAAAGCGTAAACATCGGTGCTTGTGGTTGCTCTCCCTGTTCTTAAAAATTCTGGGGCGATATAACCGAATGTTCCCGCTACTCTTGATGTCTGAGGATCAAATCCCTGATCATGAAGCTTCGCCAGTCCGAAATCCCCGAGCCTCGCATTCATGTCCTGGTCGATTAGAACATTAGCCGGTTTGATATCTCGATGAATGATGACTTGTACCCATTCTTGATGCAGGTGTAGTAAAGCAGTTGCAACATCTTTGATGATCTTGAAACGTTGCTCCCAAGTCAGCCGTTCTTGATTCTCATTCGTGTTGCTACGGTTTAGATACTTTTCAAGGCTTCCATTGGGCATAAAGTCGTAAACCAAGTAGAGATTGTCCTTATGCCTACAATATCCCAAAAGCTTGACTAGATTTTTATGTCTGAGACGACCAATGGTCGTAATCTCGGCTAGAAATTCACTCATCCCTTGTCTTGAATCATGAGAAGTTCTTTTTACAGCAATCTCTGCATTGGAACCCGGAAGGGTTCCTTTATAGACTTGACCAAAACCTCCTCTTCCAAGTAGTTGTTTCTCCTTAAAACCCTTTGTGGCATTGTAAAGCTCTTTATAAGCAAACCTATGAGGTCCATATTGAATCTCCCATTCTTCAAGAACCTCTTTAACCTTTTGGTGCCTCAGATAGAAGGCAGAACCAATCCCGGAGGTTATAAACGCAGCGAACACGGCCAATGTTAAGCAGACCGCTAAAATCGTCCTTGTTCTGTCAGAGGCTTTTCTCGGATATGGAGGAAGGGTGGGGACAACGCCAAACTCCATCGGTGGATATGTTAGTCCATTAAAGGGCTGCATAATCAACATATAATGGAGTGCTCTAATGGATCCCGTCGATGCCGTGAAGCCAAGATAGGTCTCCTTCGAAAAGTAGTGGGAGAGATCTCGGTTTAAAGACAAGAGTGGCTTGTTCGGAGGAACAATGAATTCAGCAGGGCACAAAGAAACATTGAGCTGTTTATCGATGTGACTATAAACGATGGAAAGTCTCATTACCTTTCCGCTGATCAGAGAAAGGTTTCTAAAGTTTCCATCTTTATCATCATAGTAACCAGCAGGAGCAGAGAGAACAGATGTCAAACCATTAATGTCAATCCCAACATGATTATCATCGATATCTCCAAACTCCTCGTCTTTATGTATATCTAACTCGATAGCTATTACGTTATTTGATGCGTTGCCGTTGTTTCTTTCGTTAAAGATTCCAAGGTATTGATCGGAGGAAGCTCCGGGAAGGCTTCTTGTATGAGAGAAAACGAAAGCCATACCGTGCGAGGCCTGCTGCTTATGCTCAGAGACGATCCCGAACAAGAAGTTGATGCTGAAAGACTGGTTCTTGTAGGAAGTGGATACGTTGTTGAAAGCTTGACCGTAGGAATGCTTCGTGGTGTTCGTTAAAATCATGTAATTGTTTGGGTCGTAAACTGCAGATCCTTCCAGGATATATTTGCCATGGGAGTTGTAAGTACATGAAAACAGAGTAAGCAACAGAACAAGAATATGCATTTGCAAGATTTTGAGTTCAGGAGACATGTTTCGTTTGTTTGGCATATGGGAAGTTTATGATCTTACTGTGATACTTCCAATAAGAGTTTTAAGAAAGAAGTAAAAAAGAGTCAAGCTGTCAAGGCATGGTCACACAGTAATGTGAACGAACGTTCACGTGATATTCCTCGTTGTTCATAAAATAAAACAAAACATAATATGTATTTAATATTATATACGCACATGGCCTAGATCAAATCGAAAATGCAAATTATTCATTTCTAAATCCTAATTAGATCAAATAGCAATTATAGTGGGATTAGTTGAGTGTGTTCTAAAGGCTTTTACAACCAAAGTCGTCGAACTGTGACGCTGCAAGTTTAACAACCAACGTGTTGACCATAAATAAATAAATGTAATTAAAAAATAAGTTTTTTTTGTGTTGACACGTTTGTTTGCAGAGTTTTTTAAATTGATTTTTGAGATTTTATATTTGGACTAATTTATATCTATATATTCTGTACTCCGATTTCAGCGTCCAATGGAATTTGTTGACGACTTAAACGTCGCCAGTTGTACCAAATGAGTTCAGATAAAAAAAGACCACTAAGTAAGAAAAAAATATGGATCAAATTTTCAAACAAAAGGCGGAATTTTCTGTCATCTTAAAATCATAAAAACTGTGTGAAAACTGAAAGTACTTCAAAAGCAATTAGACGTCACTAATTTTTCATGGTTCGATCATAGTTAAAGTTTATATATATAATCCTATATAGTGTAACAATATATTTTTAATCGTTCTGTAGAACGTAACACAACAAAGTCTGACATTTTTTTTTCGGTTAATACGACAAACAAATAGGGATTGATTTGTCTAGTCCAATTGCATCTCTAATCGATCGTTGGGGATTTCCGACTGAAATGTTGAGTTAATACATAGACTAATCTTTCTTGGATGTTCAAAATAGAACTCAAACCCACCACTTTCAGTTATAGGGATGCCCTCTTATTGATAAAATAAATTTGCTTAGCCCTCAGTTGTTGATACTTCAAGAACTAACTTGACCAAGTTGCTTTTGTTCATACCTCAGGCTGCATTTTCTCTACCTCTTCTCGAATCGACTGGAACAGAGGGGTAGATAGATACCGCTCTCCGAAGCTCGGGAAAACAACCTGAAACAAAAAATAAAAAACGGATTAAGTAGATTCTATCTTAGATGATCGTTTTATAAAGCCGATTGAAAAAGCTAACTAGCTAAGTGACTTTTAAGTGTTGGTTCTTTGGGGTTTAGTATTTGGATCACTGACTAAAGACACTTTTTCAATCCTAAAATCTCTCGAGATGTTTTCCCTAAATCAATCCAGAGATTTTGATGCACAAAGACACTCCTGTATCATCTTTTTCGTTTTCAGAACATAACTCATATGTGAAACAGAATAAGATATTTACAGCTATGAGTTTTCCAGCATTCTCAGGTCTCTTCGCGACCCTGATTGCAGCAGCAGCAGCAGCTCCAGATGATATACCAACCTGACAAAATTATTACCTTCACGTATAAATCTTATGTTGATTCCACCTTTCACATGCAACATCACGACATCTGAGTGGAAAATCAGAAATAATACAAATAACTAACCATCAACCCTTCCTTAAGAGCTAGTTGCTTTGCGGTTTCTATAGCTTCCTCGCTTGAAATCTGGTAGAAAGCAAAAAGAAGATAGTAATTAGCATCACAATACGAGTAGCTTTAAGTCTCAGGAGTTGGAACATTCAAGCAATAAATTGTGGATATCTTGTGGAAACCAGATAAATTGTATAACCATACTGAATCCAACAAGATAAATCATACCGCTATGACTTCATCCATAATTTTCTGATCCAAATTCTTAGGTATAAATCCAGCTCCAATTCCTTGAATCTTGTGAGGTCCTGTATTCAAATACAAGAAAAAAACATATGTGAATATTAAATCATAGTTTGAAAACACAGAAACAAAATTACTGATTGTATAACTATCAGTAAGGCTGACCCGGTTTGCCACCAGAAAGTATATCGCTTTCGGTAGGTTCCACACCAATAACCTGGAACATTTAAACATCAGATAAATTAAGTACGAATTCTACTGCTTCAATGAGCATACCCTCCTGTCTAATAACTCCAGCAGATGGAACCTTTTTATTTTAGTTTTTACCTGAGACTTGGGGTTTTTCTCTTTAATGAATCGACCAACACCAGTGATAGTTCCACCAGTTCCAATTCCTGCAACAAATATGTCCACTTTTCCCTTTGTATCTTCCCATATCTCAGGACCAGTTGTCTCGTAATGAATCTGCATATATTATAAATATGACATAAAATAGTAGTTTACAAAAATGACAAGAGAATTTCACAGAAGACCCAATTTAACTTTTATGCAACTAGGATTACCCCTCTGATACAGGAGATTCACTCGCCTCATTTCTTATACAATTTAAGTGAAAACCCACTTCAGTTACACACACTTGTGGGTATTCTTAGAGAAGTAAATGCAGGTGGGTTTCCGGTTATCTCGAACAGTAACCTTTCAGTTATCCTCTTATGGTAAATGACTAGAGCTAAAACCAATTCATGACACAAATTGTAATACGAAAAAATAGACATCACAAACCTTTGGGTTCGCAGGGTTGTCAAACTGCTGGAGCATGTAGGCATCTGGAGTGGTTTTCAAGACTTCTTCAGCCTTCTGAACCGCTCCAGTCATACCTTTGGCAGGGTCTGTTAAAACAAGCTCAGCTCCAAATGCCTTTAAAAGAACCCTTCTTTCCATACTCATGGATGCCGGCATTGTCAAGATAAGTCTATAGCCTCTTGAAGCTGCGATGAATGCTAGGCCAATACCCGTGTTTCCACTAGTAGGTTCCACAAGAACACTCTAGATAAATGCAGTAAGGATATGAAGTCAGAGAGCTGACACAGCTGGGCAGGATTAGTGTATAACCACCACGAATAACGGATTAGACTGGACGATTTATATGTCTGTAAAATTTGGTCGCATCCATAAATCTTTACAAAAGAAAGATCAATCTATAATGGATACCTTTCCAGGTGATATAAGACCTTTTTGCTCAGCATCAGTAACCATACTGTACCCAATCCTGAAATTCATTAAACATAAAGGTTTAAACTTGAAGGGAATCGACTAAGAACATATAAACAAGTCCTAAAAGACTCAGGCTACACAAACCTATCCTTGACACTGCAACATGGCTCCATGATCTCGAGTTTGGCAGCAATATTCGCTACACAACCCTTTGCTATACTATTCAAGTACACCATAGGAGTTTTCCCAATGAGCTGAATCATGTCAATAACAGATGCGTGAAAAATTCCAATCAATTTTCAAAATTTAGTGGATAATAACACTTTTGCGACATTCCCACTTGAAAAGATATTTTTTTTTTCTCTCTACCATTCCATCGAAATAAGTCTAGGAAGAAAACCCATCTGACCTGAGACACATTGTCGGCAATGTTGAGTCCATCAGCTCCAGAATCGCGCTTAACAGCCTCACACACAATCGACGGATCTCGTTCCGAGCCATCTGCAAAACTCCGACTCTGCCTCTTCATAGCTACAGAGAAATCGGGAGCAGCAACACGAGCGGAGGAGAAGGAGAGAGAAGAGGTTCCCGGCGAGCATCTGAAACAACGGAGAGTAGACGAAGAAGTCAACGGATTATTAAGGAGTAACGCAGAGGAAGATGCGGCGGCCATGGATGTGTTGCAGCTTCGCTTTCCCAAAAGTGTAGACAGGAGGAGCTGAGATGTGAGCTTAGCTTCGCGGTTACACCTTGAAGCCATGATCATCGCCATGAACGATCCTACTTCTTTTTTTTTTTTGTTATTTCTGGGAAAACGACGTCGATTGAATTTTCAGATACGGTCCATTTTTAGACCAATCTTTGCTTTATCATTTTGATCACGATACCTTTTATGTTCTTTATTATATATCGACCTTAATTACATCATTAGATGAATTAAAAATATTCAAATTTATAGTTTATTTTTTAATATACACATTTATGAAAGAAAAGAAAAAACGTTTTTTTTTTCACCAAGCAAGTGGGAGAATGTGATCTTATTTTTTGTCCCTTCCTACCTCCCAAGTGTCGCAATAATCTTTTTCTCGTCGTCAAATTATCTTGTTTTTGTTAATTTATCATTTTGTGAGAAACGAGTGGGTTCATAGCTGTTTCTTCTGCTCACCGTGCAGATGCTTTAGACGACGCTAACAAGTTCTTGATCGATGAACTTAAGTCGACTGTTTATGATCTCAAAATCTTAGGTGAGACTTGTAACTTTTATTCATCTTCTACTAAATAAGTCACACCAGGATCAGGGGAGAAATTAAAAGAGCTGAAGTGAGACATTGACGTCTAGCTACAAGAATTGTGGTAATCAACAACTTCAAGTACACAATGTCAACAACATCTAAATCACTCCATGTATAACAATTTTTTTTAAAAACATTTTCGGGGGGAATACAAATTTTACGGTGATCAATACTTCCGACACCAAAGAAACACAACAAACTAATTTTTGGAGGAAAGGAAAGAAGAAAACAAAATCTCTGACCACAAAATGTGTGTGTATAGAACCAAGCTACGGCCAGTGAAAGAGTAAAGTCAGACAGCTGAAAGGCTAGCCCATTTGCCTACTTCATAAGGATCTGCATAGTAATATAGCTTGATCCTGTTTGCTAAAGACAGTCCTGCAGCGAATGGAGAAGCCCGACCGCTCAAATCATCAGCTTCTGCGGGATCATCTGCAAACGCTGCTACATCTCCAAGCAGCTTAAATGAAACTCTGCGTGCTTGAATCTGTTTAGGGAAATCGAAATACATCTGTGTTCCAACTCTTGCCTCAGGCAATCTGTATTCCGCGATGGTCACCATTTTGTATTGTTCCTGTTGAAACATTTTTTAGATCAACACGAATGAGTTATTAGTAGATTTTGGTTTCTGAGGATAATAAAACGGGGGAAGGAGGGATAGAGATACCTGAAGAAC